AGCAAAGGTGAAACAAGGAAAACATGACAATTACTAAAATTCTATTGACTTCCTATCAAAGCTGGATAGGAAAGAATAGGACTTGCTGAGCTTTCTTGGTGTTTGAAGCAGATACTGAATACAGGAATCTTCAAAGGATGAGTGAACAAGGCCTGCTTCATCCTTGGCTCCTTTTTCTGTGGCTGCTGAGCCAGAAGGACACACATGTTGTGCTGGGGTTCCTTGATCTTGCTTTGTGCTATCTTTCTTGAATAAGCATACTTACTTTAATGGTGTCATGCCCGTGGAGGATACAAAAGGTCAGCCAAGGTGAAAAAGTTTTGTGGAATCTAGAATTCGGCTAAAATGTGGAAAAAAACCTGTTGCAGAATTTGGTGTTTGGGGTGGTTTGCTGCTTGTGCTTTGTGTGTGCAGGGTAGCTACAGAAATTGCTGCTGGTCCTGATAGCTTGATTTGCATGGGCAAGCACAGTGTATGTTTTGGAAGCATCAGTGTTGTGTTGTTAGGTGCTTGTGTATAACTTGGATTAATGTGTTTGCATAAACTACAAATCCCTAACCAATGTGGACATAATTATTTGGTTAAATGATTTGCAGCATTGCAGGCTTTGGCTCTGTTTGTAAGTGGGAAAAATTATTTATATGAAATAAGCAAAGGATATGAAGCTAGGAGCTTGTAACTTCAGTGTGTGATATATCCACAGTAGCATTCTTTAAACTGGCTATTTTCAAAGCAGGGATGGTAAATATGGAGGGGTTTTGCTGACATGACAACACTGAGTTTGTTTTTAGTACTAACAGTTCACTGGCATTAGCGAATATTTCAAGCTTGGCTTAACAAGTTTAGCTTTCATTGCTCACTAAATGTGTAATTAAATTACAAAGTCTTCTCATCTGTTTTGAACTTAAATTATGGCTGGTTTTAACTTTCCTTTCACACATGACTTTTTCAGGATTGCAGGATGTGTGAAAACGGTTTACTGTAGCCATATGCTTGTTGGCACAGAGCTCCAGGATGTTTCAGTACGTTTGAAGCATGAGTTGTGTGATATGTGGATTTTCTTTTACAAAAGCTGTGTTGATTTCTTGCCTAGGAACTGCTGTCTCCTCCTGTTTCCGCAGATTCTGCTGCAGAATTGTTCCTGGTGGTTGCATTGGGAAGGGATCAGGTTTGCAGGAGGGTGGCTCACCCTCATCTCTCCTGGCTCTTTGCATCTGACCTGTGCTGTTTTCTGGTGCTGTAAATCTAATTAGCTTAATACCTGCGGACTGAATCATTTTATTGAGAGTTTGCTGCCCTGGCTGGGTGTGTTTGGTGCAATAAGATTCCTATTATGTGTGGGAAGGACACAGCTAAGAAGTCAATTGTCCCTTTATCAACTTGCTGGCCTCCTCATTAGAAGCTCCTGGGTCAGCAGGCTGCTCTACCATTTATCTGCAGATAATAATGATAAATGTGTTTGTTTAGATCAAAGTGGAAAAGCCCCTCTGAGCTGCCTGTACCGTGTCTGTGTGCACTGTGCTCTGTAGTATTATCAACTGTGTGACAGTGCAGTAATCTGGGGAACACCCACAGTCTGCCTGGACTTCTGCCTACCCTCTCCTTCATGGGAATGTAGCTGCTTTCATTAACTTTCCCAACTGACTTGTTTGATCCTATTGCAATCTGTTCTTGAATTTAGGGAGAGAGCATCTACTGGGTTCCTCCCATCCACAAGCCGAATGCCTTTTTATTTTGCTGGTTTGCTCCTTGTTGGTTCTCGGTGGTTTTTGCCTGAGCAGGTCCAAGGTCTGTTGTTTTCAATGCCCTGAAGATTATCCAAAGTTAGTATTTGAGGTATGCTTGGTTCTGCAAGTGCACTGCTACTCTTGCCTTAATAGAACAGTGGAAATGTCTGCCAACATCCCCTCTTCTGCTCTCAGGAGGGATTGAATTCTCAGGAGGGAATTAAGGCACTTGGGCAGTTGACTTCAGACTCTTCTATTTGTATGGCTTTTGCATGGAAGGAAAGGAATCTTAATTCTGGAGATTCAAATAATCCCTGCAGAGAGTTTTCCCAAGACCTTGAGTTTCACAGAATCACAGAATGGTTTGGGTTGGAAGGGTCCTTAAAGCTCATCTCGATCCAACCCCCTGCCCCCTTGAGCCTGGGCAGTGGTGGTGGGCTGCTTGCCTGCTGTACAGTATTGACCTAGTTTTGTACTGCTGCCCAAGCAGAGGTGTAGAAAGGGATGGATGACTGTCGTGGCTTCTTTCAGCAGGCTGATACCCGGTGGATGGGAAAGGCACTTCTAAACACAACGCTGGTGACGCTGCAGTCTGGTGGCGATATGACTTGATGCAAACCTTTGAATTTCTCTGTGGAGTTCACAATAATAATGCAGTGGGATTTGTGGCTGTTTGTGGTTGAATGGAAGGAAATGCTTTTTCTGCTCAGGTTATAGCTGGTACTTGTTCTAAACGCTGCTTTTCCTGGGAGGTAGGAAGTGATGTTCCTGCTCTGGGATGTGAGTGTTAGTGCGTGACGGAGTTGGGAGAGCTTTTTAGGGAACTGCAAAGGGAGGCAATGTATTCCCACCGAAGCTGCTAAGCAGCAAAAGCTTCTGTGAGCCCAGAGGCACATACACTTTTTGTAAAGGCTGTTTTTAATCCTTCAGTTGGGAGATGTAAGAGGAGTCCTTCTCCCTGGCTCATCAGTGGAATGTCCTTGCCATCAGCTTCCTCTCCCAGCATGTGGTGCTGCTCTGGGCTGCTCTCCCCCTGCCCCCCAGGTTCTCTGAGCATCCCTGTTCCTCTGGCTCACCATGTGGGGCTCACACAATGCAGCTTTTCTTGCTCTTCAACTTCTCCTGGTGGTAATTTGAAACGTACCTTTTTTTCCTGACTCTTGCCACACAGGCATATTGTTCTGGAAGTGCTGCTCTTTGGAAGGACGGAGGGCCACAGGCAAGGCAGAAATGATGTGGGGTGCTCTGGGGAGAATTTTTCCCCCCTTCTTCAAACTCAGCCTTGCAGTTTATCAGGCAAAAGATAAAAGGATTGTTTTTCTCCTTTTGGTTCACTTAAATATGGAGAAGCAGGGCAGTATTGCCACTGAACCCACCACTCCTGCACTTGCAGTGGTGAGAGGAAAGGAGGATCACAGTGTTGTTTCCTGCAGAGCACAGGGAAGGCTCCTGTTTCAGTGTGTAGGATTTTATTTTGTGTATTTCAAGAAAAGCTTGTTTAAGCTACCCAAGTTACTGTTATCTTCTTTGGCTCATTGTTCCAGGAAAAAACCTGAGTTTTAATCTTTGGTGGATCTGAAGCAAAGGTTACCAGGTTGGAGGACACAAAAATAATTGAAATGACCCAGAAGGGTTTTGGGGGAGTTCTCTCTGGCCCTTACGAACTCTTCTGCCTGCAGAGTGTTCGTAAGTCCTGTTCTCTAGAGGAGAACTCCATTGCTAGCCTATACATTTTTATAAAGAAGCTATCCTTGACTAAAAGACTGAGACAACAACTTCAGTGGAGGGCATTCTGCCTCTCAGCTTTTGAAATTACTTTAGCCTGAAACCTTTGTTGCTGAAGGATACAGGATGGGTGCAGAAAATTAAGGAAAATGCACCTTATAAGCCATGGTAGTGTTGGTCTTAGAGGGTACTTTAAAATAGAGCAGTCTGGATGGCATCTTAGTTTTCAGTTGAGAGAAGCAGGTTCTGCAGTCTGAGGATAACCAGCAGGCATCTGCTAGCCTTTAAAAAAAAGAAAAACAAGCTGATATTCTAATTTTCAAATTTATTATTACTTTGGGAGATAGGTTTTAAATCGTGTCAGTCTGACTAAACTGCAGTTAATTACTGGAGTCCTTCAGGTACCATTTTTTATGTTCAAAGTGAAGAGGTGATTTCTGCCACTTCTACTACACAAAATAAAAGTGCTTTAGTAAATAATGGCTGTAATTAAGAACTTGGAAACGTTTTCCATGCTTGCTTTCCTCACTTGTGCCAGTGCTCTCTGAAGCAGCAGTGGTGCAGGTGTTGGTGTAGCACATTGTGCAGTGAGAAGCTCTGCTTGCTTCCCAAACTGATGGAATACTGGTTCTCTTAAGGCAGATACCTGAGGTCTAACGTGTTAGTGTCAGTGATGTGTGTAAGCTTGGAGTGTCTTGTGACTCTCCAAGCACGTCTGGCATCTTAAATATGAGTGGAAGCAGAGCCTTTGTGACTCAGGGTTGATGTTTTTAGTGCGGGTGTGATGGCCAGGTGATTTTGTCCTGCCTTTGTGCTGTTCTGCTATGGAGAGGGGATACAGATTTGTATGATTAACCATTTCAAGGAACTCCTCATGGTGAGAGAGCTACTCAGGCTGAAAGGAGGATGGGATGGTTCGTGCCCAGAGTTCCTTCTGAAGGAGCTCCCTGGGAGAACACAGTGAATATTCTGAAATGGTGTGTGAACACTAGATGTTACCAGTTTCTCCCAGTTGAAGGTGTAGATCTCAGGGCTGCCTCCAACCAGCTCCTTTTTGTACAGCTGAAATTAAAGACACTGCTTCTCAGATGGGGAATGTGAACGTTTTGGTCTGGGGGAGGGAGGGAAGTGAGCCCTGCCTTTCTCCTACTTATTTTTCTTTAAAACTCTGCTGCTGCATCTTTGTTTTCCCACAGATGCTTTTTTTTTTTTTTTTTTTTTGCCTTCTTACTTCGGGCAATTGGGACAAGTGCCAGCACATTCATAATGTTTTTGCAGCATCTACATAAATGCTGCTACTCTTGTGCTCTTTATGTTCTGTAGGGTTAAGACAGCATTGTGTCTAAAATACCTGTTAGTCTATCTTTTTGATAATTTGGTGTCATCACTCTTTATACACAGCTTTTAAAATTTCCTGTTGATTGTGTCAGATTGGTTCTTATAGTGGAAAGGAGATGACTGTAAGGAGTTTCTGTAAGTTTAGATTCTTCTCTCTGTTAAATGCATCCCATCAGTAGTGAACTGACACTGCTTTTTTTCTCCTTTCAGCCAGATAATGAAATCTCCTCAGACTGCAATCACGTAAGTATTGCTTTGTTTTATTCGGTCTCTTTCTTTGGCATTTGCACCTCCTGTCCCTCACCAACCTGAGGTGTTTTGCACAGTTTGGGACTTTGCAAAAGGTATTAACTGAGACACGTTTGGGTCTCTGTGCTGGCCTATGGAGGAAAACACAAGGTGACTTCTTTAACCCAGTACAGCCACTGTGGTCTTACTGGAGACTTCAGAGAGGAACATATTTCATTTATAAACTGCACTTGTGTCTCAGAGGAGGACAGCAGACGTGGTTCCTGGTTGATGCTGGGGGGGTGGTTCCCGTGAGTGACTGGGAGCAATGTGATGTGCTCCTTTTGGAGAAGATGTGAGCAGTACTGAATTTAAATTCTTAATTTCAGCTGGTGACACCTTCTGTATTACTTTCACAGCTGCTAAATTCTTAGACTCACTTGGAAAGTGCTGTGGGGGTGTGATATTTAGAAGCAGTTTGAGACAGTTGGCTGGTTTTAGAACAGATTTCCTCTCAGCGCTGTGTTTAACAGTGAGCAAACTATTAGCCAGTTTTCAGGCTGTCAAGCTGACTCTTCAAATCCCAAGACTCAAAAAAAAAAAAAAAAAGAGAATAAAAAAGTCATTGCTAAGGTTGGTATTATTAGTTTCCTTGGGTTTCTCTCATCTGCACTCTGTTAGCATGCACCATATCAAGATCCCTAATTGCTTGGCTAGCCCTGAACACAGACAGACAAGTGCATGCCTCAGTGACAGTCTTGATTTTGGATGCTTGAGAAGCTGTATTTCGCTTTATTATTGCAAGATATATTCCAGAGATGAAACCTGCCATGCTGTACAACTAGTAATTTCCAACTGTGCTTATAAATTAACCTTTAGTACTGCTCTGCCTGACTTCATTGGCAGCTGTAATTCTCTGTTGTGCAGGGTTGGATCAGATGAAGGGCACAACATGTTTCTGTTTAAGTCTTTCTGAAAAAGAGAAAACTCCAGTAGTTAAAATGTATCTGCCTGACATTTAAGAGTGCCAACAGAAACTACCTGAATGAACTAAAATTGAGAGTTCTAGAAGTCAAAGCTGGACCTTTCTTGTGCTGGATGAAATGACAGCACCTCTGCCACAAGGCAAATGCTGGGTGCATGTGGATTATGGAAACCATTCACAAATAGGAAGCATGGGCAAAGTCTCATTTTCCCAGGCAGAAGTTGAAGTGGGATGATAAAAACCGAGACTACAGAGAAGTGTCTCGTGTCCAAATGTTTTCTTTGCCTCTCTCTGCAGTCTTTGATAGCACAACTGCTGATGATCCACTGGAAAATGCTGCCTAGTGCTACAATCAGGAGTTTTAAGCTCCAAGTTTCACCTTCCTTCTATCTGTGGGAAGGTTCATTTGGAGAGCAGCTCATTTTGAGACTCTCCAAAGCTGGAGATTACAAATGTATTCTCATCTTGTGCCCTCATTCTTGTACTTCTGATTCTGGCTGGGAGAGGCCTTACAGCACTCTGTGAGGACAGGTTCCCTGTTTATTCACTTTTATCTATTAAATCTCCGTATTTACAACTTACTCCATCTGAAACACCTTAGTTTTCCATCATCTCGTTTTTAATTTTTCACAGCTACAGAACTATGGTAAGAAGTGTGGAAGATGGTGCAGTTATGTTTATTCTGATTTTGATTCTCTCTCTGTGCTTCCATCCTCCTGGAGCTGATGAGAAAATGCTTCCTTGTGCTTTCCTGGTGTTTTGTGTGTAATTGAAACATCCATGGCACAGAAAGATGTGGTGGGCTAAAGACACTGCTAAATGTGCAGCAGGTAGCAAGTTACAGCTTTCATTGTTTTATCCTTTCAGTTATGAAGCAGTCTTCATGCAATATATATATCCTTTTAATGAGTCAGCTCATGACCTTATGGAGAGATTTCTGACAGCCTGAATTTATTCAGTGTGAGAAAATTACTGCAGGAGTGAAGGGACCAAGTTGTTGTCAAGGAGACTTTACATTGATCATTGCACTGGAAAAGGACGGGGATAAACGATGTTTCATTGTTTTCTGAAGTAAAATGTTTGTCATTCCCAATGGGAAGCTCTTAAACCCCCTTTCTACAAATGCTGTCTCCACAGCTCTTGTGGAACTACAAACTGAACCTGACAACAGACCCCAAGTTTGAATCGGTGGCCAGAGAAGTCTGCAAGTCCACTATTGCTGAGGTAAGGCAGGAGAAGGGCACGGCTGCTGCTGGGGCACTGAGGCCTTCTCATGTCTTTGTGATAATGAATTAGTGTGGGAATGATGATTTGGGGCTGGGGAAGCTCTTGTCTCATGTGCCAAATCACTCCCGGTAAATAATTCAGTCTCCTTGCTGAAGTACCTTAGTGGTACCAGGCAAAGGGGTGGCAGAAAGAAATGCTGAACTAACAACCTGTCAGCTCCTACCAGAACTTCTGTCAGGAATCTGTCGTGGATTGGATTTGCCCCCTCTCTATCAAGAGTTTGACAGTTGTAACAGTGTTGGTGTAGCAGGGGTTCTGTGAATTTAGCCCAAGGCTGGTTTTGGACTGTGTCACGCTGGCAGAAAGGAGAACTGCACAGGCATCAAATGATGAATCAACTTCTATTACTTCAAGGTTCAAAGTGTAGTTACTCCAAGGAGACTCTGTTGGAACTTCTTCTTTTTAGGTTGCACGAGGAGTTGATGCTCTGTATCTCAAGCATCAACATACCTTGGTCCAGCTTCAGAGATGAGTTGATCAATCATTTCGTGCTCGTGCTGGAGCTCTGCAGGCTGTGCACTCAGCCACCCAGGCACTGGCTGAGCTGAGCTCTCCTCCCTGTGTTTGGGGTGGTTTTCAGCCAGACTTCAGGAAGCAGTGGAAGCAAGGCTCTCTGCAGCAGGACAGGCTTCAGCTGACTGAATTCAGTCATTAAGCCATGCTCTGAAAGACCTTGTTTGTATATCCACTAATGTAATTTAACGTGGCCATAAACTTGTGTTTTTTAAAAAAATCGTTTGGTGTAAGGAGAGATCAAGAAAATAATTATTACAAGAAGGCTGGAAGATGAAACAGTGGAAGGAAGCAGCTTGCATCACAGGGCTGTGCTGTGTTTGGAGTTTGGTAGTTCCCCAAAGCAAAAGCTGCCAAATCTGTTGGATCCCACTTTTTTGTGATCACAGAAAATACTGTATTTTTCTGGTTTATGTCATATGGCTGCTGCAGAATTTTTACAGCCGAGGCATTCTTGAAAATGCTCTTTTAACAGTCCGTTTAATTACCACTTTTATACGGGGACAGTCTGGCATTGCTGTAAACGATGCCCTCTAAAAGCAGTGGGAAGAATGTACAAAATTTTAGCTGTACATTAACCACAAGTGTTCCTCTTGTAATTGTGGTGAATGATGACATGAACTACCAATATTCTGCCATTTCATGAGTAATTTTTAGTTAAAAAAGGTAAGGAAAAATAACTGTATGTGTTTGATCTGGTGTTTAATACTGGGGCAGGTACATAAACCATTCCACTCATATTTTTTAAAGGTATTTCTACAACACTGTTTAAACATAGTGGGCATATACTACTCACATATAGTATTAACCTACTAATATTTTTCTTTAATTCCCACTAACAGGTAGGTGGTTTTTTTGCTGGGTGACTGAGCTCTGATTTTAAGTATTGCTTTGCATTAAGAACAGAATACAGCTGGAGGAGCAATTTCTAGTCATTTGGGAAATGGTGACTGCCCCAACTGGGTATGTTCTGAAAAGTGCACCTTTTAATTTTATCAGCTAAATACAGATTTAAATTTCAACTCTTTTTTTTTTTCCCCAGCTGTTGTGTTTTTTATAAATTCTGGCAAGAGCTTTAACCTGGAATGAAAGTTGGCTACCAGATAACAGTGGTTGCTTCAGAAGTGGCCTGGCAATAACATGATGGCTTGGTCTCTTCTGCAGTTCACTGGCTCAGGCCGTGGAGCTCTGGGGCTGTTTCCAGAGCCAGGCTCTTCCCAAAACAGCACGTTGCCATTGTGTGCTGGTTTGGCTCACGGTGCTTGAGCTGAAGTAGAGCCAAACCAAAGATGCAGCTTTCTCAGAGAGCACTTGCTCAACTCTCTCCCCTTCACCCTGCAATGAATCATATGTGTTTTCACTTCAAAATGTATTTTATGCCTTATCTATAACAATTACAGTGACCTTAGTAACTGTGTTTTTCTAATAGCTATTTAGATTAAATATAAAATGTTTTACCAACCTCCATCTGCCTCCAAGTAATGATGTTTAAAATGCTGTATGTTTTATTTGCTACATAGAAAGTAATGGCCTCATAAGCTGAGGCAGAGATCTGTTTTATTCATCTAGTCTGACCTGTGTGAGTCTGTGACAGGGTGCCCTGAGTTATTCTTGCTTGAATTAGAATATATCTTCCTAGAGACAGCTCTCCATTTTTTAAAATTTCCAATATAAATATTCCAGCTTGGTATTTGAGAGCAGATAAAATGGTTCCCTGCCCGTTCCCTCAGCCCTGCTCTTGCTTGTTACCTGAACCCGCCTGGATTATTGATTGCCACAGATCTTCCCTGAGATTGATGAAGCCCTTCAGTATTTTTACAGGAGCAAATCTTTGATGTAATCGAGTCAGCCCATGTATCTTTTGCTTGCAAACCTGTCACCACTGAACTTCAGTGTCTGGCTGCCCCGAGTTGTCTCTGCAGGCTGTGGGTTCTCAGCAGGGGCCACAGAACCGGGCGAGTGTTTCAGCACGGGCTCACCAGGGTTAAAGAGCTGGGGGGTTTCAGTGCTCCTCGGAGCCAGGCATTGCACTGCTCCTGTGGCAGCATTCCCCGAGGGACCATCCTTAGCTGATAGGTAACCATGTTTTCCCCTGCCTTTGGAGAGACGCTGTCAAAACTGCCTGCATCTTTTGCTTCCAAAGGTGACGGTTTTGGCCCTGCTGTCTGCTTCCCTGAGCAGTGCAGGCTGTGATTTCTATTGGGGACCTGTCTCTTCTTGTATGCTGCTCTTCCAATCCCTGCACAGCTTTCAGCTCTGGTTAGCAGTGATTTTTACTTTTTTTAGACTACTGAGTAAAATGGTTTGGTACCAGCAATCGGTTCCTACAAGAGCCTGATAGAAATGAATTTGATGAGGATTTTCCTTTATAGTAATTTTTGGCTCCCAGCAAGTTATAAACCATTCAGTAAATAGTACTGACTTTTGAATCGGTCTCACCTCTAGCCAAAATCTTATACTGTGCAAGTTCAGGTGGCTAATGGGGGTCCAAGTATGATTTAGTGATGTTGTAATATCCTCAGTTTTCTAAATAAAGGTTTGCCAAACTAGCATTTTTTCTACAAGTCTTCTTGGTTGCAGGGGTTCAGTGTAATTATGAAAGATGATTATTGAGCAACAGAGTTTATAATCCTCAAGGTCGCTGTGTTTGCTTTTTTTCAGATGTTAGCACACATGAGATTTCTCTTTTCTGAAATATTTTCAAGTGTTCTGACTTACTGAAAATCAAACTGAAGCCTAGAGGGTTTCTTTGCTAGCAGATTTTGAAGCTACGGATGCAAGTTTCTTTGAGGATTTTTTTTATAAGGTTAAAATCAGTAGCTGCAGCCACTGTAATTTTATTCCCCTCCCTTTTTTTTTTTAACAGATAAAGGAGTGTGCAGATGAACCAGTTGGTAAAGGCTTCTTGGTATCATGTTTGGTGGATCACAGAGGGAACATCACTGAATACCAGTGCCATCAGTACATCACTAAAATGACAGCCATTATCTTCAGCGATTATCGGCTGATCTGCGGCTTCATGGATGACTGCAAGGCTGACATCAATCTCCTGAAATGTGGCAGCATTCGACCTGGAGAAAAGGTATCCAGAGAACATGTAGATTGTCAATAGGCTTGTAAAAGTCGTTCACTCAAGGAAACTGATGCGGGGGCTCTGCAATAGTTCCTGTCTCACTTGCAGCTGAGGAAACGTGTGGTGTATCTCATCTGTCTGAAAAGGGTGATGTCCTGGTTCTCTGCAGCTCCTTTTTAATAAATATGCATTGGTTCCTGTGCGAGGAACTGCTGTTCAGAGACCTTCATTTGTCTTTCCACACCGACTACAGGTGATCTGGCAGGTACTTGTCTTTCTGATGACACTCTCTCTGGCTTGACTCAGTACAATGAATCCAAACAATAGATTTAAGCAGGCCTATTGCTTGGCTTATTTCACAGTCTGGTGGGGTCTGGCAGGAGGGTTATCAGGGTGATGAGCCCTGTGCTATAACCCTTTCTGTTTTCTCTGGCTGTGGTTGATAGACTGATTCAAGAGCTTTGATCTGTTTGCTTCTCCTTTCCCCTGCCCACCCAAAAGCAGTTGAAGGGCACAGGGTACCCTGTGGTACATTTTAGCAGTGCAGACTTACCAGTACTGTCCTGGCTGTACTGAATCTGTGTTCTTTTGCCACGTGAGACTTTAGCAGAGGCTGGTGCAAAGAACAGTTTGCAGTGACTACATGTGGGGTTATTTTCAAGGGGCTGTCTTTCCCTGTCTGCTTCAGCATAGCTAATGCAGGCAGCAATTATGTAGTGCTGCAGGAATGAGTGACTTCTTCTATGATAAGTTTTTATGTTGAGGGATAAAGTTAAAATTACCCTATCAGCTTTTTACAGTGCTTTTGAAATTATACCTCTTACGCTTATAACAATTAGTCTGTTAGATGAGCTATTAATGAGGGGGTATATAACAAAAGATACATGGTTTTTTGCTTTAAAAAGAAAAGCTTTCCTGGTTGTTTGAGATGCTCACTGCTGTAAGCAGCTTCACACCCATAGTGTGTTAAATTGAAGGGCTGGTGTATTCCAGAAGACTTAGGTGAACCACAGAAAGCACAAGAGTAAGAACCTATTTCTGGAAACAAGAACAAAAGCAACCACAGAAGCAGGAGGAACTTGGAGGCACCACAGGTTCAGGCTGGTAACAGCTGAATAACTTGCTTTCTCCATTAAGTAAAGGTTCTCTTCTAAAGGAGAAGGACCTCATGGAATGAGAAATTGCTTTTAACAATCAGTACAGAATCAGAAGTGTAATACAGGAATCCTGGGTGTCAGGCCTGCGTGTTACCTGTGGCCTCACCAAACTGAAATAACCTAAAATAACTTGTGATGGCACTGAGGGGACACAGCAGAGGGGGTTTTGTGAGCATAAGCCAAGTCTCCCATGGTAGAAGTGAAGTGCTGTGGGCAGGTTTGTGTGTGGAAGGGTGCACAGCCCTCTGTGTTGGTCTGGGTTACCAGGGGTGAAGGGGAGCATGGCTGGGCTGGGGTGGGTGAGCCACAAACCATCAGGGAGAGGGAAATGGATGCAAACTTGGGGTCACCAAGTTCCTGTAGGGTAGCAAAGGGATCACTAACCCAACTTCTGTGGGGGTTTTGTGCGTGTTTCTCACTCTCTTGGTACCCAACCCAGAACATGTGCCTTGGCCTGTGAAAGCATCGCAGCCTGTCGTGGATCTTTTGTTATGCTGTCATCTTTGGCACTCAGAGCAATTGAAGTATTCTATACTGCTATGGAAACAGCTATAAATGGCTGTGCAAGCATTTCTTTTGTTGGTGTTCTGTTCTATCCCTTTGCTGCTTTGGAGAAATCTAATTTGCTCCCATCAGATGCTAGTCCTGGTTTTATTTCCATTCTTTAACTTCTGAGAGTTACCTGTAGAGAAACAGTCATTACCCTTTTGTGTGACTGAAGGTAACTGTGAATTTAATAAATAGCACCTGGACACCTGAGGAGGAAAATGGGGGAAGAGATTCATCTCTCTCTTTTTTTATGGAAATAAGCACAGCTAGACCATGAACTCCATCCAGATCAGGCAGCTAGTAGATTGCAGTATGATAGCTTCATCAGAATAACTGGGATATGGTGGCATTTTTAATTGTGAAAGGCACTTAAGTTGGTATTCTGGAATTGCACTGCCTCTTGAAGCCCCTCTGCTGGCTAACCATGTTCCTTTTCTGTACTTCCCCTTTTTCTTTCAGCTTGCTTTCTACTTTCTAATTGAAACCCTGCTGGGTTTGTTGCTTCTGATGTGGTGCTTTCTGTGCTTTCTTTTCCACATTTCTAGTTGGGTTTCTGCACTGTAAGAGCTTTAAAGTTCAGCTTGGAAGTCTTGATCGGACCATAGACTTCATTTTGCATTCTGTATCAGAAAGGCTGTGGATGTGGCATTAGATGTGTCATTTGAAAGCGCTGACTTTTCTAACATATGTGCCTGTGTTGTGGAGGTGTTTGGAGGGGGTTTGTTTTTATTTTCCTCCAGTTAGTGGAGAAACATTTAATAGTAGTTTCAGTCACCTTTCCAGTTGGCAGTAGTGCTTTATAGCAAATTTGGACTCCTGGTATTTAAAAGTTGCTTTGTCTTCATGCAGTAGGGACCTAATTTGAAATGGAAATTGGTAAGTGCAGCGGAGCTTTTCTTCTTTGGCTGTTTGTTGGAATGAGCTGCTTTCCCAGTCCTGGTGATGGCCAGGGTTGTGTTAAGCTAGTGGGTGGTGTGTAGTTGCCAGGGTGCTGTTTAACCTTGGTGTCTGAGCTGTAGATGATTCTTTGCCATCGTGAAAGCTCCGTCAGTGTCCACTGCACAGCTGTCGTGGTGCTGTAACAGATAACACTGCTTTTCCTAAAGAAAGCACCTTAGGAGACCACTGTTTTCTTGTTGTTTGGGGTTTTTTTGTGATCCCTGAGTGCTTTGAGTACAGTTGCTCTCCTTCCTTAATTTCACAGCAGTACTGGACACGGGGGAATTGAGTTTGCACGGGAAGAGCTGATAACGTTGAGCTCAGTCTTTGTTTGCTCAGTGTAGTGGTATAGCAGTGTATGTGTAGTATTATGCAATGTACTATCACCTGTACTACTGGGAATTAGCTGATCCAAAAACCATCCCAGCATCCCTGGTGTCTGAGTTAGCCAAGGGAAGGCTGAATTGAAACTCCTGGTAGATCTGCTGGATGGTTTTCCATGGCCTGGCTGCTCTGGCTCCAGCGAGTCAGCACAACTTCCAGTGTGGATAAATGGCAATTTAGTTATGTGGCAATGGTGCTGCTAACTGGTATTGCTCAGAACCCAGATTTTAGGCTCAGTCCTAGGGGATCTGTTGATGTATTATTGTATTTCTTCAAAAGTACTGATATCTGGCCAGCATATGGAGTTGGCCAGTTCCCACTCAAAGAAAAGAGCAAACCAAAATAAGGAACTTTGGGGTTTGTGGGATTTTGGGGTTTTTTCCCCCCTTTTTTTAAAGAAAGGGAAAAACTACTTTTAGCCCTTTTAAACTGATTTTATGTCTAAGTTGTGTTTACAATTTCGTAATTGGTGGATTCTGCCTGTGCTCCAAGTGTAGCAGAGCTAAGACATGAATCAAAGGCTGCCTGCTGAGGAGACACGTTCAGAACAAAAAGATTTGGAAGAGTTTGTGTGGCTTTGAGTGGTCGTGGTCGTGTTTTGTGGAGACTGCTCTCTTCCTCATGCTCCTGCAGCAGCAGTGGATGGATCTGCTTGACAGAGGGAGCTGAAGGGATGGCTCCGAAACGGGGACTGCAAATGCCAGGCTGGGTGATTCAGCTGAATGTGAATATGCATGCCTTGTTGCATACTCCAGGTAGTATAAGCAGAGCAGCATAAATTAAGATGGCCTTCACAGGAAAAACTTGCAAAAAGCCTTGAGAAGTCTGTACCAGAAGAATTCATGTTTATTAGGGGAACCAGACCTTCTCCAGAGGTATAGAGGGAGCAATGGTTCTCTTTCTAAACACGTAGAAAGGATGTAGGAAACTAAATGGAGCTTTGCTGAGCTTTGCCCAGCTTCTTCCAGGCTTTCAAACAGAGCACAGGCTCTCTGTGTTTATTGACAGTCACTGCTCATAGTCCAGAGTTGTGTCCAGGCCTGTTGGACAGTGGGTATGTGGTGCACAGCATTGGGCCAGAACTGCTTTGTCCCAGACTTCATTTACCCTTGAATGCTTTGCAATTTTTTATTCTCTTAATGGTGGAATTAGCTCTGAGAAGCCTACATTGGTCAAAGCTCCTTTGTGGCCTTTTTAGCATCACGAATTTTCCCCACCCAAGCTGAAGGCTTGTCTCGGCGTGGCAGAACTATGATTTTTCTCTCCCAAGTATGTTCTTAATGTGATGCTGTTGCTTGCTGTTGCTATGGTGCCAAGAGAGCTGTGTCAGATTAAAGATAATTTGGCTGTTTTGGTAAACTGCTCTGAGCAGTGTGACTAAGTAGTGATAATCTCATTAAGTCACATTAAAACAAGCCCACAGCATTGGAGGGGGGATTTCATGGTGACCATCAGCAGGATGGTGGTGTATAAAGTGTGGTTAGCACAGATATTAACTGTTGCCTCCTCTGAATGTGAATGTGGTTTAGGCTGAACTTTTGGAAGTCTATATGTAGACAGTGTTGCTTAATTAATACGGTTCTTTGCCAGAATCACAGATCACTTGACTATGTAAATGGTTGTTCACAGGCATTGCCTCCTCCTTCTCCCATAGGATGCTCACTCACAAGGAGAGGTGGTGGCGTGCCTGGAAAAAGGCCTGGTGAAGGAGGCAGAGGAGACTGATCCTCGAATTCAGGTTTCTGATCAGTGTAAGAAGGCAATTCTCCGTGTCGCTGAGCTCTCCTCGGACGATTTCCACCTGGACCGGCACCTGTACTTCGCGTGCCGAGACGACCGGGAGCGGTTCTGTGAGAACGTGAGTGCTCTGCTCTTGTCTCTGCAGCAACCCATGCACAACAAACCTCTGCTGGAACAAGGAGTGAGACTCTACACTGGAGCCTGAGTGGTAGTGCCTAACACTGCAGATAGACACCTTGTATTAAATGCACTCACCCAACAAACAAACCTTATTTCTGGGACGTTAATGAACTGAATTGTCGTAAATGGTTTAATGAGCATCAGAGCTGGTGTGACAGGGAGTGGGGAGCAGGCAGTGGAGATGGGTGACCTCTCCTTTCTACAGCTCGGAGCTGTTTATTGCACAAGGCAAACCTGGTCTGCCCTTACTGTAGCACTGCTTCTCCTTGGAGCGATGAGCTGGAAGGCTGCATCGTTCAGTCTGAAGTAGCTTGTGCCAGCTGAGAGCCTTCACACTAACAGGGTGATGAGCACGACTAGATTTTTTTAAATGCAATAAAATGTTAAAGATTTTCATTGCACGGCAGGTATTGCTGTCATTTGAAATATTCACTCTAATATGTTACTAGTTTAAAAAAAAAAAAAGAAGCCCTTAGGTGTAGTTCAGCCCTCTCCATTAAGCATTGCAGGTCTTAATATTAACGGTAAATGTTTCTGTTCTGTTTCACAGACTCAGGCTGGGGAAGGCCGAGTATACAAGTGCCTCTTTAATCACAAGTTTGAAGAATCAATGAGTGAAAAGGTAGGTATCCTACTGAGACAAATCTTTACTGCAGAAATCATCGGATCATTCCTCGGTCCAGGCTGCATTATCCTTTTCCAGTGTTGAGGAAAATCCGTCATCTACGTGGTCGGATAATCGGCCGCTTTAACAAATTCTTTTACTTTGATGTTTTTGTGTGTCAAGTTTCAGCCTTTAAAGTTAAGGATTTAAATAAATCAAAGCTTTGGGTGGGTAATTTGGGAGGCAGACATGCAGCTCAAGTGGTAGCACTGTGATGGAGTGTTTAAAGTAGCAGTCACATCGTGCTAGGGTAAGCCTTGGGTAAATGCTGTCCTAACTTACAGATTAGAAACAAAATGCCCGAGTTCCTCAGCACAGGAAACTGCATTTGTTTCACTGTTTTACTGTTTTCAAGTAGCACATCCTCTGGGAAAGATGCATAGCTCAGTTCCTGAAGTTTTCCTTGTGGATTTTCCTGAAGATGTGTTTTGCAACAACAGCAAAAAAAAAATGTTTTTCTGGACAGCCAGTCCTGAAAAAAGTTTGTATTTGGGTAGGTGTTTTGGGAAGGCAGCAATGCCTTCAGTGATTTTTGGAAGCAGCATCATAGTGTTTTGGATTGTATGGAATTACATATAAACTGTCTGAAACAACATGAAGATGGATGTCTGTAAAGATCTTCCCAAAGAAGATCCACTGAAGGAGCCCGATTCAAGAGTCCTAGAGGGATCAGACTAATTTCCTTTTCTGTTAATACATCAGCTATCTGACAGCTTGGTTCCAATTAACAAAGTCAAATCTGAAAGAGTGATCACTGGGGGCTTGAAACAAAGCTCCACTTTGTAGAAGCGTGTTCCTGACAGGACCTGGGGCTTTTGCTTAACCTGCTTGCAGACATTCAGGGACAGTGGTAGGTTTTGAGGGGTGTTTTCCACGATCAGCTGTCTAAGGTATGAATGTAAGATGCAGAGGGGGTTAGATGAAGCTGGGACAGATGACGTGGTAGGGAGAGAGGGGTGGGTGCTCTGAGGGTGCAGTTTGCAGAGCAGGAGGAGCACTAAATGTAGTTCTCACTCTTGTAGCTGCCAAAGTTGGACCATCTGCAAAGTCTCTAGTTTGGTAGAAGCTGTTACCCAGGAAAGAGCCCCTCCTTGCCTGTGGTGTCAGCTGCTGCATGCACATGTAGCCAGCAATAGCTGCCCTGTGGGTGGCTTTGTGTAATCCAGAGCTGGCTCCCTGGCTGCTCCCAGCCTTTCCCTCCCTCAGGGGATGAGTATCTGCCAGCCTGTGTCTCCCTGTGTCCAGAGCTATAAGTTTGACCAGTCCCAAGGTCCCAGTCATGGCACAGGAGCATGAAAGAGGCAGTGGGAGTATCTCACAGTAGGGCTTTCCAGGTCCTAAAGTAGGTGTGGGAAGGAGGGGGAGAAAAGTCAAAAACCTGGTGTAAGGAGTTGGGGAGAGAGATCTAGAGCTCCTCTGTTCCTTGGACCAAAGATTGCTCCCTGTTCTCCCTACCCTACATGTGCACTGTTCCCCTTCCTTTCAAATAGGCTGAGAATGGACAAGTTGGCTTGAGCTACTCTGAATTTCCTGCCACCCTCAGATTTAATTTTCGTATAATTTAAACCAAAAGCTGCGAAGTGTAGCAGTGTTTTTACAGGCCCTTTTTTGGATGAAATTTAGAGGGTTGGTCTTGCAGCTGCTGGGTTTGGGTTTGGCCACAGTGCATCCTCGTGAACCTCACCAGTTGTGGAAAATGGCTAGAAATTCCCACGGTTAGCCTGTTTTATCTGCTGTCATCTGCTCAGTGTGTGCAGAACAAATCCAAGGAACACGCTATTTTGAAAATGTGACTGGAAGAAGTTATTTCTTGAGGGCATGGGGTGAACATGTACCACAGCTGGGATAAATGTCAGCAACCGAGCCTAGTTACCGAGAATGAGTCACGCTCTCAGCCACAGCTCTTCACAAAGAGCTGGATGAATGTGCAGTTTTGAGAAGTGCTCTGCAGAGAGCTGCTGCCTTTGAAACCCTTGATCTGTTGACCTCAGTGTGCATTGTTAACTGTGTGGTTTCTATGAGACAAATGCAATTTAACTGCAGTCCGGCTTAAACACATGAATTTTAAAGCACGAGTTGTTTTCTGAGATGCAACTTGAAAACTTGAAAGCAGCAGGTCCAGCTCTGTGCCACCAGCACACAGACACTCATTCCATCACCCCCCTGTGTCCCCTGCAGTGCCGTGATGCCCTCACCACCCGCCAGAAGCTGATTGCCCAGGACTACAAAGTGAGTTACTCGCTGGCCAAGTCCTGTAAGAGTGACCTGAAGAAGTACCGGTGCAATGTGGAGAACCTTCCCCGCTCCCGGGAAGCCCGGCTGTCCTACCTCCTGATGTGCCTGGAGTCTGCAGTGCACAGAGGTGAGTGCAGCTGAAGGCTCGCTGGGACCACGATTTTAAAAGTTTCTTCACCTTCACCGTTAATTGACAGTCCCTTTCTCCAAGTACCTTTTTCCAGGCTTTGGTTCAGAGGCAAGTTTCCACATCGTGGTGCTTTCCCCCACTCTTGTTATTGTTGAGGAGAATGGCTGAGTAAACCTCTGCTGCTGTCTCCTATTGTGTAGACAAGAAGTTTAAAATGCAAAATACCAAATCCCACTTGGACTGCTGATGTGTAGTTGCAAATCCTTCTATTCACTGTGAATTCAAGCAGCTCTTTTCTTCCTTTGTGTAGTGAGCATTAAATATGCTACAAGGTTAAAACACAGCATAGAGAACCTGTTTATCCTCGCTCAGGGAAAGCCAGGGATACTCAGTCCTCTGCCTCCTGTAAATGATGTCTTTCCTTGCAGTTCAGGAGCTTGGGTAAATGCCTTAATTTCTCTAACTCTATTTTTTTCCTAAATAAAAGAAGGTAAGCACGAGAATATTATTTTTTTCATTGAAATTATTGTAAGCTGGACATGCCCTAACACCAGCTGCTGTCCCAAAGGCATTAGAGGGCTGAATGCAGCAGGACCATGCTAAAGGTTCTCTGTGAAGTTGCCATAACATGTGAAATGATGTGTTACATCAATCCTCTGGATCTGCACTGGAGAAGTGCTTGTTTTTCCCTTGGCGTGCAGCTGGGTGGCTTTGCAGCAGGGCTCCATACAGTGCCTCTGGCATGGGAGGGAAAGGCTCCATAAGCAATCCCTGCTTTTGTGTGTTTGAATAACTTCATTGCCTCTGATTGATGTGGAAATGATGTGTCCTGTTTGTAGAAGAGTTGTGGGATCTTTCTTCCTTCTCCCTGCAGTAGGGCAGGTGCTTTTCTGAATTCCATGCTGTTCAGTTATTAACTTCCACTTTCACGGTGGAACAGGTTCTGCAGTGTCTGACACAAAGCACAGCCCAGGAGGAACAGTAATTATTCCACACAGCTCCACGTGTCTGTGTTACAGTGCCTGGGAGCCCCTGTTGGGGTGTCTCCTGTTCCATGGGGTGTTGTGCACATAGGAACAGGTTGTGATGAGGACTGGGAGGAGGATGTAACAAAAAAGCCAACATGGTCCTTTTGATTAAAAAAAAACCCCAAACTGTCTACATGGGGACTGCAGGAAAGCTTATAGCAGATCCAAGCATTTACTACAGCTAGATTCCTGTGCAGCTGCAGTGGTTTATTGGACACTCCATGCATGCTCTTGTTCTAGGCTGGTTTTTGGCTTCCTGAGCATTTATGTGCTGTTGCTCTAGAAAACCTTTTCCTCAGAGAAAACCTTTAACCTGCTGTCCTGACAAATTCCTCCCCCAGTTACATATCAAACTGGTGAACTACCAGAGGAGACTCACACAGTGGAAAAATGAGCCCTGGAGCACGTGGGGTAAAGCTGTTTGTGGTACAGAACTGCAGACCCACTGAGCGCTCTTGGGTGTTCTTCAGAACAACTCCCGTAATGTGAAATCCAAAATAAGCTTCTCTTAATCTTCCAGGAATCCTTTTTTAAAAAGCATGTTGGATCCTTAGCCTGGCTGTATTTTACAGGTTCATTTAAGTGACAGGAGCTACCACAGCCCTGGTTTGATGCCCAGCACGTCCTCTCCAGCGCACTTGTTGCAGTCTGGTGTTCAGAGCGTGGACGTTGTCGCTGCTCTTCCAGCACAACGGCAGCTCAGGTCAAGAAGGGCTCTGCTAAGCACTGAAACTAAACCACATCGTGTTCTCTTGGCTCAGGTCGACAAGTGAGCAGCGAGTGCCAGGGCGAGATGCTGGATTACCGGCGCATGCTGATGGAAGACTTCTCTCTGAGCCCGGAGATCATCCTGAGCTGCCGAGGGGAGATCGAGCACCACTGCTCCGGCCTGCACCGCAAGGGCCGCACCCTGCACTGCCTCATGAAGGTCGTGCGGGGGGAGAAGGGCAACGTGGGGCTCAACTGTCAGCAGGCGGTAAGAGGCTCTTCTGTCACTTCCCCTGTGGTTTGCTCTGTTGGTAGGAGCGCTGGTGTGTCTGTTGTGCCTCGCGATGGAGGTTCTGCTGGAGTCAGCCTGGCTCTGCCGGGGAATGCTGGAGGCAGTTGTAAATTGCTCATGGTATGAAGTGTAGCTTGGTATCCAGCAGCACATTGGTAATGGTGGGGCTTTTCCCCTCAGAAAAATACATTTTGGATTGTCTTGCACTGGATTTTGTACTGGATCTCCCGTAGTTCTTCTCCCAACAGCTTTCAAGTCATGAAATTCTCTCCTGGGTGCAAGATGTAGGGAAACTTGCTTTTTGTAATTTTAAAATATTCCCTCTCCACTTTTTCCCCGTGCCCTGTCCTTGGAAATGCAGAAAACCTTCTCGAAGCACCTTCCCACTCAGTTTTATTTTTATTTCATTCAACTTAAATGATGGAAATGGAACTTCAGGGACAGAGAGTTGCTGCATGCTGGTTTAGTTGCAGCCACTGAAGAAAATGTAGTTTTTCTCCAAAATACCTTTGTAAATTGGGATAACTCTTTTTGCCTTTTCATTTTGGCCCAGATATATCCTGTTTGGGGGGTTTTTACATTGAAGACAATAATTTAATTTTTGTCCAAACTCATTAGTGCTTTTTAATACGTTACATTTTTGTACTTAATACTTACTTTTCATGACCTGTGAGCCCAGAAGAAGTGACATCAATGACAAAACTGGTGAGGGAGTGTTAGTTCTGATGCAGGAATTTGGGGAGATGTATGACTGTGACTTCCTGCAATATGTGGAACCAGTAGCTTAAAGCCTGAGCCCCAAGTGGTGCCCGTTTGTGCATATTATCACAGGTAAATTAATACCTGCTCAGTTTTCTTTAGGCACAGGGTGTTGGGTGACGGAGCTCATTTCTGCACAAACACCAGGTGTGCTGGTGCAGCAGCTGCGCAGTTTGAGTCACTTCTGTGGGGAGCTGTGCTGGGTGACTCGTGCTTTGCAGCCTTTGTGGGAAAAACCCACTGTTTGTTTCTGTTCAAATGTGAGAATGAATCTGCTGCCTCCGTACCTGATTATTTGCAAATTGTCATGAAATCAGTTCATCTTGGGAATAACTTTCAGATCATGAAGGGTGGGTTCGGAACAACTCCTAAGTCAAGATAGGACACCCCCAAAAATGATATGAGATTTCAAACTTTTGGAGAAAAATAGCTGTAGAAATCTATAGCAAGTTTGGGGGTTTTACACTTCTCTTATGCTTGAGCTGCTGCTTTATTTTTGTACACTAAGTTGATGCAATAATACAGCTTGTCCACGACTCCCCTTCAAGTTAAATGTGTTCTGTTCTCTGCAAAACACAGCAGGAGCAAATTAAGTGTTGATTTTATAAAATACAATTAGCTTGTCCTTGTTCTTATGGGCAAGAGGAAATAGATTATTGCAAGAATGTGATAAACATTCCAACGATCTGAGTTCCTGAAGACTGGCATGGTACTATTATAAAGCTGCTGACAACTTGTGAGGTACTAAATAATTTATTGTTATCCTTGTATTTGAATGGTAAGGGTTGTCTCAGCTGTCAGTGACTTTGTTCTGTTTTGATTTATTGTGTTAGAATCAACTTCCTACTTTTTACCTTTCAAATTAGCTTTTCAAGGAAGAGACTTTTACTGCCTGAAACCCTTCCAGATACTGTGGGACTTGAGCAATAGACTCCTTGTCATATGACAGGCCCTGAAGATGGCAAGTTAGACACCCATCCTTTCAGAGTTCCTTTTGGGTACCTAGAGAGCACCTCTGAGGTGGTGCTGCTGTGGTTGGTGGTGGTGGCAGTGCTGGTCTGTGGCACCTCTGCATTTTCACCTGCAGGAACAGAGAACAGCAAGGGTGCTCTGGGGGGGTCCCAGCAAAGCTGGCTGCAGTGCTTTGGGTCCATCTCCAGATGTCTTCCCTACACAGTCAGAAGCTCATGTGTCCATGCTTTTTTAGCAGCATTGTTAGGGAATGCTAAAGCAGCTCCTTGATTTCTTGGCTAACTCAAAGCAGTAGTTCTTGTGCTGAAATTCTTCCTTATAGAAGCTCTGTGACCAGACACACCTGCCTGGACAGTTTGCCTGAGGAAACTGAGAGGAATCATCTAATTTGGATCTGGTTTTCCTGTTGTGTCTGTGAAGGTTTACTCTGATTCAGCTTGCCTTAGGAAGATGTTTGCCTATCTGCCAAAAACAGCATAAAGAATCCTAAAACAACACCACACAACCAAAGAACCTCCGTGATTTTATTTTCCTACAGGAGCGTCTGCTCTTACCCTTTCCTGCAGGTAGAATATGAGCGAGCATTTGTATTTAAAGCTGTCAATGAAATGCATTCCCAGACATTCTCAAACCCCAGTGTTTTGATCTGAGAAGTTCCATTTCTTGTGAGACACCTCAGCCAGAGTGATCTTGCACAACAGGAGTTTGTGCTCACACTTAACTGTGCTGTTGTGCAAGGAGCACATCTGTCCCAAATGTCTGAGCTGTGTGGGGCTTTTGCCTTGCTCTTGGTCAGTGAACTTGCCAAAATGCCATTGTGTCCTGTGAATGGTGGGAAGAACAGTGGCTTTCTGCGCAACATAAGTGGTTCAGCCCAAGTTAGAAAAGAACTGAGTGTTTGTTCAGCCTGTCTTGCCACACTGGGATCTTTAGGGATCCTCCACATGGGGAGGGTGTAAGTCATCAGACTTATTATTATAATCCCTCCTTAAAGGGCATATGTTTTTTTGTTTTCAGTTTCTAATGCAGCTGATAGTTCATTGTTAGTTGAGCTATATCAGGATAAAAGTTCAGAGGACTGTCAAGTTCATCCAGCTCCATTTCTTCAGCTGCAGGGGTTTGTTGTGGGAGGAAGGAGAATCCTTTACAACCTTCACTTTTATCACTGTGCCAAATTATTCCTTCTTCCCTGCAGTCAGGGCAGCTGGCTTGGTGCTGCACATCTTGCATGTGGTTGAGAACTGAGACAGTGAATTCTGCAGTAGTGCCCAAAACAGGGTGGAAGGACAAGGAGGTGCTTCGCTGCTTCCAAGCTCTTATACCCAGTGGGTTTTGGCCTCTTCCACTTGATAGCAAGAAAAATACCAATTAAACTGAGATCTGAGGAAGAATCCTGCCTACATAATGCTCTGGCCAGTTTATTTAATCTGTGTGTGTAAGAAAGTGTTAGGTTTGTGGTTCTATTCACCCGATTTTCCTTGAGGCACCAATTCCACTGATCGTACTGGAACCTTTTTGATACATAAACATCTGACACAAAGTGATGCCAGCACTTTATATACAGAATATTGCTCATCCATGCAGGCTGTGTGTGTGTGCACCAGCAGAACCACAACGTTCTTCTCCTCCTTGCAGTGACTCTTACAGAGTTTGTAAAGAACACATCACTTCTCACTTCTGCTGGTCCCTGTTAGGAACTGGATCTTGTGTTGGCTTTTATTGGACCACTATCAGATGTTTATTTATTATTTTTATTTTTATTTTTATTTTTTAGTGAAAATATCCCAAGAATTTTGGATAGGCAGTGCTCTTCTGATATGCCTGCATCCCTTGGAAGCTGAGGCTGGGCATAATTAAGAGCAAGTTGCAGGAAATTCTGCTTTCCTCCCAGGCAGTCTGTGGTCTGGCCTGATGATTATAAGTTTCCTATTGGATAAGTAGTGCTAGCTGGTATTTTCTCCTGTTCTCTGATGCTTTTTTTCTTCCCTGTGTTTTGTGATGTTAGGGCTTTGCCCCTGAGAGTTTCCTGGATGGTGTTTAGGTGTAGACTTTGAAAGGTGGAGGATAAAATTGTGACTGTGCTTTTGATTTAGTTGGGCTGGGGGCCAGTGACAAAAATCATTAAGCAAGTGTCAAGATGTTAACAGCATAGAGCATTTGATGTCAGTGTGCAGTTGCCTTCTAAGCAAGCTCTCTGCCTTTTTTTTTTTTCCTTTCCCCTCCAAATCTGTCAGCTAAAAATGTTTGCCTGTCAAATGATGATACCAGTCTGCTCTCAGTCAGTCTTTGGGAATTCACAGCTTGATGGAAAATGAAGTGGGGCTGAGTTACAGTCCAGAAACTACTGATTAATTGAGATTTACCCAAATTCCCTTCCCCTGGCCCAGCAAACACCTCCCAAATTTATGTTCAAATGCCACTGACTGTTTCTGGATCTGATTTTGAAACTTAGTGCTAAACATGCTAAATGGTGTTTCCTTATTAGTAAGAGAAAATTCTTTTTCTGGAGCTTTTGACAGAATAACATTTTCACAAGAATAAAAGACTTGATGGAACTGTTCATACTGTATTTACCTATGACAGCTGAAAGCATTTTTAAGTCATAAAGGGAGTGGTGGAATATATATATATATATATATATAAATAAAAAGTGCATACTATAGACCTTGGCTTCCAAAAGCTTGAGCAGGCATCCCTGAGGAAATCAAGGATTCTTCATGGGGCAGCAGAACAGGACATTTTATCTTGTATTGCAGTAAAACCTTTATGTCCTCTCCAGGCAATTAAAAACCTGGTTTAAGTTTTATTTGTAGTTAGGCAACTGGTCTTTAAGCATTGATTTGGGTTTCAGTTGGAAATAGCCTTCATGAAAATATGACAAATCTGCATGCCTGGTATCCTCAGCCTTATGGAATGAGGTTGCCACCAAGGACTAAGATGGATCAGGAATACAGTATGCAAATGTTACCAGTTCAGTTCTGTAAATTAGTACATAAGTGGTCCAGCTTCACAGTTGACCTTCAGTGTGTGACTGGTCTCATCCAAAGTTCCTGGGCTACTTCATAATGCTAATTAGGGTTCAGCAGTGCTGGGCTCCCATGTCCGGAGGTTGAGTTGACAGCACGGGCACTTAAAATCAAGCACTGCAGGGCAGAGGCCATTCATGGCAGCATTGCTGCTGGTGTAGAATTGGCACACTGAGAGGCTGGAATTGAGGTTGTTAACATTTGTCCTCCTGTCCACAATTTCTTTCTCGCAGCTGCAGACGCTGATCCAGGAGACGGACCCCGGTGCCGATTACCGCATCGACCGCGCGCTCAACGAGGCCTGCGAGTCGGTGATCCAGACGGCCTGCAAGCACATCCGCTCCGGAGACCCCATGTAAGTCCTCCCACTTAGAACTGACTGTGTGGCTCAGCAGCACGAGTAAAACCTGTCCAGAAATGAGGGACTCCAGAGTGGCAGTTCCTACAGGGCTGCAGGTGTGAACAGAGCTCTGTGCCCCCTCTTGCTGCACAAGCAGGCCGGTATTTTTGTCAGGGGGCTGGTTTAGCACTGGTGAAGGATGTGGCTATCTCAGGCACTTAGATTTTGTGATGTTTCTGTTATTTGATGTGCTCACTTCCCTAACTATGGAAGGCTTTAGCAATATCACAAAGTGACAAGCCTGGAAAGGCCAGGTAAGCAAACCCATAGTGCAGAGACAGGTGCCTTCAGTCTGAGAATATATTTTCCCCCGAGACAGATTTTCTACAGAATACTCCTTAAGATTATTGTTGTATATCAGGCTTGCTGAGATAACTAAAACAATGGAATTTAAAAGGGTACAAATCTGATACACAGTTGGTTTAGATCTAATCTTTTGGAAGGAAAAGAAAGATCTTCACTGCGTTTGAACATCTTATCTGTGGTTCATTGGAAAGACTGATTTGCCAACACCAGCGTGATTCTAACAGTCTCTGGCCTAACTTTTCTGTTTGCAGGATTCTGTCTTGCCTGATGGAACACTTGTATACTGAGAAGATGGTAGAGGACTGTGAGCACAGGCTCCTGGAGCTGCAGTATTTTATTTCTCGTGACTGGAAGTGAGTACTGTAACACGAGATTCACGCTCACTCGGTGTTTGTGTTTAGTGTTTGTGTGCATTAGCAGTTCCTGGTAAAGCAGCACCACTTAGGAGTGTTCAGAGAGGCTTTTTCCATGTGCCAGGTCTGTAGGGTGCTAATGCCTGTTGAGAACAGTAGAAGCAAAAGCTGCTTAGAAAAGGTGTTGTGCCACTTAAATCAGGTACTCTCTTAGAAATGGTGCAACCCTGAAAAGTGCTCAAGTTTGGGCTCTGAAATTCAATGCAGCTTTAAAGAATTCTGTCTGGCTGTCCTGAAGTTGAAGGTCACTTTCTGTGCAGGTGGCAGCCACTTGCATCTGCTCTGACTGCTACAATATGGGACTTATGGAAACCAAGCTTTTAAGTATAACAAAGGGATGCTGTGTGAGAAACTTCCTGCTTCCATTTCTGCCTTTTTTTCAAATTCTCTGGGTGTGATTACAGTAGAACAGATGTAATACCCTTTGGAGCACTGCTTTTCCAGCTTTCTCATCCAGAGATGGCAGTGCTTTGTTCTAAATGAATACAAAGCCCCTTGTGTCTGTGCTGGTTAAGATGAGGAGAATATAAATTTGATAAACACAACCAGTGAGGAAGGAATAAGTGTTTGGCTTGTCTTCTAAAGAAGATCGAGGGGTGAGGAAGTGGAGTACATTAAATGGAATTACTGCAAGGCATTGAATAATTGTTCTCAGTGGCCACAAAGAGTGTAAGGCTTTGATTACTGCAAGGGGTGTGTGAACCAAACATCAGGAAAATCTGCACTCATAGCAAGTCATCTCTTTATGGGTAGCATTGCCAGTGGTTAAGAACTGGCATGCTCTGTGAACCTCTGCTTTTAAAATACATGGGGCTTTGTGAACCAGAGAGTTTACGACCTTGTGGCAGTTTATTTAGTCATCTTGATAACTGTCTCCCTAGGTACACAAAAATACTTAATTTTTCCCCTTCCTGTTTCCCTTCTTTGTTAGTTCTCCTGCCTGTACCATGTTTCCAGCAGGTAATTCATTGCTTGAGCCAAACTTAAGTGATTGAAAGAAGGAGGACTGAGTATTTGCGTTTTACTGGGAGTAAAGATAACTCAAATTTATATTGCAGGCTGGGCAGCATTAGCTCATCTTTGTTTAACCACTGTTCCTCAGAACTGGCTTTTAAAAGCTGTTGCATTTGCTGTGCCCCTCCACTGAAATCACTTGATGTTTGTCTTCTGTAGTGTTGTAGAAATCTCAGGTTTCCTTTTTGGAAAGTTAGCAATATCTTACCTTTCATGTAATTAACTGCCATCCTAAGATATCTGCACTTGTATACAAAAGCAAGAGATGCTGAGTCTTCAGTTGGCTCAAATCCAGGGCGGACAGAATTAATCCAGGTCAGATTTTTATGGAAGTGGTGTTTCAGAATGGCAGCAGTACAAAGTGCACACAAGATATTAGACAAGCAGAATGTGGTGTGTACCTGCCTTTCCGCTGCTCTAGGACATCAAGGAGATGATTTCTTTTCTCACGTGTCAGCTGGTATGCTGCAGAACAGAATGGGAGTGGCTTCAATAAGTTTGGAGATGTAATCTGGAATTTAAGATTTCGGTGTTATTTTTGCAAGATCACGGAGTTGATTCCGAATTGAGCGATGAGCATTTTTCTGCCTGTTGGTTCAGTTGGTCAGACACTGCTGCTGAGAGATGTGGTGGTGGTGCCTGAAACTCGGAGTGGATTTTCTGCCTCAAAAGCGCTTCAGAATACGAAAAGCCTTCCAGGTTTGAAGGCAGTGCCAGTGATGCCCCTTGTGTTTGCAGGCTGGACACGGTCCTGTACCGCAAGTGCCAGGGAGACGCCTCCCGTCTCTGCCATACCCACGGCTGGAACGAGACCAGCGAGCTGATGCCTCCAGGGGCTGTTTTCTCCTGCCTGTACAGGCATGCCTATCGCACAGAGGAGCAAGGGAGGAGGGTGAGTGCCGGTGTGCAGCTTGCTGCTCTTTCATCTGGGGTGGGAGGGTTGTTTGAAGTTGGACACGCTGTGATAAAACTGCCAGAGCTCCAGAAAGCTGCTGCAGAAGCATTTACCATGGGGGTAGTTGCACTGCTGTGGGTGCCCAACTCCTCCTCAAGCGTTCCCTGAAGGTGGCTGTTCTGACAAGGCAGAATAGGCCCAGCAGGATGTGACATGGGCCACTGGGGGGAACTGTGTGCTGACACCGACCTAAGGATCTGTTCAAATGCAGTGCAGGTCCTCCCCCATATCTTTCCAAAGAGGAATGTGATTCCTTGCAGATAGCTAGCATAGCTGCAAAATTGGTTTTATGCTAAAAGAGTTTCAAGCTCAGCTTTCCTTGGCTGTTTCTAATTAAGTTTTGATTTGTGTACAGCTTCAGATTATACTCCATTAAATTCTTTCTATTGATAAAACACATCCTTCCAGTCCTTTGAGCATGCTGTCCTGATAAATGTGCTCATGCTGCCTTTGAAGAAGACAGTAGGGATCTGACTTGCTGCCCTGCAGCCTGGAAATCCACCATAATGGCATCTGTAGTTCAGAGCTGCTCTTTTCAAGTGTGCTGCCCTCTCGTGCCTTTATCAGGGCACTCAGTTGAAAGCAGCTGGGTACTCACTTCCATTTCTTCTGGCACTGTGGTGTACACAGCCCCTAGCACTTGGTGGGTTTACACAGTGGCCTGGCTTAAAAATTAATTTCCACAGCTTGATTTAAAAGGTCTTTTGTGGCAGAGGTCAAGTATTGATTGAAAGCATCTCTCTTTTAGGAATAATTTTTATTTAATGCAGTTTCTTAGTCTGCTGAGTTGAGACTTTTTAATTCCATTTTATATTAGTGCTGACCAAAGAAATCAATAGCCACCCTGCAAATAATCTATCAGAGAGAGAAAAGGTTTTTAAATGTGTTTTTCTAGTGGAAAGTAGGCTAAGGGAGCAGCTGTCACTTTGAAATTTAGTGTTGGAGAGCAAACTCTTGGGAGGTTAGACCTGTGCTTCCTTCCAGTGCTGTTGACAAAATGCTATATAACTTCCAGTGGTTTGGATTTTTAAACGTTTGAAGTTTTAAGCTTTAGCTAGTGCATTTTAGGTCTGATAAGCACCATCCCAGTATTTCTTGGTTTTCTACAATTTGTTTCTTCCTGTCTTTTAAATACTGCATTCGGGATTGCTGAGCAGAAATTCCAGCTGGGACTGTATTGCCTCATTCTGGGCTCCCCGTTTGGTATCGAGGGCATGAGCTATTTTGACTTTCTTCTCCAGAAGCTTTGAGTGAAGGGGGGTGGTGCTGCAGACAGCCTAGGGACCTGCTCCGCTGTCTCATTTCAGAAATCAAAGTAAAGCTTTCAGAGTATAAAATTTAACTTTAGTGGCATGAGAGGAGCTTCTGTCCAAAGTAAATGACAGAGCTCCAAACTCTTTCGGAGCCCAAATCGCTTTTGGGGGCCCTGGCAGACCTGTTCTGAGCAGTGCAGGACTCCTGTGCTTCCCGGCATTGCTGATGGCATTTGTGGTCACTCTCAGAACTTCACCTGACAGCATCTTCTTTGCTCTGAGTGGATTCAGAGAGCCCACGTGCCTAAAGAGTCCCTGCCCTCCTTGCAGCTATCGCGGGAGTGCCGGGCGGAGGTGCAGAGGATCCTCCACCAGCGAGCCATGGACGTGAAGCTGGACCCAGCCCTGCAGGACAAGTGCATGATTGACCTGGGGAAGTGGTGCAGCGAGAAAACAGAGACAGGGCAGGTACTGTACACGGGATCACTGCTGCTTTGGGTGCCGAGCTGGAGGGTGGGGCAGGGCAGAAAGGGCTTAAAGGGATGTCTTGTTGCATGCTGCCTCTTTACAACAGAGAATGTATTAAAAATTAGTGCAGTGTGAAACAGAATCTACAGCAGACTGAGAGGTGGAGATGATACAAAGGAGCTTTGCACATACTGCCTGGCTTCAGTAGGTTCCAGTGTGTAGTGGAATGAGAAGGGGAAGGGGGTAGGTTAGCCAGAAGGACTTTATTGAAGCAACCCCACCCCTCAACCTCTTACGTGTAATATTCTATTACAAGCTTGACATTTCCCACATAAACTTTATCCCATTTCCATTTGGCAAATAGTGACATGCTTCCTGTGTTTATAGAGAACTGAACCAACATCTGTAGCTACTTAACAAAAGTTTCAACAAATACTTTCCTGTTCAATTGCTGTGCCCTGGGAGGGCTGTAGGGAGGGAGCCGTTCAGCAGCACGTGCTGTGGATCACACACCGCTGTCCTTTGGAAGTGCCCACCACAGGTTGCAGTTTGGGTAACCAACCTCTCCTTCAGGTCATGCAAAGGGCAAACTAAATGTGGTATTCCAGAAGTGGAAGCACATCATGCAGCCTTTGAGAGCAAGTGGTAACATCTTAGACCAACGTTCTCAGTCACTGCTATGTGTGGGAGTTTGGGAGTGCCAGCTAAGAGTGGGATTAAATGAGATTTAGGACCTCATAATAAGAGGATAAGAGGAAGGCAATTTCACATGGATAGCAGTGTTTTAAGCCCAAAATTTCAGCTTGGGTCCTTGGATGACACACTGAAATGTCTGTTCCTGCAGGAGCTGGAATGCCTTCAGGACCATCTTGATGACTTGGTGTCTGATTGCAGGGACATAGTGGGAAACCTCACTGAGCTGGAGTCTGAGGTGAGTGCTTTCCAGCCCGGGGTGAAGGGAAGAGCTGAGCATGTCTGGTTAAGCATGTAATTTTGATGATGGTGAAAAAAACTTGAGGTTAGAGGAACTGCAGAAATGCAGCTCTGGGATCAGAGAACATACTTTTTACCCCATACCATGGAAGTTTTCATGGGGAGTTCTTGAGGAAGAGAAATGAGCAACAGTTCGGGATTTTAGGTTGGTGAGGGCATTTCTCCTGCTTAAAAGATCACTTATGGTACTGAAGCTAACATTTCTTTCACAGGTAACCCACGTACCTTTAATACAAGTCAAGATCCATGTTGGGATTTCAGATTTTGGTCTTGCTTGCAAGTAGTTTTGAGTACCATATTGCATATCCCTCCCTATCCCAAATTTTTGCAAGAAATAACCACCAGGTAGATCAGTAGAGATTTTCAATGAGGTTGGCAGCTTAAACTGTTTTATGAAGCTGCATATTTGACTGTCATGCCCCAGATGGTTTGGCATATCACTTAAAATTTACATTGTGCCCTAGGGAAATCTTCCTTTCAGTGGTTAGAAACTTTTATTTGCTCATAACTGTCATAAATCTTCAACTTCTACCTGGGTGTAAGGTCATTTCTAGTGCTGTAGCACCCAGTTTGGAGGGGTCTGGTTGAATTATCCAAGAAAGGAGTTTCTGTGGAGACCAGGCTCTTTCCTTTAGGTGGAAGGCTTGTCTTGCAGTTGCTGTGTTGTTGGCAAGACTGAACCGTGGGGTTTGCAGAACTGAAGGCTGAAGCTGTCTGCATTGCATTTTTCAAAACCCTGTAATCTGGAGTTGGGTTTGAGTTTTTACCACAGGGGTTTTTTTCTCAGCCTTTTTTTCTTGTCCATTCACGGTGAAAACGAAATATTGCATGTTTTTTTCTGCAGGACATCCAAATTGAAGCCTTGCTGATGAGAGCATGTGAGCCCATTATCCAGACATTCTGTCATGTGAGTACTCTGTAGCAGTACATCTTTGAGGAAAAAGCACTTTGTGGGAAAGATCAGAGGGTTTTAGTATTAGTTCTTGCTACACTTCAAAAGTGAAATCAGAGGTAACCAGTTTCAAAAGTCTTTGGTTTAAAAATCACTCTAAAATAAAAATTCTTAGTGCCACCTAATCCTTCTGCTGTTGTCAGAGCCCCAGCATAAAAGACAGAGTTTAAAGATAAAAATTGCCCTGTAATTGCAAAAATCACTGTTTATAGTGAGTTAAATACTAGACTTATTTCCTTCTCCTTTACCTGCAACCAGTGGGTGTAGCCACTGCACTGTGTGCAGCTGCTCAGCACTACTGAAATAACTTCACTGATCCAAGATTGAGCAGTTAAATAGCAATGAAAATGGTCAGTCAGTAGTAACCTCACCATGGAGAGTGGGACTGTAAGTTCCTTATTTCCTGGTCACAGTTGTCTAAAGGAGCATAAAAACCATGACTTGTAGGAGTAGCTCATTTTTAAGCCTTTCATCTCTTTTTTTCAGGAGGTTGCAGATAACCAGATTGATTCTGGGGACCTGATGGAGTGTCTAATACAGAACAAACACCAGAAGGAAATGAATGAAAAATGTGCAATTGGAGTTACTCATTTCCAGCTGGTAAGCAATGCTTTCCTCTGTCAGTGGAAGCCTGTTCTGTTCTTTCAGGGTGCTGATTTATGAAACCCCTCCTTCTTTGAGATTGATTTCCCACTGTATTTAAAGAGCTCCTGTGGATTCAGACAGTCGTACTTTCATGCCTGATCATAAATGGTCACTTCTGGAGATGATTTAATTTCAGGTTCTCCTTCCTCCCTGGATATGGTAGAGAGGGGTCCCAACGTCCTCAGCAGTGCAGCACCACTCCTTGCTTCCACATTAACAAGCTGTGAATAAAAGCATTTGCTCATTGTGTGATTCAGCAAGTGTTCTTTTGGGCAACATTTTTGTGTTTCAGGTTTGGTTTTTTTTTTAAACTCCAGGTGACCAAAGTTGTTTTTCTCCCCATTTCTCTCTTGCAGGTCCAAATGAAAGATTTTAGGTTCTCATACAAGTTTAAAATGGCTTGCAAGGAGGATGTGCTGAAACTTTGCCCCAACATCAAAAAAAAGTATGTATGCTGACCAAACAGCAATCTGCTTGTATAAATATGTAATTAAGTTACAGGATATTTATGAGAGGACAAAAAACACTGGACTTCCTTTAAAGGCTGATTGTTCCCTTAGTGACTGTGTTTTAGCTGGTTTATTCAGTCAGTGTAAGGGTTTTTTTAATGGCCCACTGCAATGATGTAAGGCTGAATTACACACAAGGTCAGTCCTGTTTGTGGGTAGCAAGACTATTTGCATTTTATGATATCAGTGCCCTTCCTACAGTGCAAAAGGACTGCTTGCAGTGCTGGGTAGGAATTCACCTTCATCCCCTTCTGAGATTAAGCAAAGCTTTTCTAAAGTGCTGACGTGACTTAAGAGCCGAGGTCTTGCTGGGCAGAGGTGAGGTGGGATTTGGAATATATTCCTGTCTTTTGATCTAGACTCCAATTAGACAGCATCAGATTTAGGTTTTAATTGTGGTCCAATTGCTCTACAGAGAGCTGCACCCCAGCCAGAAGCAAACACAGATCCACAAGGGCTTTATATCGTGTTTGGATTCTCACAGTCGGCTTCTCTGGTTGGTGATCCAATACCAACCTGGGCTGGCTCAGTGAAGGGTGGATGAGTAAAGAGCTGTTTTCTCTTGTGCAGGGTGGATGTGGTGATCTGTCTGAGCACAACTGTGCGCAATGACACCTTGCAGGATGCCAAGGAGCACAGGGTCTCTCTGAAGTGCCGCAAACAGCTGCGTGTGGAGGAGCTGGAGATGGTAAACACGCCTGAAACTCTTGTTCTCCCCGCTCTTCTAGTCAGGTTCTTCAGTTAAAGCTTCCTGGTTTGTCCACTTTGTTTGGGGGGGGAGAGGGAAGGAAGCTCATTTGTAAGATATATCTAATTTATTTTTTCCACTCTTCTTACAACACGAGGCTCAATTGCCCTTCACGGTGAAAGTAATGATTGTCTACTTTAATGCCTTAAATGTAGTCTCAGGAAGGCCAAGGCAAGCTAAAATGGTCATTGGAATTTCAGCCACAAGTGATTATGTTTAGTGTTAGATAGCAACGTGCTGCACATGCTGATGTTCTTCAAGTCCTCTAGGAGAGAACAAAAGCTTCATTTTACAGACGGAGGAAACAAGCACAGATGAAGCAACTCGACTCCAGCTGCTTCAAGTTGCTCAGTGGATAAATAGGAGTAGTGTTTGTTCTGGTAGGCAAAGCTGCCTCTCAGCTTCCTGCTGCAGTGCTTGCAGCAATAAACTCTTAAGGTCTTTGTCCAGTAGATACTGTTTGAGTGTTAAAGCTTCACCTTAAGTAGGTCCATAGCAGAAAGAGGCATCACTCTTGCCTTTGTATGGAAGAATTCAAATTCTGGGCATCACCAAAAGCAGGAAACTTCAGTCACAGCCTCTGGATCACCTGCTAGATGGGTGGCTGTTAAGATGTCCTTAAGCTTTCACACTGAAAGACTTGAGTTTTCTTCGATGTTTGTGAGGATGCCCTTTTAGGAGAAGCAGTGGAAACAACTGACCGGCTCTAAAATTTGATTTAAACCTTTTCTTCAGTCTAAAAAGCTAACTGATCACTGCGGGGAATTGCAAAGTTGATTTCCCACTGTCACTTCTTGCACCCAAGATCCTTAAATTCAAAGAAACTGAATGCCTGTTGTGAGAGTTTCTTGCTTTTTGTGAGTAGAGTCCTCTAGTTAAGAGATGAACAAAGTAAAATAGCCTTGAGTCCTATTTAATAAAGTTCATATTGTAATTTGTCCTGCAGACTGAGGATATCAGACTTGAACCAGAACTGTATGAGGCTTGTAAAAGTGACATCAAGAATTACTGCCAAAACGTGCCCTATGGCAACGCTCAGGTAATGAACTTTATTAATAATTTACAATTTAATTTATACTTTCATTTCAGAAAACTTTTGAAGAGCACTTTTGCCCCTGTAAGTGCAGCTTGAGATTTTCATTTTGATATCACTGAACTATTTGGAATGTTAATTTCTTTTTTGCCACTGATGCACAAGCGTTAATACTGGGTGAATGCAGAGCTGTGAGCACTTCATTCTTCAGTTAATGCTAATTTTAAGCTATTAGCAGCTGGTTACTGCAAATGTTGCTAAAAGATTTCCTAGGCATAATGTCTGCGAGATGAGATTTGCGGGTTTGGAGTAAGTCCAGGAGAGCCTCTTCATCTCATTAAACCTTTGTGAGAAAAGATGAGCTTAAAGCAAGTCCTGGAAATGAGCACCTAGTAATGACTGATAAAATCTGGGCCTTGGGAGCTTAACTGCCCAAGTCAGGTGAAGGGGGACACACAGCTGTGTGTGACAGAATCCACAGGGTGTCCCTCACACTGCAATGCTGTGTTGCAGATTATTGAATGCCTGAAAGAAATCAAGAAGCAGTTGAGCACACGGTGCCACCAGAAGGTGTTCAAGCTGCAGGAGACGGAGATGATGGATCCAGAACTGGACTACACACTCATGAGAGTCTGCAAGCAGATGATCAAGGTAATGTTAGTGCTTGTTGGAGAGGGTGAGGTTGGGATATAAGAGCTCTGTTGGCTTCAAGCTTCCCATAAAGGCTCGTTACGAGACTGCTGTGGTGTTTCAGGAGTGTGATTGCATTTTTTGCAGAGTAATCTGTTTCTTAACTCTGAATCAGGCTGAAGTTTCTTCAGGGCTCTTCTCTTCCAACTTCCTGATCAAAGCCTGTGCATTAATAAATTTGACTACAGAATTGAGGAGGCAATCTGTGCACAGGCTTCTAGTGCAGTGTTCATTCAGGCAGTTTGGATTAGGATTGGCTTTATACCAAGGTGAAGAAATTACAATTACAGAGAAGAGCAAAATCTTCAGTTCACTGCTGACCTGGTGCACCCAGACTTTCATCAAAGCAATAAAGCAGGCAAAATTATGCAAAATTAAAAATTCAAAATTATAGCTGAAAGTGGTACCACGTGGAAAGCAGCAGTGAATGTTCATATAAGACATTCTCTCACAGTAGCAAAAATTGCAAGCCCTGAAACATTAGTGTGTGTGGGTTCTGTGCAGTGCCCTTACTCCATATTTTGGCTGAAGAAGCACATCTCCACAATTTTTTGCTCTCCAGTGCAGACTCATGCTTTTAAACAAAGACCTGTGATCTCACCAAAGCAGTGAGGATTAGAAGATGCAACAGCCTTATCTTACACCCACAGAGTTAGTTTCTAACAAAAGAAAGTAGTAACTGGGTATGAATTTTGGGTAAGCTGGTTCACTTTTGACTATCTGACTGAGGGCAGGAATGGGCACATTAATATCAGTGAACTCCTCTCTGCTTTGTCCTTCTCTGTGGTCTTAGTTTGTCCTGAGCATTAATAATGAAGTTGCTTTGTCCAGACAGCATTTATACAGAACAGTAGCATGTGTAGAGACTTAAAGATTGCTTTTTTAGTTTCTAAAATAAAGAGGAGCAAAAGTATTTGAGTATGAGGCCTAATCTGGTGGGTATTTTTTTCCAAGTGTGCTGTATCTTAAGAACAGGAAATAAATAAAGGCAATTTGCTTTTGATAGAGCCAACATGAGGTGGTGTTGGTGTAGAAGCCAGTCAGGACTGTCCAGCTCAGTGCTCAGTCTGCAAGCACAGACATTGATGCCCTCAGAGAGTAGCCCTGTTCTCTGTAATAGGTGTTGGGGGTTGGGACTGTGTGCACCTCTGTGCTGGGCACGTGGTTATTCTCTTCCATGAATTAGAAGCTGCTGGTTGGGTTTGGGTTTTGCTTTTTCAAGTGCTTAGTGATGAAACTTGTTGTTTTTTGGGTCTTTTTTGGGTAGCGGTTCTGTCCAGAGGCAGACTCAAAAAATATGCTGCAGTGTTTGAAACAAAACAAGAACAGTGAAGTGATGGATCCGAAGTGCAAGCAGATGATTACCAAGCGCCAGATCACACAGAACACAGGTATGTCCTTCTGAAAAACACTTGACTTGCTTGCCTGAGCTGTTCAGTGGTTTGCATGGCTGGAACAATATCGGTTTTGTTTTATTCTTCATGTTTTTCTGGGCACACTCTGATCTCAGTCAAGTTCTTGAGGGTCAGCATGTGTTTTTGCATCCTCTTTATTCCTGAAGCTCTCACCTCACAATTTGAAATTCTGTTGTGAAGAAATACTATTTTGTCCCCAGAATTAAGTTCCTTGGTGGTACAATGTCATCCAGGAAATTCCTATCCAGTGTCTTTCAGAGTGTTGTGTTCTGCAGCCTAAAGAGGTGTGTGCTCTAATGAAGTCCTGTCCCCTTTCCCACTTAGATTACCGCTTAAATCCCGTGCTCAGGAAGGCGTGCAAAGCAGACATCCCAAAATTCTGCCAAAACATCCTCAATAGGGCCAAGGATGATACAGAGTTGGAAGGGCAGGTCATCTCATGCCTGAAGTTGAAATATGCAGACCAGGTGAGTAGAGCTTGCAGGTGAGAAAATGTGCAGGATCGTGCTGAGCAACAGTCACTGAACAACAAATCAAACTTGGGCTCGTGGCGTGTTCAGTGTTTGTAACAGGCTGTAGGTAAATGAGGTTTCTATGTTCCTGTGCAGGGATTAGAGAATACAGAGGTTAAAATACAAGGTGATTGATTTGTGAAAGTGAAGGTCAGTGAGTGAGTTAATGACTTGCTCCTCTTCACAGCGTCTCTCTCCTGACTGCGAGGACCAAATTCGAGTCATAATCCAGGAATCAGCCCTCGATTACCGGCTGGATCCCCAGCTTCAGATGCACTGCTCTGATGAGGTAGGAGAAGTAGCTCCATAGCTACGTTTTCAGGATGAAAACTCCCTTCATGTAACAGATTTTTGTTTCTTAAAACAAGAAGCTTCCCGATAATGAAATTAAAACCAAATCCCTTTGAGCTGCCTCTGGTTGGTCAGAGTCTCTGCTTGTGACTTTTGCCCAGTGTGCAAGAATTGCAGCTTCCTGTGTGGTGCTAATATGGAGTTAAATTTTTTATTTGGGATCTCATCAGTACTTGTGACTATGGAAAAATGCTGCTTTCCTGTTGTCAAAAAAAATGTCTGTTAGTTCTCTGGTCTTGTCAGCCTTAACTGGAATACATTCAGGTTTTTGAGTTTTCACTTTTGATAACAGAGTTGGTCATGCTTCAAGTGTTACTTATTTCATACTTTCATATTCTTTCCATGCTGTTTTCCTCCCTGCCCTCCTCCTCAGTACAGCAATATTGACTTCTTGCTGCTGGGTTTCAAAGGGTATGCATATTGCATGAGCCAGGCTGCATTTGGCTCTGGGGATTTGGGGGGAAGGAATCTCATCATGCATTCTCTAGCTGTGCCCTGTATGTACTATACTAATGTATTGGGATATAAATGTGCTAAAAGGCAGAATGATTGTTGTGAACTACTTATGTTAAAACACCTTTTTCAAAATAGATTTCCAGCTTGTGTGCAGAGGAAGCAGCAGCTCAGGAGCAGACGGGGCAGGTGGAAGAATGTCTGAAAGTGAATCTGCTGAAAATAAAAACTGAAATGTGCAAGAAGGTAAAGGAAATAAATTGGATGTGCTCTAAAAGGCATCCCATCCCTGCAGAAGTGTGTGATTTTTCCAGATCACAGCCTAGGTCGTGTTCTAGCTATTACGAGGCCAGAGCTCTGAGGTTTCCCTACACATCTCTGTTCTGGCCTGCAGTGATTCAATCCAGTTTCAATTTGCCAGTCAAAATTGTGTCGACAGTGCCTCCTTTGCAATTTCCAGGCTTGAATTCTTCCTTGACTGTGGTTGCCAAAGTTTCTTGTTACTGATCTGTTTGCTGGTGCTGTCTCCTTTGCAGGCTGCCTGGGTGCTGGGCATGGCCTGGGCACGGCTGTAGGAATCACCCCAGGGCTGATTTCAGTTCTAACTGAAGAACCTTGGCATGTTATCTTTGTATTTTAGGTTAATATGAGTATTTTAATGAACAGAACTACTGTGAATGTTACAGACCACGACACTTAATTAAGCCTAAACTAGCATTCATAGCCTCCTCCAGGGACAGTGGTGGATTTTCTCGTGATCCTGGATTTTAAAAGTCGGTACACCTTCCAGAAACATTGAGCAGCATGAGCTTTGTTCTCTCTCCCTTTTCTGAGGTGTACTTGTAATTTCCTCCTCCCCAGGAAGTGCTCAACATGCTGAAGGAGAGCAAAGCAGATATATTTGTTGACCCAGTGCTCCACACAGCCTGTGCCCTCGACATCAAACACCACTGTGCTGCCATTCCACCGGGGAGAGGACGCCGTAAGTGCTGTACTTGTGTAACCTCTCACTCCTCAAACACTTAACCTGCATTTTCTTGCCAGTGTAATCTTAAGTACAAGATATTTCCTGCAGTCATTTCTGGGCAACAGGATTGAACAGGTGGTAGGTGGATGGGTATCAGGAAGTCCTTCCTTGTGTCCTAGGCAGGACCTATTTATTCCTCAGTCCTCATATAAAATACCTTTGCAGCCTTACCTGCAGACTTAATGAGTATATTTTTGTGCCATCATTCACGTGATTGCTGACAATAATGTGTGATACCAGATCCATAAACCTTCTGTAAAATCCCTCCTCAGTTAAATCCTGTTGAAAATGAACTCTTAATACACATGGACTCATTTTTCAGTGAGATTTATCTCCCACCACATATCAACTTCACACAAGATACAGCTCCCAAGCTTACTTATGACAGTGTTCTATCAGATAGTATCGAAAGCTTTCCTAGAACTAGGCTGCTTTTCATAAAGCAGCAAGTTGGTTTGGTTCACAAGAGTCATTCTTACCTAATCCTCTTGGTCCTTCTTTCTTTGTGTCAGTCTTTGTCCGTGGTTGGCTTCTTTGTTTCAGTATTTAGAATTAAACTGAAGTACTTTGATCTAATTTTTTTCTTCTCTGCTTGAACATACCAGTTTTTCCTTTTCCAACATGGCAAAGGGTACGTAATCATGGCTTGATTTTTGAAGTTCACAAAGCAGCTAAAGGCTTTGGGACTTCCTCAGCTGTTCTAAGTCCTCTGAGTTCAGCAAGTTCAGACTACTTGAAATATAGTGCAAATAAGTATTTCCTAACACTTTCTTTCCTGTTTGAGTCAGCTCTTGCACTTTGTTACTGCTGTTACGTGAGCTACCATAGTATGTGTGGCTGTTTAAGGAAAACTAGTGGTGAAAATAGTTCTGAACTTTCCCATCTTGCTGAGTTTATCTGGCATTAAAAAATAGCAGCCAAGTATTTTCCTGATCGTTATCTTTTGTGCTGGTTACTGAATGCCTTTTTGAAATTCTGGATATCCTTTATTTATTCCTGCTTTGTCATAATTCTTTTGATGTGTGTTCTGATGTGTGTGCACTGAAGGTCTGCAGGAGTCTGTAGCTTAGAGAGGGCTCTGCCTCCGAGTGCTTGAACTGCCAATTGTGTATTAAAAGTCTGGAGTTAGCTTAAAGTTTGCTGCCTGTTTGCTATGAACAAAATAACTCCTCTCTGCAAAGCAGAAAGCCTCCAATTAGGGATTAGTCAAGTATGGCAGCATGAGTATAAAATACAAAATTTGATGTCGGTGTCTCTTACGAGCATATAAAAGAGCTCATGAGTTGGCCAAGCCACTCCACAGGCACCAGAACACTGTGATCCCGCTTCCTCTTCACAGCACTGTGTGAAAACTCAGGAAGTTAAACGGTTCAGAGTATTTTGTTGATCAAAAGAAACTCCTAACAAGCCTAAGGAGATAAGACTGTGTTTTTTCCTGAGCTGAATTTGATCTTAGCTCTGTCCAAAGGGTAGCGGCACGGAGTTTAGAGTGTACAGCTCACTGAAGGTGCAAATTTAGCAGACTTCTGAAATCTCATGTAAATCACATGAATTATATATATTGGCTATGGACTGTCATTTCTTTTTGGAAGTCAAAATTCCTTGCCCCTCCAGATGCAATACTGATCATGAACCTTGGTGGAGGTCCAGCCTCAGGGGTGCAGGGGTTTGTGTACATTGTGCCCGGCTGGCTGGTGTGTTTGGAGAGCCCTGTAACCATCAGCCTGCAGGAGAATGGAAGTACCCCTTTCCTCAGCACGTTGTTGAAGCTGCTGATTCTATTTTGTAACACCATCTTCTGCACATTACAGAAATGTCATGCTTAATGGAAGCCCTGGAAGATAAGCGTGTGAGGTTGCAGCCTGAATGCAAGAAACGCCTTAATGATCGGATTGAAATGTGGAGCTATGCTGCAAAGGTGAATATGGAGAAGATTTCCCTCTTTTTTTATGCATTAGATCTCTCAGTTGCAAGCTATTTATGAAAAACTTGAGCTGGAATGAAATTCTTGTCTCTGAATGAAGTGGAGTATTTTGAGTTTGTTCTAGAAGAACTGGAAACAGATCTTCTTTTTTGAACTTAGATCTTACTCTCCCTGTGTCTGGGAGGCGTCCCCAACAGTGCAGAATTAAGCTGTCTTTTGAGCCATACAGGGCTTAGTCTCCTGTAGAGAAGGTTTGGGGCTATGAAATAGGGGCAGCAGAACTTCCTGTCAAAAAGGTGCCTCCTGAGCAGCGATTCCTTCAGGTGAATCATTGCCTGCTTGTTCCTGGTTCAGGCCAAGTCTGACGACAACAGGAGGCAAGAGTGGTACCAGAGACTAGAGCTGATAAATGCCCCGGCTGAGGGCTGCATGGAAAGCACAGCTTGGCTCATTTATTCCCTTTTCACCTCCAGGTTGCCCCAGCAGAAGGCTTCTCTGACCTTGCCATGCAAGTGATGACCTCTCCATCCAAGAATTACATACTGTCCGTGATCACGGTTGGCATCTGCGTACTCTTCCTCATCGGCCTGATGTGTGGACGCATCACCAAGCGGGTGACAAGAGAGCTCAAGGACAGGTAGAGCCTGGATTGCCTGCTGAAGAAATGCCTGCCCAGTGCCCAGTTTTGTACAGCCCTCCTCTGTATAGTCTACCCACCCCCTCTTGTGAGAGGAGAATTAAAAAAAAAAAAAAAAAAAAAAAAATTAGAACAGCAGCAGGTGTTGGCTCAGTTTTCCCATCCTGGATCTCATCCACAGCATCTTCATCCTATGAAAGTTTGTGTGCAACATTGGCAGCCCAGCCAGCAGCTTTTGTTACCCCTTTGTTAGCAGACTCTCGTTTACCTGCCTGTAGACAAGTCTCTGTTGTACTGTTGGAACTGCCTTCACTCTCCAGATCAGACTGATACGACCTGCAGCTCAAGCAGTTTTTAAGTAAATTTTTAAAGACAGACATATATCTGCATACCGACTATATGATTTAGGTAATGGTTCATATTGAAATCTAGTCGTCCTCTGTGGCTGGGTGAAATTGAGGCAGGAAATTAAAGGGTAAATTGCATCTTACACCACAGTTGGCCTTGTTTTGGACATCTTGCTCGTCTGTGTAAAGCATCTCCAGAGCATAGTCTTGGACAACCTAACGGCACCAGTCCCTGGTGTCATCTCCTAGTGAATATCCTGCTTTTGTGACTGTGGATTTTTTTTGGCTGAAAAGATGTCCTCCCTTTCTTCCTCTGCCGCTCGCAAGATGATAGAATAAAATACTGCCCAGGATCGAATTCTCATGTGAGCTGTACAACTGTTTCAGTAGATCAAAGACACGGTGTAGACACGAGGCGCGTAGACTGTCAGTAGTGAACGGTGCCACTGTCAGCGGGCAGGAAGTGCCCTGAGCAGTTACTCGGTCAACTTTTTTTATTATGCAGTAAAATTCTAACCCTCCTTTTATTTTACCTCGCTGCTGCCAAGCTGTTCCCCTTCCAAATTAACTGTCTGTAGAGGGTGTTGACACACCGGCCGTGCAGTGCCCTGTCAGCGACGCGGAAAGGGACTGAACGCTCGTCGTGCTCTGTCTGTGTAACTTGGGGGTTATCACAGTGGTTTGTAACCACAATCCGGGTCTCAATGGTTTGAATGGTACAGTCTGAACCACGCTGGAGAGCCGTTTTCGTTTCCACAACTACAATTGGTAGTGGTACAACTGATAGCAGCTGGCACGTCCTGGGATGTAGGACACAGGTGCCAGTCCAGAAGGCCAAGCAGGAGTGGATGGCAGGATGATGATGTGTGAAAGGCAGAAACGTCTGGATCTTTCAGGGAAGTAGCTTCCACGTAGTTACCATCAACGTGTGCACTCATGCTATGTATAGGTACACTTCAGAACCTGATGCTTAGGCCAGAGAGCCCAAAGAAGGTGTTTTAGAAAAACTGCAACAGTAGCTGTGGCCTCTTCTTACTTTGTTCCTCAAGTGGCAGGAGGTGTGGAGGTCAAAAGACACATGCTTTGATTGAAACATGGAGTGTGTTGGTGAAATCTGGAAGAGGCTGCACAAGACTCCATGTGTACAGTAGGATATATTTTATTCACCTTTTAGATGTGCTCAGCTGTGTGTGCTGCAGTAAAAAACTTTATTTTCCCACTTAGCTAGGTAAGACCTGACATTTCCAGTTGTCCTCATCGTTCTCTAGAAGAACGGTGGAGGTGGTTTGGGGACACTTTAGTGGACCAGCTGATTCTGATGATGCTGCATGTACAGGATAGCATATACAAAATACTGTGAGCTTTTGTTGCGACCGAAGCTTTTTACAAATGTACCCTCATCCCGTTCTGAGGATGGGCAGCAAACTGTTAGTGGTTTGGTTTTAGACTTGCTGTGCTAGTGAGTCACAAACACTCCTGGTTTTGCAGCGAAGTGCGAGCACAGGGCAGGCAGCAGCAGAGGCCTGAGTGACGAGGGCTCGCTGGACAGTTGGTACATGGTGGGATTGCTGTTGTGGTTGGGTAGAACAGAACTTAAGCCTGAATTCCTTCCCTTGCCCCTGCTTCCCTGGTACTAACGGAGCTTGGCAGGCTCTCTGTCAGCATGAAGTGGGGCAGAAGAGGAACAGTTAGTCGGGTCTCTTGAGGTAGCCCAGGTGTGTAAAACCACAAATGTTAGTCTGGCAATTAGAAGTGTTGTTGTTTCACTTGAGTGAGCACTGAAATGACTGCTATAAAGAGGGGTGTGTGCACACAGCTCCCGGCAAGGGAAGTGGGATCTAGGTGCAGCCTCGCTTGCTGGCACAGGTCCTGCTTCTACAAAATGTCTATCAGGCATAATTAAATTGCCATTGGAGGGCTTTTTTTTTTAAACTGTTGTGACTTTCTGAGAAGGCATTTTGTAACCTGATTAGCTTGAACAGCCTAATTAGATGGTTTATTGTCTAGAAATAGCATCTTCCACTAAATTCAGAAAGACATTGCAGTGAAAATTGTAGGTTTGTAGCCATAGTTCTGAATGTAAACCCTGTTCAGCTCTGAAGGTGACTTTGTTTAGTTTCAGATACGAGGCTTTCTGGGTTTTTTTGCTTTTTAATGTGGAGAAAGTTGAAGTGAGGGTGCCTGGAGCGCTGCATTAGGAGCCTGTGCTCTGCAGTGGTGTTTCTGTGCCTGTGGTTGGTGGTGTTCCTGCCTGTGTCAGCAGGCTGACCTGGGAGTTTGGCTTCGATGGGAATGCACTGGGAGGTGTTAGAGCTGTGTGGCTGGAGGCCCTTGGAAACAAAGGTAGGATGCTAAATAAACCCTTTGTCACTGTAAAGACACAAACCCACCTTTTAAAAGGTGGGCACTGTCAAAGGGTCCTGGCCATTTTATCATTTGAACATGTGATCTTCTCATGTTTTAAAATGGGGTCTCCTGCTACTGCTAATGACCAAATTTGCTTTTTTCTTGACTAAAAATCTACCACTCCCAGTCTTGAAACATTCTCCTTTTCATGCATACCTAAAAACCCAGAGGTTTTTGCAAGCCCAGAAACCCACAGGAGTTGCTCTTCCAAAAATAGCCTGGTTGTGCTGTTGCCAACCCCATCATCCTGCAGCTGCAGGTAACCATTTTCCATTGCAGGGAAAGAAAGAATCGTAGGATCACCCTTAGAATGGGTGGGGTTGGAAGGGATTTAAAGCTCATCTCGTTCCAACCCCCTGCCCCAGACAGGAACACGTTCCACACCAGACCAGGTTACTCAGAGCCACACCCAGCCCACAACCTCTCTGGGCAGTCTGTGCCAGTGCCTCACCACCCTTATAGGGCGGCGTGAGAAGTGGTTGTGGAGAAACACTGCTGTTGCCTTGAACTTGAGAAAGCCTTTGTAACTTCTCTGGTGTGAGAGAGAACGTTAGAGATATCTGCAGCCAGCCAAAAGAAGTGTGTTTAGCTTAGGAAAATGTGGGGTCTCCACTTGCCCCTACTGCTGCGAGGGTTAACAAGCTGCGTTTCCTAAATGATGGCAAAGGCACGGTGATGGGCACCTCGTTAGTTCACTCCTGCTAGCCTGTTACTGTTTGTTCTTAGTAATAAGCTTATTTATTGTTTACCTAGCCCTTAACTAATCAGGTCCTTTGGTGAGTTTCAACTTGGGATTCTCCTGCCTCGCTGTTGTCATCAGGCTGCTGGAGTAACTCATCATCTGGGGAGGAACAAAACTCGTGGCACTTTGAAGTACTGTCCAGCAGGTTGGGATGAAGTATCTGGATGTCTGTGTCACTGTAAAGGGCTGGAAAGGCCCTAGTGAAGGTCAAATAATTCTGTAGCAAAATGTTAGCGTTTCCTCCAGAATCTGATGCTTAAATCCGTGGGGTGTGATCAGTCTTGCTCTGAAAGAATCTGCAGTATGGAAAAATAATGGAGAGGTGAATGTCTCAAGGACAGAAACTAACTGCAGGTAGGTACAGAGGGAAGAAATGTTGACAAGCCAGAGGGATCACTCGAATCCAATAATGTTTGTAAGAGGAATCGTGTTCAATTTGGATGGCAGCTTCTGTCAAAACACAAGCTTTTTTTTATTTAGTCCAAGAAAGAAGACGGTAGGGTTGTTTATTTTTACTTTTATCAGTCTTGTTTGGGGGGGAAAAAAAAAAAAAGAAGGTAGTTTCGAGGTGTATGTGACTGTACAAGGATGGTATGAAACCAGAGCGTTTCAGGTGCAGCTCTGTGGACTCAAAACAGCTGTTCAAGTTTGGGTTTGTGTAAGAGCACGAAGTTAATTCTGGGGTTCAGGTCCTCCAGGCAGTTCCCAGGTGCTCGCTGTTTGCACAGAGGCAGATTTCCTCCCTCCACAACTCCCGAATTGGATAATTCGACAGCAGTGTGGGATTGCAGGGTCCAGCAATTCACCCTGGAAGGTACCGCTGTCCCTTGTATTGACTGAGTTAGAGGTGCTGGTGTAGCTCTTGCCTTGGGAATTTCTGATGGAGGAGAAGAGGGAAGTTGTGACCCAGCGGATTCCTATTGTACAGCAGACGCTGTTTGAACTTAGCCTCTTTTTTTTTTTTTAATTATTATTATTATTATTTTTAAATGTGACATTAACGAGACTTTTTTTTTTTTTTTTTTTTAATGGTTTCCCCCTTTTTTTCTGTGTATAAATCCTGGCCCGCTCCTCGTTTTTGGTCGTCCTTTTCGGTTTTATTTGGGGTTGTTTGTTTTGTTTTGTTTGGTTTTTTTTTTTACATGTCCACGCCGTGTAATTTCGAGATGTTACCGAGACTTTGAACATAATAATGCGCATCTTTTTTGTTGTTTTTGTTTTGTTTTGTTCGTTTGTTTGTTTTCTGTACAGACGAAATGGGAGAATTTAATAAAAAAGAGTCTGCAGGTTTGTACTTGTGGTGGTTCATTCCTGAGGGGACTGGGGGCGGGGCTTGGCGCGGCCACGCCCTCCGTGTGGGCGGGGCGGGTGACGCGCGCGCAGGGGCGGCTGTCGCGCGCGGCGGCCGCGGCCGTAAAGCGCGGAAGGTCAGCCCGGCCTCCCCCCGGCCCAGGTGAGGCGGCCCCGCCCCGACCCGGCCACCGATCCCCGGCCCGGCCCCGCTCCCTTCTCCTCCCCCAGCCCCTCTCCCTTCCTCTCCCACCCGCCCCGCAGCGCGGGGTCGGGGGCGAGCAGCCCCGCGGCTCCCCGCCGCCCTCACACCCCTCCCCTCAGGCTGCTGCCTGAGGACCCCCCTTCCTTCCCCCCGGCTCGTGGCAAAGCTGTTCCCGGAGAGGCCTCCGCGGTGCCCCGTGCCGGTGGCTCTGGTCGCGGACTTCGTTTCTTTCCGCAGGTAAAGGCCTGGCAGCGTTCATAATCGGCCTTGTTCCCACCCGGAGCCCCTGGTGGTCTAGTGGTTAAGGGCGCGGCGCTGTCACCGCCGAGGCCCGGGTTCCATTCCCGGGCAGGTGGAGCTCGTTAGCCCTGAAAGGCAATCCATCTACATCCTGAGGACCTCGCTGCCACCGTCCAAGCTCGCTTGGCCCCGGCAGATGAACCTTAGGATTAAAGGGTGGGCTCAGTTCCGCGCACACTGTGTCTCACCTAAAAAATCCAATGCGCAGGCTGGAAGGTGTAAAGACCTTCCCCGGATCTTCGCTCGCGAAGCCTGGCCATTATTATTATGTTTCCACCCCGTTAACCTCAGCCTTCCTGAAGCGTTCCAGGGCACGGGCTGTGCCTGCTGGCTGTGGTGGCTCTGCCTGTCAGCGGTGTGAGCGCTTTTCCAGCTTCCCTCCGGTCCTCTGCTCGTTGTCAGGTTGCCCCGTGTCAAAACCAAAGGTGCAGCGCTCTGTTCCCGTGTTATGCTCGGAGTTTGAGCCTCACCAGCGAGGCTGCTGTTCCAGGGCTGAGGAACTGCTCTCCTGTCTGCCTGCCCGTGCCCTTTCCCGTGTCCACCCACGGGACGTTTCCCACTGCCAGCCTTGTGTGTAACAAGATAAAAGTGCTAACGTGATTCCCATCTCTTCCTTCCTAGCAGGAGTGGTGCTGGGGTGACATCTGAGCACGCCCGGGCGGGGCTTTGAGGAAGCTGCCGGGATGTTTCTCCGCCTGCTGTCCGATGTGCAGTGGCGGGCAGCCAGCCCCAGATGGAGGAGGATGAGCAGCTCCCGGAGAGGCACCTCCACCACGGCAGAACCTCACCCGGTTTCCCTGCCGGCACAGGCACAGGTGGTCATCTGTGGGGGTGGAATCAGCGGCACCTCCGTGGCCTATCACCTTGCCAAGATGGGTTGGAAGGATATAGTCTTGCTTGAGCAGGGCAGGTAAGGATTTCTGGTGACAAAAGCAGAGGAGCAGGGCTTCCATGCGGCTCAGCATCTGCTGGAATGTGTTATTTCCACCTCTTCACCTGCACTGAGGTGAGGAGCTGGAAACAGCCTTTCACCTGGATGAAATAAGGACGTGCTGAACATTAATAATGACACTTGCTGCTTGGACTGTGAAGGGTATCCCTTGTGTGGTTGTGGTGGGGTAGCTATGCCATTTCCCTCAGCAGGGCAGGGAGAAAGCAAGCTGAGAAAGCTTCTGGATCAGGATGAAGGCATGGAGATTGTACTGCCATGGGCAAAAAAGACTGGGCCTAGGGACAATGAATTGAAAATAAGGAATTCCTTTATTTCATGCCAGTTAAAGTAGATTCAGGTAGTAGGAAACAGAAACCAAACATTAAAACACCACCTTTTCTTTCCCGTGCTCGTCTCTTTCACTCCTGCACTCCAGGGTCTCCTACCTCCCCACAGTGCCCCAAGAAGCACGGGGGGAACAGTGGGGTGGGGTCAGCACTGGGCTCCAGCGTGGGTCCTCCACAGGCTGCAGTTTCCAGCAGGAGAACTCTGCCCTGGCCAGGGTTTTCCAGGGATCACAGTTCCGCTGTTACGGTTTGGCTGAACTCAAGTGCCCTCCGTGAGTTGGAGGTGTCTGTGGCAGAGCACAAACACCTGCTGAAAGCTGAGCAGCCCTCACCTGTTGTTTAGACTGGTGTTTCTGAGGTGGATTCGTGTTGTTTTCATTAATCTCATTTAATTTGGGGACCTTGGCTATGAGATGCTGCTGAGAATTTAGGGTTTGAAGAAGTGTTTATTGCAGCAGCTTCCACCACCCCAAGCAGATGTCTAGACTGGAGCTTCCCTTCTGATGCTGCCTTTGGGAATAATTAACTGTGGTTCCTGGAGTTTGTCTGGCTGGGGAGCAGGTTCTTTACAGCTGCAAAGAGAAGAAATTGTGTGATCTTCTCTGAGACTCTGTGAGCCGTGTCCTTCTGAGGGGAATGAGGTGCTGGGCTTCGTTTGTAAGGGATTGTTGTCTTTGCTAGCTTGGAGCAGGGTGTGAGAGATCTGCAAGGAGTTGGATGCTGTGCATGCCCAAGGAGGAGGAGGAGGGAATGCAGACACACCAGGCCGAAAACAGTCGTGTCTGGTGGGAGAATGCACGATGGCTGTTGCAGCAGGGAAGATGACTCGGAAGTGTTGTGGGAGCAGGTTTGCGAGGGATATGTTTAAATCTAACGATCTTGTCTTCCCCTGTCCATGCTGCAAGGGGTTTCTGTGCCCACAGCAGCCCTTCAGCAAATAGCTCAGTGGTTTCAGGGCAGTTTTAAAAGGGACAGGGAGCGTGTGCCTGTCTATGGCAGGTGCTGCAGAACGTGAGAGGGACTTGCTCTGACTGCAGTCTGCAAAGACACAAAACTCAAATCCAAGTTAATTTTGATCTGAGGAAAGTCCTGCTTTAGAGCAGGAAAATAAGGCAGGTTGACTTAAGCATAAGGTAACTTCTTTGAAAAACGTGTTTTCTTTGAAAAATGTCAGTGTTTAGGACTAGTTAAAGAGAAATTGTTTTGGAATGCCAGGAGTTTTCAAAAGTGAGCTGAAGGAAAGTCGTTCTAGAGGTTGCATTATCCCTGTATCGTGCAATCGGTGTTGCTCTGATGTGTCTGGGGGAGAGTTTGCTGCCTGGCTTGTGCTGCCAGCGGAGCTGTTGGGGGGTGTGTACCTGGCAGGCTGATGAGGCCCTTGTTTGCACCTTCTCCTGCAGGTTGGCTGCTGGCACCACTCGCTTCTGTGCCGGCATTGTGAGCACAGCCAGGCCCGTGTCCATAGAGCGGAAGATGGCACACTATTCCAACAAGCTCTACCAGCAGCTGGAACAGGAGACAGGAGTGCCAACAGGTACTGAGAGTGTCGTCACTGAGTCAAAGCACTGACACTGGAACACCAGTGGGGGTTTATGTGTCAGGGTTTGGGAGTTCCTGTTCAGAAACAGTACACTGGGACTGAAGCAGATGGAAGGGATGTCACTAATGTCATCAGAATGGGGAGAAGGGTATCGGATGGGCAAACTGAAGGCAGACTACCTGCAAACTGGGGCAGTTTGCATGTCTCTTGAGCAAACATAGAGGAATTTCCTCAAGGACACTAAAAATTACATTGCAGTATGGAGCAAATGACCCATTCTGTACACCGATTCACTTCTCAAAAAGAGAAGGTGGTTAACAGGACCACTGAAGCATAGGCAAAAACAGGTCTCTTACTGGAGTCTCACCCTGGAAATAACAAGAAAAGGTTGTGTTGAAGTTCTCCCTCTCCCTCCAAAGTGTTTGGACATTGGGAGAACTTCAAAGTTGTCTGCTGGGAAGAACTTGTGATATATGGCAGACTCAATAGAGGTTAATAACTGTGCCTGCAAGAATACTGATCTAATGCAGGTGCTGGAGTCACAAAATCTCTGCTTTGAGTCATTGAAGTTTTATTCTTCTGAGTAGTTATTAGATCATTTCTTGGCCAGTAACTTCTCTCTCGCTCTTAATAGGTACCATGTGTGAAGTTTATTTTTTTTTTAATAAACGTGACTGTATGAAGTAGAAAGAGTACACAAGTCAAAATTAAATTGCTTTTTTGAGAAGCTGACTCTCATGCAGTTTTTTATAATAGCTGATAAGTGTTTAAAGTTACTTGAGGATCTGGGATTTCCAGGCTCCTGAGTAGTGGAAGCCACAGGTCTGCAATTATTACGTTAAAGCAGTGGGTCTGAGGTGAAAAGGAATTCAGGATCCTGTCCAAATCTGCCTTGCCTTTGGTCGCTCTCCCAGGGTACACGAAGACAGGCTCTCTTTCCCTGGCTCAGACTCAGGACCGGCTGATCTCCCTCAAACGCATCGCTTCGTCGCTCAGGTACGTACGAGCCGCAGGCACCGCCCGCCTCAGCAGCCCCAGCTCTCCTGCAGGGCCAGTGACGCCGTTTCTTGTGTTCTGTGGCAGTGTCATGGGCATTCCCTGTGAAATCATCACCCCGAAGCAAGCGCTGCAGCTCCACCCGCTCATCAACATCCACGACCTCGTGGGGGCCATGTACGTGCCGGAAGATGCGCTCGTGACGTCTGCCAATGTGAGTCTGGCTCTGGCAACCGCTGCCTCACGAAATGGTAGGAGTTTTTTTTTTTATCTATCTGTAGAGTGCCCTCCTGCATGATAGTTACCTTCTTTCTGTAAAAGAAAATTGTGTTCTGTGTCTCTCTTGATATCCTGAGCGCTGAAGTCCAAAACTCGGTTATTTCTGTAAAGCTCAGATTCTTTAAATTTATTTCTTCTCAAAAAAGCAGGCTGAATGTTTTTACATGCTGAATCTTTACAGATTTGCAGTGACAGACCAAACACCTCTTTGTTTAGTGGTTATGTATTTTTCTGAATAAGCACACATTCTTTCCTTCACAGGACCTGACTCAAAATTACACTTCAAAATAGTTAATTACCTGCAGATAAAAAGGTGTGACTGAGCCTTGTGGCATATTTCATTGGGCACGTTATGCTTTGGAAATGGGTTTGGAAATGTAGCTATAAATGCTGTTTGCCCAGCACTTGGACAAATTTGGAGTGATCTGAAAGTAGGTGAAAGGTTAGATATGACAACAGTGATAAAGGCCATTAAGGATGAAAGTCCATCAGATTGGACGAAGCTGCTTAGGAAGATACCTCTCTTAGTTTCTGTTAGTCCAGCTTATTTTTAGATACTGCTTGTGGATTATTTTTTTTTCCCCACAAAATGGGTAATTTCCCGTAAAAGAACCAATCTTGCCATCTGAAACTACAGACTTAGGTGCATAAAGGAATGGAATGAAAAGAAATCCGTAGTTGAGGCTTTGTTTCTTCTTGTTGTTGACTTTGGGGTGTATTTATCACACAGGTTGTTACATGGGAAAAAATACTGTAGCTCTTCACAGTCTCAGCCTTTAAATTATGTACAAATTATGTACATGATGTTTTACAAATAACAGGGTTTCACTTGAGAATGACTGGGTCAAGAGTAGAAATTTTGTCTTAGAAGGAAAATAAGCATTTAGGTTGAGTTTAAGGGTTTAAAGTTAACACATTTAAGAAGGGGGCTCGTGATTACTGACGTTCTGATGTCCTCTCCAGGTGTGCAGATTCACGAAAGGACGAGTGTCAGTCACGTCACGGTCCAGAAGGGTCGTGTGACTGGAGTGGAGACTGACAGGGGACGGATTCAATGCCAGTACTTCGTCAACTGCGCTGGCCAGGTTAAATTATTTAAATTTTTCTCTCTTGGTTCCATTGCTTAAGGATATGTGCACTTCCCTCACAGGTTTTTTTTGTGTGTATGATGTGATTTGGTTTGTTTGTCAGGTTTTGTTTGTTCCTTTCCCTTTTTTCCTAAGGGCTCGTGCTTTGGTTTGGTTTGGTTTCCTGGGGTAGATCAAAGTGGTGCTACTCAGCTGCTCAGCCCAGCAGGGGTGTGAAGGAGGCAGTGCTTGCTGTTTGCAGGGCACCAAAGGCTTGGCACTGCCCTGCTGAGCAGCACCTGCAGCTTTTTGGTACAGCTCTGCCCGAGCTCTCTCTCCTGGGAGGTGCACGCTTCTGACAGGAGGGATTTTGTTTTGGCTGTTAGAGAGACAGTGAAATCTCTCACTGCCCTTCTCTCTCTCGCCCTCCTCCCCAAAATTTTGTTTTCTTTTTCTTCCTTGGTGTCATGTCTTCTCCATGGGGAAAATACACCTGCCAGCTGCAGTCTCTCAACTAGCAGCTGTCTCCCTTGTTAGTAAGGGATCTCAGTACAGGCACCTAAATGCTGCCTTTTCTGCTTCTGGATGCTGAACCTAGTGCTGACTTGGATCTACAGATCTTGTTTGGCTTTTGTGTTGTAAGCTGGTACTTCTTAGTTTTGAGTCAGGGCTCCACTTTTCTAGTTCTTGTGTTAGGAACAGAAAACCAGTCTTTATCCAAATAATTCAAATTCTAAGAAAAGAGAGAAAAAAATTGTGTCTGTTGAAGGTCTGGGTGTCTGAACCAAATCTTACTTGGTCTTTTATGAAAGCAAACTCACAGAGGTGACCTGTGCTGATGTCCTGCTTTTTTTACTGGAGGCAATTTCCTCCTTTTCCATTCTGACCTGCACTTTTTTGGTTTCAGTGGGCCTATGAGCTGGGCCACTCTGGGGAGGAGCCAGTCCACATCCCACTCCATGCCTGTGAACACTTCTACCTGCTGACACACCCCTTGGCGGAGCCTCTGTCCAGCAGCTTACCGAGTAAGGATCCTGAAGCTCTGCTTCACTTTCCCTGGTGAATTGTACCTGCCTGTCCAAGGCCACCTGTAGTTCCTGACAGAAAGGCCAGCCTCGGGCTGTGGGTCCTCAGCCCATTTGGGACTGTGAAGTACATTCTGAATTGCTCTGAATATCCTCTTTCAGTGGTAGAAAGAATATCTTTCTTTGTTCTTGGGAAAGCTTGTGCTGCAGAAGAGGATTTTCAGAGTTCCTCAGCTTACCAGGAGAATGGCCTTGACTCTAGCTTGACTAGTAGTTGTGTCTGAGACTTGCATTGTTGCATTTGTGGGCTGGAGAGGGTGCTAGCCTTGGCACTGTGTTTTCCTTGCAGGCTGCTGGCCACAAATGGCCCATCTATTCCCTTCCTCCAACTGAACCTAAGGCTTTACAATGGCATTTACATGTCTATGAGCTGTAGGGGCAACCAAACACTTGAGGTAATTGCTCCTCCCCCATGTTCTGGCTTTTGGATCTCTTAAAAAAAAGCCTTTGTGTTTGAAAACTGTGGTTGGGAAGTAGAAACCTTTGCTAGCAAGATTTTTCTGCTTCTAGTGAGTAAATGTATATACTCTTCAGGGAATTCAGGTCTCTGGCCAAAGTCCAAGTGCTTCACTTTTAATTGATTAATTGAAAAAAATAAATATGTATGTATATATATAGTCGCAAATTTTCGGTACATGGCAAAAATTGCTGTGGAACGTGTCAGGTGGAGTATCATAAATACTTCAGGTACTGACACTACCAGTGGAAGAAGCAATCCAGACCTGACTGCTTATCCTCACCCCAGTGCTGCACACCTTGTTTGTGCTGGTGGCCTTCAGCACGCTGGATCTGTGAGGCATCCCCGTTAAAATGGACTGGGTTTAACGCAGGAAGAGGGGAAGGGGGAAGGCAGGACATCTCTTGGTGGAAGGTCTGGGTGCAGTCTCAGTGGATCTAAGCCAGTAGAATAGCTTGTCAGTGCCACAAGGGATCTGAATCCCTCATGTCCTCTCGCTCCTGGGACCACTGTCCTGCCGGCTCGGGGCTCCTCAGGTTCAGCTCAGTTTACTCTGCTGCCCCAAAGTTAACTGTGGCTGTGGTGGGACCTCATGGTTTAGTAATCTGAACTGGCTCACCAAGGTGTCACGTGAGAACCACAGCGGTGTGAAAGCTGGGGCTGGGGGACTGTCACTGTCCCCTCTCAGGTGGCCGCTAGCTTGGCCTGGCGTGTCACCAGCCCCCGCTGTTGGTGTTTGTGGGATGACAGCCTGAGGCAGATATCCCTTCTCTCAATTCCCTTCCCACCTCTTTTCTCTCCTCTGCAGCTGTTGTTGACCCAGATGGCAGGATCTACATACGCAACTGGCAGGGTGGCATCCTCTCAGGAGGCTTTGAGAAGAACCCCAAACCTCTCTTCACAGAGGGACGGAACCAGCTGGAGATTCAGAACCTTCAGGAAGATTGGGATCATTTTGGTACGTTAGGGAAGAAAGGTTCCCACAGCAGTGAAACACGAGGCTTCTGCAGAAGGCAGAGTTTGCAACAGTGCAGGCTGGGAAGGATGAATGTTCTCTCAAATTCGTTCATCTCTTCATGTGTCAGTAATTCACAGAAAACACCTTTACCAAGGACCACAGTACCTCAAGGGAACCTACATAGGAGAGAGCTGGAGAGGGATTTCTGACAAGGGAATAGAGTGCCAGGACAAGGGGAAACAGCTTCCATCTGGCAGAGTTGAAGGGTTAGATTGGGCAATGGGAAGAAATTCTTCCGTGGGAGGGTGGGCAGGCCCTGGCACAGGTTACCCAGAGAAGCTATGGCTGCCCCATCCCTGGAAGTGTTCGAGGCCAGGTTGGACGGAGCTTGGAGCAACATGGGCTGGTGCAAGGTGGGCAGGGGGTTTGGGATGAGATGAGCTTTAAGGTCCCTTCCAACCCAAACCACTGCAGGTCTCTGTGGTATCTCTGCAGTGTTTAAAAGCACCTGCTAACCCTCAGCATTGTTAACTTGCTCTGGGGCAGGAGGTTCTGCATAAACTTCCCGTGCTGGTCCTCCGTCCAGGTTGAGTTTTGACTGTCAGTGCCACATGCTGCTCCTCCTGTGACGCAGGAGATCAGCACTGCTGACCTGCCTCGTGCCTGTGGTGTTTTGTTTCTTTAGGTCTCTTCAGCAGGGACTGCCAAGTGTGTTTCTACCAGTGACAGTTGCTCTGTGGACAGCACTTGGTATTATGGCTTCCCACACTTCATCCCACCATTGTCACTGGTGGAATTTCACTGATTTCTTTCCGCAGTGTTAGTGTGTTCTTCCAGCTGCTCCGCAGGATAAATTGATTAATTTTACTTTGATTTATGAGAGATACCATACTGATACCATGAAAGTTTAAACTCCAGGGAGTGGAGCCAGGATGGGGTGCTGGTTCTGTGCTGGCATATGCTGAAGGCTTTTAGATCTCTAGATGCCTACAGACTTGCTTGAAGATATTAGCTCCAGTGATGAGTTGCTCGAGCTCTGCACCCCCCTCCTTTTTGGTTTTCTAGGTACTGCTGAAATGAAAAGGTGCTGCTTGTTGGCACCCTGAAATTGCCCAAGTTTCAGAAGCAGCTGCACTCTGTGCTCCAGCATTACCCTTTTATCCGTTCAAAAGTGCTGAACAGCTGAGCAGAGTCAGAGCTTACTCAGCCAATATTTGATCCTTTTCTAGGACTGCAATTCCTGGGATTTGAGCTCTTGTATTACTGCTTTGATCTTTGTCGTTGGAACACCTTTTGATTTTAAAATAGCCTGTACAGTTGCTTAAATTGGGCTGGGTACGAGAACAAGTCTAACACTGATCTCTCTTTTATCAATAAAAGAGGCACCTGGCTCTCACTCTGGAATTCTAATGCTTGAGAGAAGGAAGAGAAAGAGCAGGTCAGAGAGACTGTTTCTGATTGTAAGTTGTTAGGTAGTGTGAAAACTGATTATTTTACTGCTTGTGCATAAAGCTGAGGAGTGTTCTTGGTGCTGAACCTTGAGGGCTTTTATCTGGAGTACTAAGCAGAGGGAACTTCTATTAGGCAAGACAAGGCAAGTAGGTACCTTATCCCTTTACTAAGGCTCTCAAATGTCACACTGTGAAGAGCTGCCAAAGGACTTTTCCAGTGTGACTGGGCAATGAAGCAGCAGGGAAGTTCAGTGAGGAGAAATGTGAAGTGACACGAGGCTGTGGGGATGATCTGACTTCCACCACGCAACGTGATGGGCTTTGAACAGACCTGGGGGTTGTATTGGTTGTGTTAGTTCTCTGGAGACATCAGTGCAGCGGCAGTCAAAGCAAAAGGCAAGTTAGGAATTATTAGCAGAGGAGCAGAGAACACAGGCATTATGCAACACTGAATCCTTGGTTTGCCAGATCTAGTTATTGTTCTAGGCTCCTTGTCTCCAGAGGGTATCATAGGACTGGAGAGTGCCTGGTGGAAGAGCAGCCAGAGGCTGGTCAAAGCCTGGAACAGTTTCCAAGCAAGGAGTGACTGGGCTGGGGAAAAGAGATGACAGAAGGAAAATAAACAGAGATCTATGGAATCTGCACTAAGATGGACAGGCTAGATGGGGATCTCCTGTTCACTGTCTCTTCTAGTGCAGGGAGGCATCAAAATAAGTTTATTTATTGTATGTGAATTTTAAAACAAAAGGTGGTAATTCCTCACAGAAGATACTAAACATGTGGAACTCCTTGTCCATGTCTGTAGGATGTTTTCGTGAGCCAGGGGGAGACCAGTTTAGTACTTAGAAGAGAGGTCAATTTAGGGGTTACTAAATAGGGGAAAGCATAGCAGGTTTTTAGGAAATCCTCTGAGCTGATGGTAGGTGGAGGCTGGCAGAGTGTGTGGGACAAGTGTCATACAGATTTGCCTGTTCTCACTCCTCACTCGGTATCTGTTTGATGCCTCTGTTGTTTTTCCTGACAAAACTGAACAGTGCCCTTGCACTGTGGAAAACAATATTGGGTTCTTGGGCTGGATCCTGCTTTTATGGCATGCTGTGATCCATTTGGAGTAGTGTGATTCCAGCAGGTAAAGGGTTTCTCCTGTGGCTGTATCAAAACATGGAAGCAGTTTCCACCTGCCCTCTGACATTCCTGCCCAGTTTGAAGGTGAAGCAACTGGAACACGTTTGAGACTGAAGGCTGTGACTCTCTTGTCTCTTGCCTTGGGTCCTAGGGCCCCTCCTGAGCGCCCTCCTGCGCAGGATGCCGGGTCTGGAGGCTCTGCAGATCCTGCAGTTGGTGAACTGCCCGGAGTCCTTCACGCCAGACATGAGATGCATCATGGGCGAGTCGCCCACTGCGCGGGGCTACTTCGTGCTGGCCGGCATGAACTCAGCTGGGATTTCCTATGGTGGGGGAGCAGGCAAGTAAGTGGTGCATCCCTGGTGTGTGTGTAAGTAAGGCTTTAACCGGGAACAGACACTGCTCACACGATCCTGCTGCGTACAGGGTCGGTGTTTGTCACATCGCATTGCCCTGTTCTGATTGTGTTCCGGATCTGTGTTGGACTCTTCCTGCTGTCCTGCACACCTCTCCCCTGGCACCACAGCTCGGTGATCAACTGGGGATCGAGTAAGCTTCCTGAGAGCTGTGTCAGAGGATGTTTAGGTTAAGTATTAGGAAAAGGTTCTTCACCCAGACAGTGAACTGAACGGGCTCCCCAGGCCTTGTCACAACACCAAGCCTGACAGAGTTCAGGAAGTGTTTGGATAATGGTCTCAGGCACGTGGTGTGATTCCTGGGACTGTCCTGTGCAGGGATAGGAGTTGGATTTGATGATCCTTGCAGGTCTCTTCCAACCTCCAACTGATCTGATTTTTTTAAGCTGCCAGTTAGAGATAAAAGCTTAGCAAAGCATATATTCCCTCATCTTCTGTGCTTCACGATCCCCTTTAATTTACCATTTGATGGAAGTCTTTAGATCATTTGAGTTGACACAGCAGTTAATTCATCTGAAAACAGGGTGAATCTGATGCTGATGAAGCACCATATATGTGATGCTAGTGCTGCCAGTAGTTAAAGACTGTCCCCCTACAGTAAGCTAAGGGTGGAATAATTTCCCAGCAAAGTCGAGTTCCTGAGTTAATGCAGATAGCTGATCAGGCATGTAAGTGTGATTCCAGCAACAAAGTTGCTTGGAGAATGATCATTGCTCCCTCTGGTTGCCACTGGGTTTTGGTGACCCAGCATCCCTTCTGCCACACAGCCTCCTTAACAAGCTGTTCATTTTTCATGGTGGGTGTTACTGTTTGCATTTGACTCCATTCCTTTGTCTAATAATTTAACTCACCGGGGAAACAACTCATGGTATTTTTTGGTTTCATATGAAATGCAGAGAATCTTTGCAGCGAGGTTCTCTTAAGAATCAAAATAATTTTTGAGGTTAAAAGCACTATTTGTCTATTTGTTACTACAGCCCCAAAATAAGCAGCTTAGCTTGCTAACGTAACTTTTCCTGATGAGTTCCAAAGCCCTTTGTTTTGCTGTGTACTGGCTGTGAGCAGAGCCTTCTGCTCTGCTGTATTCTGAGCTGCCTGTGTCCTTCAGCTCTGGAGCGTGCCTTCCTCCCTCACTGCTGCAAGTGGAGTTAAACATAACTTGGCTGGCACCTCGTGCTGAAATGAATGCTGTCACTGGTGGTTCGTGGCTGAGCCTTCACCAGGCACTGAGAAACGACAAAGCAGAAGCCTCCCAGCTCCAACCTAAACTTACTCACACCTCCTTTTGTAGCAGAACCCAAGGACCTGACGCAGTGTCAGCCAGCTTACCTGTCCAGGCTCTGGCTTCCTTTACCAGTGTCCTTCATTTCCTGCTGCCCTGTATGTTTCATCCTAATGGGCAATTAGTAATTTGGAAATCTGGTGGGTGGGTTTTATAAAGGGAAACCTTCCAGGTTCTGCTGCTGTTCAGAATACCACGTTTACCTTTCTTCGCTCTCCCTATTGCAAGAAAACGTCCAAATTGCTTTGCTTCTGACTTCAAAGCCTAACTCTTTAAGACACTGGCTGATATCCCAGGCTTTACTTCTTCCATCAGGTACCTGGCAGAGTGGATGGTGAATGGGTACCCCTCAGACAACGTGTGGCCTCTGGATCTGAAGCGCTTTGGCACCCTGCAGAGCAGCCGCACCTTCCTCCGTCACCGCGTTATGGAAGTCATGCGTAAGTGAGGGCTCTGCCTTCAGTTCTGGCCAGGGTGTCCAAGGCTTTCCCCTTTCCTGCACTGTTTCTCCTCTGGCATCCCTCTGAGAACCGTTTTCCTTTTTTCCTGACCTCCTTTGTGGCAATAAAGCCCCATCCCAGGAGAAAGGAAAGGATTTTTGTGGGTTGTTGGGGTTTTTTGTATTCTTATTACAAGAATTGTGTTCTTGTTAACTTTTCTTTATAAAGTGCTGTTGGTACCTTGCTCTGTACTATTTCTGTGCTTTCCCTCTGCTGTGGGGAATTTTGTGCACATCTGCACAGGACTCCAGCCTAGTAAAGCAATGCCAGGCTCTTAACTGGGAATATCACACTGTCTCAGACATTTTTATTCCCTCCACATCATTGCAGTGTGGAAACACTGACACTTCCAGCTTATGCCTGGTGTGACCTGGTTATCTTGCATCATTCAGGAAGCTCTTGTAGACATATTCTGCTTTCTCCTGTCAAAGTTTGCAATAAATACCTTGCAGAATGGATTGCAGATGCCATTTTTCCTGTCTAAAGCCGTGCTTCATCATTTCCTCCTGTTGTTTGCTTATCTGTCCTGAATAATGTGGAGGACTTCTTTTGAAGTTTCAAATGGAAGTACAAAGTGCTCCACAAGTTGCATAACAGGAACAATTATTTGAATACCAAGTCTAAACTAAAAACATCTGTTCAGGTGAAAGCAGAGGAGTTGGGTAAACCTCTTAGCCCTGCTGTATCCAGGGAATAAAAACCTTATGCTTTGACCTTCCTCCCAGAAAAAATCACTTCATACTCTGGGTATTATTCTGGTGTTGCTCTCTACTACAAACCTCAGTGCTGATAGCTGCAGAATCACTCTAGCTTTTACAGGATTCTAGATTTTACCTTATTCTAGATTCAGTTTCTGCAGTGCTATGTTTCTATTCTAATCCATTCTTCCCTCTACCCACTCCTTCAGGAATACCAATACCAGATATTGCCAATAAATTCATTAAATTATTACCTGTGAGGCAGAAATGATGGAAGTGTTCAGTGAGAAATATTGGGCTTTATCTTCAATTTTAATCAGTTTATGATCTCTGTAGAATCTTAACATGTATAAAGTAGTATTCAAGCATCCTTGAGTTATTACTCCCCACTGGTAACCAGGGAGGATGCTCAATGATTATTAGAGTAGCTTGTTTTCTAAATAAGAATATTTTATGCTGGATAAATAGATATAGGAGCCATTTAGAAAAGCTTCTATAATTAGAAAAGGCTGAATTGCCACTATTTAAGGCAAATTAGGTGGTCCCTGTAGCTGTGGGCTGCCTACCCCAGCATTAGCACTGTCAAAATATCTGTCTGATGCAGTGCACTGCCAGGGAAGAATCCTGCATAATTAATGCTAGTCAACATGACTGCGTGGAAAACGGAGTTTTTGTTACCTTGCAGTGTTGTCATGGGACTGTAAGTGTCTGTAAATACGAGTGTTCTGTGCAAATATTGTTGCTCCAATTTTGAAGAGCTGTAAATGGATCAAAACAGATCTGTTGGCTTTTCAGAAGCAGAAAAAGAAGTTGGGAACTGTCTTGAGGGAGTTTTGTTAATGGTTCAGATACCAGTGAGTGCTGATAGCCCGTGAGAGAAGCTCAGGTCGAGATAAGCGCTCTGCCTAACAAGGGATCTTTGTGACCCTCCCCAGCCCTCATGTGTGACCTGAAGGTTCCCCGCTGGGACTTCCAGACGGGCAGGCAGCTGCGCACGTCGCCACTGTACGACCGCCTGGACGCGCAGGGAGCCAGGTGGATGGAGAAGCACGGATTTGAGAGGGTCAAGTATTTCGTGCCGCCTGGGAAAGGTGAGCTCGGATCTTCAATCCGCCCGGCGCTCCCCCGCTGGTCTTCCTTCATCCGGTAAATGAATTTCTCCTTGGATTCTTCTTTGTGTTAGATCTGCTGGATTTGGATCACAGCAAGACCTTTTACAAACCGGACTGGTTTGATATCGTGGGTGCCGAAGTGAAGTGCTGTAAGGAAGCCGTTTGTGTTATTGACATGTCGTCTTTTACCAAGTTTGAAATAAGTGTAAGTACCTAGGGAGGCACCGCCTTCTGAGGGTGGCCTTTAGTTTATTACTGCCTGCTTTTTGTAAAATTCCCCTTGTCCTATTGAGGATAGACAGAGGAAGTCACACTGTATGGCCAAATGCAGGTTGTACCACGGTATTTAGCGTGGGTTGCTTTTTGTCTGTCTACAGAAATCCCAGCTTGGTCTCTACACAGAATTTGACCTCGGGCACTGTGCCTTCATTGTGTCCTGTTAGCTCGAGACGTCCGTGTCACTATCAGTACCAATTGAAATAATTTGAGCCAGAACACTGATGCAATCTCAAGCTGCCCCGGTGGATTTGTGTCGCTCAGACAGCTTGTCTGACTTTCTCTCCCTTTTGATTCATGTAGTCCACAGGAAACCAGGCCCTGGAGAGTCTGCAGTATCTCTTCTCGAATGACCTGGATGTGCCAGTTGGGCACGTTGTGCACACAGGCATGCTTAATGAGAAAGGAGGGTATGAGAATGACTGCAGCATAGCCCGGCTCAGCAAACGCAGGTGGGTGTGCAGACAGCATCTTCAGCATCACCCTTCGGGTGTCTGAAGGACTCCTTAATGAGGATCATAACCTTTTGTCACCACCGGAGGCTAAAAAGTCTCAGTTCTCCACTTACATTCCTAATTCAGTAACCCACATGAGAGGGAGCTTCTGAATTTACAGACACTGGGGAAAATAAGCCTTTTTCTGGGATAACAGATGAACATAGATTTCCTCAAAGTGTTAGATTGTCAGAGATCTGATTTCTCAATTGAAATACAATGTGCTTTCAGCAGCCATTGGGGTTTATTAATTTAGGTAGACATTTAAACTGCAGGCCAAACGATTCCTTATTGGCTCCTGACCAGTCTCCTTATTGGAATTGCATACTGAAATACTACTTTTGGATTAATTCAATTTGTGTTGCAGTATGGGTACTCTAATTCTCAGCTCTGCAATCTCTCATTGTTGTTCTTGAGTTCTCTGATGAAAACTGATGTGATTGCAGGATGTCATCCTTAGACTCAGCAGTTTGGGCTCTCTTTGGCATTTAATAAAAAAAAAAAAATTCTCATTTTTAAGAATTTCTTCATGTCCATGTCCCAGCTGAGTGTTGGCTTCATTTCTCTGGATGGTTTTCTATGTGTGTTTTCACTGTATTGATGTAAAAGCATTCTCTGCTGCTCTTTCAATTCGAAACAGCTTTTCTCTCTCTTCCACTTCTGTCTGCATTCATGGATTGCTTACAAGCATTGTCCTTCTCTGCATGAAACCAGCAGCTTCCCTCCCTGCCTAGTCATTTCTACAGATGTTTTCTCTGTCAATGATGTACTTTAACTCACATTTTGTATCACACACACACAAGTAGCTCATTTTCTTGTATCAAAAGGAGTTCTGTTTTTGGAAACTGTTAATAATAACCTCCATTGTGTGTGAAAAGACTTCTGCTGAAACAAGAAATTGCTGTGTGAACCATGCACTCCTGACTGTCAGAGTAGACAGAACCACTGGTGGTGAAGAGCTGCAAGTTCCTTCTGCAGAGTGCTTGTGACTTCTGAGATACTCTGTCAACTTTCTGTAGCACTCCCTGTGTTCCACATCTAGTCACTTCTTGTCACCAGAGCACTGCTAATGCTTGAGGTCTGGGATTTCTTGTCATGGCAGATGTGATGGCATTGATGCAGAGACTCTAGCTGTGATTTTCACAAACCAGCTTGTTTTAGTCTCCTGTTGGTATGGGAGCTGCTGAATAGCTCCAGTAGTTGATGAACGAAGAATAAACTGATTCACCTTGTGGCTGTCCATTCACTGAGTTTCTTGGTTTCAATTTGTCTGTTCCAGCTTCTTCATGATCTCCCCCACTGACCAGCAAGTCCATTGCTGGGCCTGGCTGAAGAACCGCTTGCCAGATGACAGCAACCTGACCCTGGAGGACGTGACCTGGAAGTACACAGGTAAGGAATCACTGAAAGCAGACCCCCTCAGACAGCCCCAAATCACAAACAGTGCCTTGTGCCGCATGCCAGTTAATTGTTTAAAGTGCCTGGAGTGGTGACTTGGTCTCCTTTCCAAACATTTGGATGAAAACAGCAATTCAGAGACTTCCTTCTGGCAAGCCGTGAGCTGGAAGGCAGCTTTGCTTTACGGTGGGTTGTCAGGAGGTAGTTTGACTGTCTCCTCTGTTCTTCAATGTAAACGTACCTATTAGCTCAATAAAGACTAAGACTTCAGATATTTGGGCATGCACACATCCATGTTAGGCACTGGGCAAGACTCCTAATGCTGTTTTCTTCCCCCTTTTAGCTCTCAATCTGATTGGCCCCCGTGCTGTGGATGTGTTGTCTGAGTTGTCCTATGCCCCCATGACTGCAGAACACTTTCCCTCTCTCTTTTGCAAGGTGAGTGACTGTGCTTCCAGCCTCCTCACCCTGCTGGGTTTTTCAAAGCACGCGTGGGAGGAGAGGAAGAATTATATTTTGGATAATTGGAGGGGAACTTAGATTTGCATACAGGTTTGCTGCAGTTGCTGAGCCAGGTTGGTAAAGAACCCACTAGGCTCACTTCTCTTTGGGTTCTGCTTGCTAAATATATCGGTATGCGTTTGTTTTCAGTATTCCTCTCACTGTAGGCTTGATGCTGTTTGGTATCTCGACATATTTCATATAATCAATCATGAAGCTTTCAGAGGGGCAGCTGGGATCAGTGACTCGGGCATCACTGTCTCCTGTCATGTTAAAAGGCTGAGCAGGTAGCTGCTATTCAGCTTCTGTATCTAGAATACAACCTGTGTCCTGACCTAGTTCCAAGGCGTATTGCCAAGTGTCATGAAGTGATTAACAAGTCTGGATAAGGTGACATCATTATTTGAATTTTGAAATTCAAATTCATTGTGAGTACGTGCAGGTGGCGAAGGGGAGAGAGAGGGCTGGGCAGTGTGGATGTGTTGCACATTGTGCTCCTTCTGGACCTCTGTGCTGTGTTCCAGCTGGGATGATTTCTCCCCCTCTGATTGTGCAGGAGATGAGCGTGGGCTATGCCAATGGCATCCGTGTGATGAGCATCACTCACACAGGAGAACCCGGATTCGTGCTTTATATCCCCATAGAGGTAAGAGTACACTGCTAATTAAAGCAGTTGCTTGCATAATCAGAAACACTTTCCAAGTTGACTCAGGGTGATGAGATGTCTGGTTGGCACCACGGGAAAGCAGGTGGAGTGTCCCTGCTTTACGTTGCCTTCCAGCCAGGCAGAGCTCTTGTGCCCCGGTGGCAGGGGACAGTGACGTCCCTGGTGGTGTCAGCAGCTCTTGCTCTCTGCTGGTGTCAGTCTGTGCTTCACCCTCCCATTGCAGTACGCCCTCCACGTGTACAACGAGGTGATGAACATGGGGCAGAAGTACGGGATCCGCAATGCCGGTTATTACGCGCTGCGCAGCCTGCGCATTGAGAAGTTCTTCGCCTTCTGGGGCCAGGACCTGGATGCTTTTACCACTCCCATGGAGTGTGGACGTGAGTTCCAGGTCAAGCTGGAAAAGGTACAGCACCTCCTGCACTGGGCTTGGTGGGAGGGCAGGACTAGGCTGAAAAGTCTGCCGGCCAAGCAGGTAGTCGTGTCATTTTTTGGATGGAGCTGTGTGCAGTGCAGAGCTATAACATATATTCTTATACTTCAGAAAGGTGCTAGAAATACCAAAAGTGCTGCCTTCATCCCTCCTGGGCAGTGTTCCCAGTTGGCCTGTGAATGTCTGGTGCTGCTCGTGTGTGCTGTGCTCAGTGTTGCAGAGAGTGCTCTGTACCTTGCAGATGCTCAGGGTTCTTGTTTCTCCAAGCTGTTTTCCCAGTTTGATGAAGCAAAAGCCAGCCCATGCACCAAGTGGCATACAAGGCTAGGCACCAAGAACAGGTCTTTTCTATTTTAACTAAAACAGGGGAGTTCTCTGTTTTTACTAAAACATAGAACAGCATAGAGTCCTATCTCGCTTTTGTGGTGGTGTTGCTGTCATTGGCTTGTTGTCTTCTTTCTTCCATCTTTGGGCCGAAACAAATGCTTGTATCAATTCAAGAAAGGAATGTAGTGACTGGGGATACAAATGTCATATTAGTTACAGTTTCCCTCTGGTTTACAAAGCACAGTGAACTTCTAGAGCCAGGAAAATGGCAAAGAATAGAATGACGACATGGTTTTCGCTGCAGTGAAAATTAGAATGGTGTTTTCAAAGGCCCACTTCACAAACGTTACTGTGTCGTTTAACATCTGGAACAGCAAACATGCCAGAAAAGCTTCTGCCTGAGCTGAGCAGAAGCTCAGCTCAGGCAGAAGCTTTTCTGGCATGTTTGCTGTATGGAAACAGCCCATTTTGATAGGGCATGGGTTTCAGATGTGGATTGCCCTTGCGTGGCGAGCTGCTCCTCCGCAACCCAGCAGCTGTCGCAGTTCGTGTCCCTCAGCCGAGCCCACTCCTCCTTTTCCCCCGCAGGGAATGGAGTTTGTGGGCCAGGAGGCGCTGCTGGAGCAGAAGCAGAACGGGGTGTACAAGCGCTTCACCATGTTCATCCTGGAGGACCACGACACGGACATGGACCTCTGGCCCTGGTGGGGGGAGCCCATCTTCCGCAACGGCCGCTACGTGGGCAAGACCACCAGCAGCGCCTACAGCTACACCCTGGAGCGCCACGTCTGCCTCGGCTTCGTGCACAACTTCGACGAGAAGACGGGAGAAGAGCTGGTGGTGACCACTGACTTCATCAACCAGGGAGAGTACGAGATCGACATCGCCGGGCAGCGCTTCCAGGCCAAAGCCAAGCTCTACCCCTTCAGCTCCCTCTTCACGCAACGGCGCCGCAAGGATGAGGTGGAACTGAGTGGCTACCAGAGGGAGTAGTGGCCCCCCAACCCGCTCCTTGTCCCAGGCTGGAGCTTCTCCATCTTCCAACCCTTTCTCCTCACCTCGTATATATCTTTTCCTTTCTTGTCTTGCAACTTTTAACCTTTTTTCCAGTGTGTTACATTTTGTATATTTTAAACCCTTCATTTTCCACCTTTCCCCCCGCTCCTGTCTGTCCTCCTCCTTTTCAACGCTCGCCAGGCTCCCCCGTGTCGCAGTGGATGAAGCACAGTGCTGGACGTGCAGGGGTGCCTGTGCAGGAGCGAACTGCACCAGAGCCCCTGGCCTTCTGGTGGTGGGAAGGGTCGGGGTGAAGCCCTGAGGACCACACACCCTTCCTCCCCGCTCTGCAGGCGCGGTGCTGCCTGCGGTGCTGCCTGCGGTGCGGGGTGATCGCTGTGCCCTCCCCCTGGCAGAGGGGTGGGGTGTGGACGCACACAGCAATAGAACGATCAGCTACCTCAGTGGCAGGGGCAGAGCGTGGTGTGAGCACAGCCACCAGGCAGGCTCCAGTGCCCTTTGGGTGTTTCCCCAGCCGGGGCCTCGAGCGTGTTTGACGTCAGAGCTCTGAGCTGGCGGTGGCGCTGGTAAGTTGGATGTCGTTGGGATGGGATTTTTTTTTTTTTTGCCTGGGGTGGCTGAAAATCTAAATGGCCTTCTCTAATTATAGCTGAAGATCAACACGTGCATTTCACTTCTATAAAGGAATGTGTGGGTTTTTTGGTTTTTTTTTTTTAATTAGCAAAAATACTGATTTTTAACAAGGACGGATACATTAGTGTTTAATGTTAATAGCAGTGTTGAAATGCTGCTTCTGTTTAAGCTGCACAATATACAATCTCTTTGGGGATTGTCTTTCACTTTGTTTCTCTGACTTGGTCAAACTCTTCTGGCAAGGTTCATGTAAAACTTGTGTTGGTTTGGGGAACTTGAGCAGCAGGAGGAGACAACATCTTGTAGTTTTAGCTGCCCATGGTTTATTTGAAGTTAAAGACCCAGCCATTTGTCTCACCTGTGGTGCAGGAAACACTGGGTTTTCTTCTGCTGGTTAGAAAACATCTCAGCAGCTTCTGCTGGACTGGAGAAGTTGTGTTGTGGTTTTCTTCTCAAATCTGTTGCACTTCTTTCTTCTCTCCCAGTAGTACCTCATCTGAAGGGTTGATAGGGGAGTGAAGGGAGCGTGGCAGTGGGATTGTGACTTGCTTTCCTTCAGCGCTGCTCTTTGCATCTGGCTTCTCCTGCAGATGCTCCAGGCAGTGCAGCTGGGATTCACCCCTTCCTTGTGTGTCAAAGTGTGCCAGTTGGAACACTGCTGGTAAATGGTGCAGAAGTGGGGGGGTTGCTGAATTTCATTGTGCACATGTACATCTTCTTTTTCTTCTTCACCTTTTGAGCACAATCAAAAGCAAAGACTCTTTCTATTTACTTGAAAAAAGATCTGTTAAACATTTTCCTTGCCTCTGTCATGGTCTTTCTGCTCCAGCATCTCCTCTGGAGTTCAAACACAACACTGCACTGATGTCTGCCCTGTCAGCCGTGATGAACACTTTCTCTATGATCTACAATCTTCTTTGGGCACTTTATTTTCCAGTTAAATGGTGAGCATCAACAGTGTAAATATGAGCTCAAAACCTTCCCTGGTTCTTGTTTTAGGTTTGCCTTCTGCTGCTTTAGTTGCTTCAGGTGGCACCTTCAGCTGAGTCTGTGGCTGCTGGTGCAGGGCAGGGTGTGAGGGAGTGAAGGATTTGAGGTGTGGTGTAGTGGGCTGAACGTAGATGTCACTTCTTCCAGCGTCTGTTCCTCTGTCAGTGATGACTTTCGTTGTCGTGTGACCTCTTCCAGGATTTCAAACTTAGTTCTGAATTGACCTGCAAAATTTCCCAGCCTCTGAAATGGAGTGGCCACAGTGGGACAGCTGTGTGAGGTCTCCCAGCCCGGAGTGCTCTGTGCAGCTGCTCTAGGCAGAGATTCCTCCTGCCTGTCATTTCCTCCAAACTCCCCTATTAGTGCTCTCTGAGTTGAAATTTTGTCTGGTGTGTTAGAATTAATTGCTTAAATGAAAGGTTCATAAAGCATCTAATAGCAGTTTAAACTCTGTAATTACTTCTTGCATATCCTTTCTGCCTTGGAGGGATCCCTCTGTTCCTGTGCGGGATGGATGTACCAAGGAGGACCTTGGTCTGTCTCCATTGGTTTTATGGGATGTTGCTTTGCCTTCCTTATCCAGGGAAATGGGTGCTCAGCCAGAGAAAGAGTTTTGTAGGTGAGGCTTGGGGTGTGTCTTAGAGCAGCCCTTCTGATTAGGGTTTATTGACCCTTTGTTGTTGCTGGTGAGGCAAGGCACTTCTTCAGGGGAAGGCAAAGTGTAGGGCCAGGGTGTGCTGAGGTGCATCATGCAATTCCTGAAGAGAGATTTTAGCTGGAACCACTCAGTTTGTTCTCTGCAGAGTTAGAACTGGTTAAAACCAACCAAGGAAAGTCAGCAGCGTGCTGTCCTCTACCAGGCACTCCTCCCTGCAGTATCAATTAGGTTGCAGCCAGATTATATTCCTCCTTGTGATTATTTTTCCTTTTCCCTAATTTATGGGTGCCTGTTATTTCCTCAGGCAACTTTTCATACATGGGTGTCTCTCCTCCAGCAGTTCTGACAATAAAATTGTGGTTTATGAGCTACTTTTGTCATTGTGTCTGCTAAGGTTTATTTTATGTCTGGAAGGTTTATTTTATGTCTAGATCTATTGACTTTTCCATACCAAAAATAGAGAGGGAAAATAGTTTTCTACCATGCTGAGAGATACAGCAACACTTTTTGTAATGCTGTGTTTGCTGTTTGGGACTTGGGTGGTTTGGTAATTGTCAGTCTTGCAGCTCATTAACGCCTACTCTGGCCTTCTCTGCTGTGAATTCTGATTCTTGTTTTATATCAGAACCCGAGGCTGCTGCTCAGGCTCAGTCGATTTAACTTCTGGTGTAGCTATTTTTGACCTTACAGTGGTAAAGAATAGTTTGTTTTCACCAACTTGAACACCTGTCAAGGGGACAATTGGATCACGTTTTAAAATAGTGATGCTGAGGCTGAGGCAGATCCTTCTAGTGTGGTGTTTTCTTCGGGAGGTATTAAGCAGTGATGTAAGACTAATCCCTTTATCTGGTGATTAAAGTAGAGTGCCTAAAAAAAGAACAACGAAATCTGCTGAATAGTACCTTCAGTACACCTTCAAACCAGAAAATTGAAAATCTGGTCCTGGAAGCAGCTGTGGCACAGTCTGAGCATCTAAGGTGGTAAAGAACACGGACTGTAAAATTGTACATCCTGATTCTCATCCTTAAAACTGCCTTAAAATGCCTTCTGCTGAGAAAGGCTGGTTGTTCTGGTTCTGCATGGTAAGACCACGCACCTTGGATGGGGAAACACTAAAATAGCATCCCTGTCTGCTGCAGTGTGAGGGGAGACGGCTCATTCTGAGCTGAAGCAGCAGCAGCTCTGCCCTCTGCACCTCGTGTGTGTCACTCCCAGAGTTGTCACCAGCTCTCTGAGCTTTGCTGTCCACAATGGGAACAGCCCAGTTCACACTGGCCCCTTGGGAGGGAAGCTAAGGAGGGAATCCATCCAAGTGTGCATGCATGGAAGGGCTGGCTTGCCCAAGTGTTATTTGTACTTTGGGGAACTTGGGGAAGAGGTACCACTTCCTAACTGACTGATTTTAGAGGTGTTACACTGTCTTAACCTTGCTGTGTCCTTATGTTCTCATGTTTTGTTAGTCCTTGAGGACTGCAAGGCCTGACTAAAACTGGTACTATAGAAGAGAGGCTTTACTGTTCATATTCAATGATCTGAGGGTAAAGCTAAGGCAGCCTGTTTTGGAATGATGTTTTCTGTTTCAGGGGGATGTGTTACAGTCATTTTCACATCCATTTTTGCCACACTTAGCTGCTGCTTGTTTTCTCTGTGCTGCCTCCCATGTCTGGATCAGACAGGCCCAGTTTCTGTGGCCAGGAGGGGAGGCTGTGTGGAACATCCACTGCATCTCCAAGTCTTGATGTAAGCTTGGATTCCTCCTTTCTGCTGTTGCATTTGAGCTGCCACCAATCATTTGCTGTTCCTGCAGCACCTCCAAACCCCAGCCTGTGCTGCTGGAGGGTTTCTCGTGCACAGGGTTCTTCTCTTCCTTCTACCTGATGCTTTGTCATCAGAGCCAGGTTGGCTCTAGACCTGTCTCTCTGCATCACTTTAAGCTCTCATACTTTTAGGTGGTGCTGATACCAATATCTGCAGCTTGCAGGCAGGTTTGTGGCCAGTGTATATCCCATCATTTAACCCTCCCTTTCCCTGTGCCAGGGTTTTCCCACTGTCCTTACCACTTCTCTGGTCTCCTTCCTCAGGTGGCTCAGCACGTCAGTCCCTTTTGCCCATCAGAGAGCGAGGCAGGGCTGCATAAAAACAGGGCAGGGCTGAGCTGAGGTGGGAGCAGAGGTGTGATAGAGCTTTAATCTTGTGCCTGTTACTTAATTCCTTAAGCCCAGCCTTGGAGAGATGATCAGCCTGGATTTCCAGCTCAGGGAGCATCTTCCTCTGCAGCCTTGGTGCTGGGCAGATGAGAGCTGTGGCTCTGGGCCGAGCTGGGACAGCATCAGCACTTGTTTCCAAGCACATTTCCCTCTCTCACGGGAGAGGTGGGAACTGGGAGCACTTGATTGCCCTGAACACTTAAATGGGTCTCTCTGACACCTTCTTGCAACTGTGAAGGTACAGCACTGGCATTGCCAACCTCGTCCTTCCAGCACATTTGAGTGAACCAGAATGGTTAAATTTTGGGAAGAAGTCTGTAAAACCAAGGTACTTTCTGTGTTGGGAGAGGGGGCAGCTGCTTGGAAGGGCAGAAGTTGTTTTTATTTCAAACACAGCACTTGGCTGCTGACAATGTCGAGCAGAATGTTCACAACCTTTAGGTTTGTCTTCCCAAATGAGTTTGTTATAATACTTGGTCAGATTAATTTCTGCCCATTTCAAGATTATTTTTTGTTTGTTTGTCTTAAACTGCCTTTTCCTTAACTGATTGTTTGTATTTTTATTTAAAAAAAAAGGCATTCAGTCAGGGAACAGGACTTGGGGAAGGAGGGAGTTTAGGGTCATCAGATGACTTCAAGCTGTCACTGAAAAGTGTTGGAACATTTTCTTTGCACTTTAAACTTTCCTTAAGCATTATGGCTGTAGCACCATGCATTTATTTAGTGCTTTTAGCCCTCTGCATGAGTAGTCTTTGCATTTGATAGGAAAAAAACCCCTTTAATATTTATAAATGCCTTAAAGCTCTGAGTGCGGTGTTTGGGCACTGATTGTACCTGCCATTTGGTTTCCTTCCTGGAAAACTGAGTGCTGAGCACCCAGAGCTGCTACTGAGCAAGCACTGGGGGATGGGGGAAGCTGCTGTTGCAGAGTGAGGCTGGAATTTGTACTGAGCTGGGAGCCCCTGTGCCTGCACAGCTGCTGGGCTGACACCTTCCTGTTTGTTTCTCCCTCTGGAAACGGATTTATTCACTTTTTCCTCATGGTGTAATGGGTTTTCTTATTTCTTGGAGAAGCCTGGGCTGGTGCAGAGTGCTCTGTGAGTGTCCCATTGTGTTAAAGGAAACAAAATTCTCTGCTTGGGCGTTTCCCTGCTCTGCCACCTGACATTTGCAGGCAGGAGTCAGTGGGAGTGGAGGGGATCTGCTGCTGCACACAGTGTTTGCTGAGATGGCTCTGAGGCCTCTCATCTCCCATTTGCCTCAAAGCTGGGCTGCATTCCCAGTGTCAGGCTGGCTTTGTGCTGTGCTGAGGGGCTGTGTGAGATCCCACCTGCTCGGGATCGGGAATCCCCACCAGGAGGAGCGGGGACGTCACCTCCAGGAGGTGACACAGCCACACTTACTGATTTGTCAGTGCTGGTAAACAGTTGATCTTCCCCCACGGATTCTTGACACCTGCTACAAGCAGAGCAGATATTTGGGAGTCATCGGCCCCCCCAGCTAGGACCTGATCCATGCTGTGTGTATGAGAGGAATCCTGTGCTGTCTGCCTCTTTACTTGCCACCACTGAGACTTTTTCCACACTCAAATTCCATGCTCTTCCCCTAGTGGAGCAGATTTCACTTCTTCCAGTGAAACCAGAGGCAGGCTTATGTCCCTGAATCTCTGTTCTGTATCTCTTGGTCAGGCTTGCAGCAGGACACTTGTCCAAACCCCTTCACTCTTTCCTCTCCTGAGAACAGATTTTTAAAGGGCTGGGAGGATTTTCTGACGAGTGCTACAACCGAAATTTTAAGAACAACTGAAGTTTGAACCTGTGAAAACACTTTCCTAGTGCCTTACGCTTGTGAATGTTGTGCAATGGGTGGAGCTGAGGTGGGACAGAGCAAGGAGCAGCTCTCAGAGCAGCGTGGTTCCCCATCCACCACGCCCTCCCCTTGCAGGGGCCTGGCAAGCAGATGCCTGCAGGTTGTCTCTGGCAGCTTGGGGAGGCTCCTTCTTTGCCATATGGGGTCAGAGAAACCTTGTGCTGGGTGCTCTGCGTTTTTGGGGAGCAGTGGTCTCACCTCTGCAGGGTTTGGGTTCGAGGGGTTCAGGAGGGACGAGGCTGCTCCGATTGCCAGAGCCCGTGGTGCAGGACGTGGACAGTCGTTCCCAAGCGCACAAGTCAGGGCGAGTTTGCTGCTCCCCACTGAGGCCATGTTGTCATGTATGCTGTATTTATATCATGCTTGATTTCATTTCATATTTTGGTTGGCTTAAATGTTGCTAGGTTTGTATATTAATAAAGAGGCATTTTAACTACTCCCGAATTTGGCCATCTGTTGTGCAAGAGCCTTGTGTGCTTTTCAGAATCCAAAGCCCCTGGTTGTCTGTGTGGGATCCTGCAGGGACACCAGGCTTGTCGCAGGGTCCAGCCTTAGGAGTCCCTTTCCCTGCCTCTGCCTGTGCCACGTTCAGAATTATGTCCTTCAATAGTTTGTCCATGTCCTTCCCTCTGCTCTTCTGGGGCTCAGGGACATGGGCTGTGTTGGTCCAGAGCCTCTGCTTTTGGGTGAGGGGGATTGGGGCACGAGTGTGGGGTCTGGGTGAGCAGTGCCATCATCACCAGAGCTGCAGCTGGGCCAGCGTGGGGCCAGGCTCTGCTCCTGCCCCCCTGGGGGGATGTTACCCACGGATGGTGGCCGATGTCTGGCCCAGGAGAGGCGGGAGAGCAGAGCATCTGGACCCCACCAGCCCTCCCATTCCCCTTCCCTCCTCTGGTGACCCCTCCGGTGCCTGGGTTCGGGTGCAGGCGAAGGCACAGCGGGCAGGGCTTACCGGAAGAAAACCCCCAAGCAGATTCGATGCATGGTTTTTATTGACCTTTAAAAAAAACAGTTGTTTTAAGACAGTTGTGTGCAGAAGTACCCACGTAGGCAGAGGCTGCGGGCTGGGCTGCCCTCGCTCAGAGCACGGCTCTGTCCCGGTCCCGGGTGCTGGGATCGGGCACTGCATGATGCAGACTGCCTGTGCCAGCTGGGCAAGCCTGGGCAGCTCCTCCCTGCCTGCCCCCCTGCCCGCAGCCTGTGCCTACATCTCCTCTATGTACAGTACAGTGGTGCGCCGGCCCGAGCTGAGCCCCTGCCTGCGGCCCTGCCCGGGAAACACGAGTGGGGGCGAGTCCTAGTGGGACAGCTTAAATAAAACACAATAATAATATAATAATTAAAACAACAACAACAACAATAAGAAAGAGGGGGCAGGGGAAGGAAGTTAGCAAAAAAAAAAAACCCAAAAATCCTGTCAGGGCAGCCCCGAGCCACGAACACACCCTTTGCCAGGTGCCAGCACTGGAGGGTTTGGGACCCCCCTTGGTACCCGGCCTCTCCGCTCGCCCTGTGATTGTCAGGCTGGGCCCTGCTCAGCTCTCACGCTGGATTTGGCCTTTCTAGCCACCAGCAGAGTGGCCTGGGTGTGTCCCTCTCTTCCCAGCTACGATCCAGCCTGGTGCGAGGAGGGAAGTGGGTACGACTGCCGGATACATGGCCGGATACTCCTGCTGGCACGGGAGCGGGCACAGCCTGGCATGGCCCATGGGAGATGGTCAAGGCACTCATTGTTGCTTGTGGTTTTGTGGTTTTTACTTTTCTTCCCTGTAAAAAAAAAAAAAACCCAGACAAACAAAAACTAAAAAGCCACGCAGGAAGGTGGAGAGCAGGGCTCGCTGCCAGCTGCCTCTGCGTCCCTGGGCTCGGGGCTGCCAGCGCTGGGGCAGCTCCACCTCTACCAAAACCCACCACAAAACTCAAGGGTTTAAAGCCCTGTGGACAGAAAAGCTGAATTTCCCCAGCCCAGGGGCTCCTGAGTGCCTGCTCCAGGTGACCAACCCACACCCTTGTGTTTGACGATTGCAGAGAGAAACATCAAAAAAAAAAAAAAAGAGAAGAAAACCCTGAAAAACAGCCAAACTGAAGCAGAGAAACAGGTAAGAGGCTGCTACAGAAAAGCCAGACACAAAAGGGTAAAAATCCTCAAAGCCCAAAAAAACCCCTGTGGTGATTGTTCCTCAAATAACTATTGCAACCAGGCAGTGTGGGCAGGGCTTCCCCAGCTGGGCACAACCCCACAGCCCCCACCCCACTCTTGGCTGCACAGGTTGAGGGTCCCTCTCTGGGGGACCTTTTCCATGATTGCCTTTCTCTTGAGCTTTCCAGCACCTCCTAAAAAAAACCAAAAAAAAAAAAACCAAACCCACCCACCTGATTGACCCAAAGAAAAGTGGTTTTAATGACACCTCTGGGGAAGCAGTTTCCTTCAGCACCTCCCTGTCTCCCGCCTGTCCAGCCTGGGAGGCCCTGGGGACCCTGAGGGCACCAGCTGTATCAGACTGGCCTAAACCAAGTGCCACCCTCGCAAATGGAGCAGACTTTGGGATTTCAGCTTCTCACCAGAGCTCTTTAGAGCAACACAAAAGCAAAAGCACGGTTCATTCACCCTCTAAAGCTATCTCTAATCTGTTTTTTTCCCAGCCTGAAAGCAAAGGAAATCCTGTCTCCTTGACCCTGCTGCATCCCACAGCCTTGGGAATCCTGCAGCTGCTTGCAGAGCCCAGCCAGAGGGCCAGGGCTGCTGCTCCTGTGGGTTTCTTAGCTGCCTCCTGCACAGTCGCTCCCAAAATCTGTCTTATCCTTCCTCAGTCCTCGGGTAGAGGAGCAGGGATCCTGGGTGTTGAAGTCAGGGTTCCAGCTGTGCCAGTAACCACCAGCCTGCAATGATCGGCCTCCTGCAGCTGCCAGCTCCTCCCCACGGATCCATGTGCTGGGACCTGCCTCTGCTGGGAGCCTTCTCCGGAGAAACCAGGCATCGGCTGCCCCAGGTGGGAAATAAAACCAACAAAAATGCAAAATAAAGGAAGGAAGAAGCAGCTGGTTCCACTGGTGAGGCTGCGCAGCCGCCACGGCTCCCTCAGCCCACACTCTGGTGCTCGAGGGGTTCCCCAAAGTCACCCAACTTCGGGGTGGGGGGGTTGTCTTGTTTTAAAAAGAGCAGCATTTGGTTTGACTGTAGAGATGCGAGGCGGCCGCCCCCGCCGCCCGGTCAGTCGCTGATTGTGTTTATAAATCCTTTCTCAGCTGGGTTTCTTAATAATAATAATAATTAAAAAAGCAAAAAGTCTCCTTTAGCTCTGAACCTGATTGGCTGCTGGAGGCACCAAATATCGCCGGGGTGGCTCTGTCGGCGGCGCTGCCCGACTGGTGTTCGTCACCCGAGGCCACCGGGGCCACCCTCACCCTGTGCCCCCGCAGGCAGCAGGACCCGGCAGAGCAGGGAGCCGGGGGTGGCAACGCCCTCAGTTGCCCCGGTAAACCTCGATCTTGCTGGTTTTGGCCAGCATGTCGATGATGTGCGCCTCGAAGTCGGCATCGTGCACCCCCGTCTTCCGGAACTCCCCCGCATAGCGGTTGTTCTCCCAGTAGTGGTGCCAGTTCCCCCGGCTGTCAGCGCCGAACCCAAAGACGTTCACCTGCAGGGGCAAGGATGGGAGTGAGCCAGAAGCCGTCCCCAGGCTGGGGGGCTCTCTTGTCTGAGCACCTGCTGCGATGCTGGGGTGATTTTCCCCTCCCTGTCTCTCTGCACAGCCTTCCCACCCTTCCATCACCGTGGTGTCAGGCGACCAGAGCAAGTGAGCGCTGCTGCGGTTGGACCCAAAGAATCCACGTCCCTCCTTAACCCTGCAAGGCTCAGGATCCCAGCAAACCCACCCCGTGCCAGCTGGGAGCTGAAGGAGCCGTCACCCACCTCGTCACAGACGTGGAGGGCGAAGAACAGCACCAGCATGCCCGTGGAGGGGTAGCGCCCGTGGTGCTCCGTCCAGCGGTCGTGGATGTACTTGAAGAAGGCAGGATTGTAGATCTGTACCTGGGAGGACGGGCTGGGTTAGTGCTGGAGCCCCAGCCACGCCCCTGTCAGCACTGGCACCCCGGGAAGGAGCACTGGGGTCCCTGGGGGCTGATGGGGTAACAGGGGCCGTGGCCAAATAGGTGCTCATGGCCCTTGTGGGGACGAGCCCCCCATACCTTTTCTTTGTCCACACGCAGAAAAGGCTTCACAGGCGCGTACGTGCTGGGAAAAGAGCGGAAAGGCAGGTGAGCTCTCAGGGGTCCCACATCCCCATCTCCAGCCTGAGCTGCCAAGGGATGCTCTGGGAGGGAGGAACGAAGGAACTTGCCCCGCTCCCAGGGGAGCTGTCCCCAAGGTAGGTGAATCACCAGCCTGGTGCTGCTGGTGCCCACTGGGTACTTACAACCTGATCTGGCCAGTGGAGAGGGCACTGGCGATCCAGAGCAAGTCCAGGGTTTTGAAGGGCACCAGCACGAAGCTGACGTTGGCGGGCAGGTTCTTGGCACTCTCGGGGTACATGAAGTGGTGTGTGGTCCGACCACCCACATCGCCCTCAAAACCCACTGTGGGGGCCTGGTTCATCCTGGGGAGAGAGCCGGGAAGGTCACACCACCCTCCCAGCCACCCTGTGCCTTGCAGGTGACATGGATGTCCCCCATGAGCTGCTGAATGCTGCCAAGGAGCAGCTTCCCAGCCTGCTGATGCTCAGAGGGCTGGGATGACACGAGGGTCCCCCCCCAGCCAGCCCGGGGGCGGTGGCAGGGCTGGACCCATTTCCACCCGTCCCAGCAGGCAGAGGTGCCAGCATCCTGTGCTGCCCGTGGGGCTGGGGGTGGGCAGTGCCCTGGCAGTGCTCCCTGAGCCTCACCGCATGACGAAGTCGTGCCCGTCGATCTCGGGCCCGTAACCAGAGCCACGCAGGTTGCCTGAGTTGCCGACCACGGCACAGCGGCGGCAGCGCCGTGGGTCACGGGAGTGGTAGGGATCCTCTCCTGGCACGATCTGGAACAGCTTACTCAGGACCTCGTGGGTGTTTTGGGACTTGAACTGGGGCTGCAGCATCTGCAGGGAGGGAAGGAAGGCAGGGGGGCATCATCCAGTGACCCCCTCCTCGCTGGTGAAGGAGAAATCTGTGCCCCCGTGCCAGAGCACATCACGGCATTCCCATCCCTATTCTCACCATCCACCACCTCTGGACATCGGGCGGCAGGTCCATGTTCTCCTTGGTCCACACCGGGGACACGCTGCCGTCGTAGCGCCCGTCAAACCAGTCGGTGGCCCCGGGCTCCTCGGCGGGGCAGCGGCGGCAGGAGCAGCCCCGCGGGTACGGTCCCGCCTTGCTGAGCCGCTGCATTCCAGCGTAGCCGGGCACCAGCTTCACCCGATGGATGCCGCCCAGCCCGCCGGGGTCCAGGTAGGCGATGCTGTGGTGGGAGTAGGTGAAGAGGAGGGACATGACGAAGACGAGCAGGAAGGCGGTCGAGAGGAAGCAGAAGCGCAAGGAGCACTTCATGGTCGGCGGGTGGCTGAGCCGGGGACGGCGCCCGCTCCGGCACAGGGCGCGGGCATAGGGCGCGGGATGGTGTCAGCCGGCCAGCAAGGCTCCCTGCGGGAACGAGAGCTTCAACTCCCTGCGGTGGCAGCGGGGTGGGGAGTGACGTAGAGCCCCCCATGACCCACCGCCCCGGGCTCCTACCTGCCGGGCTGCAGCTTTCCATCCGCGTAGTTCAGCCACGGCGAGGGCCCCCAGTGGCTCCGAGTGCCAGGTAAGGAGCATCTGCTGCTGGCCCCGGCGGCGCGGGGGTCCGGCACAGCTCACCGGGCTCAGCCGCGGCACCGCGCCCCGGCCGCTCCTCCGGGTCCCGGCCCCGGCTGGCGCTCAGCTGCCACGGCGCTCGTCATCCCGGGGTTTAGCTGATCCGCTGGCACGGGGCCCGCAGCTCCTGGCTCGGGAACGCGGCCACCACGACACCGGCCTGGAGCGGGAAGGAGGGGACAGCAGGTCAAGGGGCGGCGATACAGCTGATCCAGCCAGCAGAGCTGGGGGCTGAGGAGTCTGTTCCCCACTGAACGCGACAGAACAGCTCCTGGCCCATCCCTGGCACCGGGTACGAGCCATCCCCAAAGGGAATGAGCTGAGATGCCAGCACTGCTGTCCCTGCTGGGGGAAATCCCAGCAGCTCCCGGGCTGTGCCCTCCCTGTCCCTGCCAGACAAAGGCTCAGCCATGACCTCGCCTACGGAGCCGAACAAGGGGCTCCTTTCTGCAGGCTCAATCCTCCTTCTCTATCAGGCCATGAGCAGCCCCTCCACAACCCTCTGCTGGCTGCTGCTGCCGCCGAGACAGCCGGGACCGACTGTTCCGCAGCCTGGCGGGCACCGGGGACCACCTGGCGATTGTCCCCCCCCAGCCCGAGTGGCAGCATCCCTCAGGGAAGGTCACCCGCTCGCTCGTGATCCCGGAGGGTAAAAATAGCCAGGCCAGAGGTGCCGGTGCCTGCGCCCGGCCAGGGATGAGAGGAGCAGCCAAGCCCCCCAGCCAGGGGGAGGGCAAAGCCAGACCCCCTTCCTTGGCCAAATTTTTTAAAAAAGGCTGAAAATGCCCTTTCAACTCAGTCACTGAGCTGGGACAGGATCCAGCATCTCAGGGGAATGGCCCCTCCAGGCCTTTTGTGGGGAGGGAATGACCTCCCCCAAGGCCAAACCCTGCAGTGGCATCATCGCCCCAGCTAGGCCAGCATGAGGCTGGCAGCACTAATTAGGAGCTAGCAGGCACCAGGACGCCTCTTCCCTAGGAAAAACATCCTCTGGAAGATGCTGGTTTCCTTACAAGAGACTGCTGCACCCCAAAAACCTCCTTGGGATGGGGGGAGACAATGGATCCCAAAGTCCCCCCCAGCCCATTGCACTACCAGGCACGGATGCCTCCTGCCTGAATCATTAACCCACTGTCAAATATTTGTTCAAGTGGTGACAGCCTTTAAAGGACAGAGACAAAAACCAAGGGCACATCCCAGTCCAAGTGCCTCCCCAGGCTCTGGGGGAGGAATTTAAACACACCTACGTGCCACACACGTGTCCAGAAGTGACTGCAACCGGTTCCCTGGGTTGCTGCCAGAGGGAAAAGCAGGGTGGTTGTTAAAGGGAGGGTTTGCATACAGGGGAGTTTGGGATAAAGCCAGTACAAAGGTATATTCCCCCCCACCAGATGCACACCACTGGAAGGATTTGGAGGTAAAAGGTGATTTTTGTGCTTTTTTTTTCAGCTGCGACGTGGCAGGGGACGCCAGGCAGGATGGGCTGATCCCCTTCCCCTGTTCTCACCATCCCACGGGGCTTTTTAAAGGCTAAAGGAAATGAGCTATCACGTGCCTGTGTTATTTTTGTTCCCGGTGAAAAGGGGGAAATCCCTTTCCGGCTCCCCAGCGCAGCCTGGTCCTGCCTGATGCATCCCAGCCCTGACAGCATCTGGAGCACATTTTGTGCTGGTTCCCCCCCCATCCCGGGGCCTCCCGGAACTGCCCCCGACCACAGCGGGGGGAAAACCCCCCTCCAGCCCAGCTCATGCGCGGTAGAAGAAGCCTCAAATCCCAGCGGCTGGTTTGAGTCATCATTTTCCTAGCAGGAGCTGGCAGCTCTTTCCATCTGCACCGGTCCTTACAGCCCCCAGCAGGCACAGGGCACCCACACATTCCCACGTACCCCAGCGATTTCCATGCCCTCCCTGCCCAATCCTAACCCAACCCGCCTCCACAGATAAAACCCCACTGCAGGAGCACTTTGCACCAGATTTTTGATGTTTCCTTCTTAAAATATCAAGGGATTTCAGGATTTCTCCTGTGGTGAGTAAGCCCAAGCAACTCAGCGATGCCACTAAATACCCTTCCACTCCCAAATTCATCCCCAAGATCCTAAATTGTCTCCTGAGTACCCTGTGCTCATCAAACACAAGTTTCTCTTTGATTGCAGGAGATAATGAAACGAGGCTATTAAAAGGTCCCAGGAAATTGCTCTGCTGCTTTTACAGCTGGATGGTTTTTTCCAATCATATAATCTTTCATTTCAGGTTGAGTGCTGGAGCGATGTGACCGACAGCCCCGGGGCCTGGAGGATGCCTGTCCCTTCCCCATCAGCCACCAGGCACATCCCCACCCGGTATCTTTAGGTCTTCTTGCCTTTGTTTGCTCGTTTCTAAGATACCCTGAGGTTGTTGGCACCAGTTTCCATGCTGGTAAACGGCAGGGTGGGCACAGGAAGGAGCTGTCCCTGGGAAATGGGATGTCACCCTGTTTGGGGCAGGGAGAGAAGGGGAGTGGAGGAGCAGGGGCAGCACTGCCCACACCAGCTGCTGCTCTTCCCAGGGATGACAGGGCTGAAAATTCCCCTAGAAGTCCTCAGGAAATGCAGGTGACCAAGTGCCACCATGGCCCCTGTGCAGGGACATCACTTCTGCCACCACCAAACCACTGAGCGGGTGCCAGAGCGGTCATGGCTCTTGAGGGTGGGAAGAGGGGGAAGCACACAGGGACCCCTTGGACCAGACCACCATCTCTCCTGCTGTCATGAGGGAAAAACTGAGAGTCAGGGCTGGGGTTTCTTTGACAGGGAAGGAGTGGATGTGAGTTGAGTCTTCTCCCACCTCCCTCAGCCTCAGGCAGAAACACCGAGTGGTGACCCCTCCTGTTTCAGACCCAACTCCAGCGAGCTGGATTCCTACAGAAATTTATAAACCTGTTCAGATTTCCCTTCTTGCCTGGCTCCAAGCCCTGGGGGAGGCTGCAGCCCCTGGGCAGAGAGCCGAGGAGTGCGCCCTGCTTGCCTCTACTGTCAGCTCCTGTCAGCCTGGAACGGGAGCGGGAATCTGCCCGGGGCAGCGCGGGAGAGGACCAGACCCCATCCCTCTGCATCACTGGGCTCCCAGGGCCAGACCAAGAGCTGGCCAGAGCAGCACAGCTAATGAAGGAGGTTCTCTCCTGCATCGCCCATCCAGGGGGATTGTATTTTCCCCTTGTATTTTTTTTTTTTCATCCCTGGAAGCTGGACGGGAGAGGAGCAGGGAGCAGACCCGGTGTGGGCACAAGGATGTTTCTCCCTGCAGGACTGATGGCCAGTGGTAGCTGAGCACCAGGTATTAAGAGAAGAAGCCAATTTCATGCATTAAGCCATCGCCACATCCTGACAGCAGCGAAGACCTGGTAACTTATTCTTCATCCTTTTAATTAATCATACTCTTATCAGCCAGCTCAATCAGCTAATGGAGCCAAGTTAATTGGGTTTCCCATGTTTTAAACCCTACTTGCACCCCTGGTTGCCAACGGCAGCCTTTCCTTGTTCCAGCCTTTCCTTGTTCCTGGCCTCTGGAGGGGTTATTTTGGGCTTGTCCCTGGGACGAGGCCAAGAACAAGCGTGGAGGCCAAATCCCCAGCACGGAGCTGGGATGGAGCCAGCCTCGCTGAGGCCATCTCCTATGGGATTTGGGGGCACAGGGGAGTGCCAGCAGTGGGAAAGCTCAGAACAGAATGCTCCCACCCTCGCTGGTGGATGGGTCTTGCAGGGACAGGTTCAGCAGCATCCCAAGCCCCTCGGCTCAACCGCAGTGGGAACCCCTGGGGAACTACACCAGCTCCAATACCCTGTGCTGCCTGAGGGGGCCATGCTGGGCAGGCACTCTCCCCCCACCAAAAATCTCCCGTTGGTAGAAGCAGCCAGAGGCAGACACCCAGCCCTGCAGATCACACTCACGGCCTCACCAGCGACCCACGTGTGCCAGCCCACGCGGCTGATGCCCCCCTCCAGGAGAAGGGACACTGCTCAGCCATCTGGCAGCGCTGCTTCCCCAGGCTGCCGTGGGGAAAAGGGGCCCCCGTGCTCCAGAGGGGTTGATAAGCCAAGGCCACGCTCACAGCATGGCCTCGTCACGCTCAGCTCCCCGTGCCAGGAGCAGCAGCTCCCTCCTTGAGGTAGGGCAGGTAAGGAGGGAAGGGGGACTCTGTTTACCCTGACCCTGAATACCTGGGGAGCTGAGGCAGCCTGGCTGCCACACACCCAGGCACCCACCCCAGAACCCCCAGTTTGCACTGTCTCAGACGCTGGGTGCCACCAAGACAGGTACCACAGAGCCAGGTATCACCACGACACCAGACTGGCTACCATCAGGTCAGGTACCACTCAATTGGGTACCACTGAACCAGGCACCACCACATCAGCTACCATTGGGCCAGGGACCACCACACCAGGTCCCACGAGCAGCCAGGTTTGGGGCTGGCTAGCAGGTGGGGGTGCCAACCAACCCCCAGTGGAACAGAAGGGGCAGAGTCTGGAGCTCACCAACCCCACTGCGTCCCCCTCTCTCCCATCCTTGCTGCAGTGCCCCGTGCAAAGCCATCTGGTGCCATGGGGAGCCGGCTGCCCGCTGCCAGCCACACTTCCACCTCCTCCTCCCACAGCCACAGACCGGGGTCAGCGCAGTCTGCCTGCTCTGTGTCCCCCTCCCTGCCTGGTGCAGAAGGGCTGCATCCCACAGACACCCTGAATCAGTCTCTCCCCCTCCTCAGGTGCCTGCAAGGACGTGGCCACACCACAGACATGCTCCCTAAGACAGGAATGGCTCCTGCTCCCAACCCATCACCGGCACCCTGCGAGCTGTTGGCAGCACCCCGAGCGTCCCTGCCGCCTGCTGGGAATGAACTGCTCTCCCTCCACCACCGCTGTTTGTTTTACCAGCCTGGACCATTTAGGTTTGTGCCTGATGCCTCACCAGGAAAGTATGTGCAGGAGTGTGGGACTGGTGGGTGCTGCACCAGGGAGGCGCTGCCGCTGGTGGCCCTTTGCCCAGGGGAGGTGAGCAGGGACATGGGGCCCCACTGCACCTTCCTTTCCTCTGCCCTGGGTCTCATCAGCACCCAGCCTGGGAGGCAGTGGAAACCCAAAGGCTTTCCTTTGGCTTTGAGGGCTGGTTGGTGGGTGCTGTGACCCAGAGCCGCCCTCTCCCCCCAGGGGCACAGCTCGAGCTGAGAACTGCGAACTTGGCACACACTGCAGGTAAAATGGCCCAGGTTTGCTCTGCCTGCAGGCAACACCCACAGGCCTTTAATGTCATTAGGGAAATTTCATCTATGAGATTTCATCACAGGCAAGTTATGGGCCTCCCAGGCCGGAGGCCACCAATCCCAGCACAGCCCAGTTACAGCCCGGGACTCCCATTAAATGTAAAATTAGAGCAGTTCCACTGGCGAGGGCCCCTGACTTCTCCTCTCTGCTAGCTGGGGCTCTGCTCAGACACCTGGGGAGAAGGGGGAGCATTTGCAGCTTCCTGATTAGCCCAATTACTGCTGCAGATCAAAAGTCCTTTGGTGGGGACATGGTGGCACCCAGAGCAAAGGACTGCAGCTAGTTCTGGTTTCCCAAGAGCAGTTGTTGAGGGGGTTATTTTAGATCCCCAGCACTGAACTATCCCTCCAGTAAAAAAAAAAAATCCATATATCACAGTGCAGATATATAGATATAAATTTTTTATATGTATTTGCCCCTTATCCATGTGCAGTTTTGGGGGTATCTTTGGGAACTTCGCCATAGACCTGGGACCTAAATCTCTTGCATTTCAAAAAAAAAAAAAACAGCTTATGGAAGATACCGACGGCAAAGAGCGACATGAAGCCAGGAGATGTCCCGGAGGGCAGCGCGGAGCCAGCAGGGCAGAGAGAGGAGGTTCCCAGCCTATCCCACCGCATCCCAAACCCCCGGGGAGCAGCGGGCTCTGATAAACCCCGGCTCACGAAGAAGCGCCGAAGCCGGCCAAGAGAGCAATTAGCATTTTGCACTTGTGCAAGAATTGAACGCAGCGGGAGCGGACGAGAGCCGTGGAGCTGCCGGGACCTCGGAGCGCCGCGCTGGGCAGCACCGGGCGCGCCGAGAGCCCGCGGCGAAACCATCGCGCCCTCCACCGAAAAGCGGCGGTTCGGGGCTTGTTCGGGCATGAAAATCCGAGCGTTCCCCCAGCGTGCCCTGCCGGGGCTCTCCCTGCCCGCTCTCCCCGCCTGCCTCCGGCGCGGCGTGGGCGGCGAGCGGAGCGCTCCCCGCCGTTCCCGAGCACCGCCATGAGCTGCTCGGAGCAGAGCGAGGCGCTTCTGACAGGCAGCTGCCAACACCGGCAGCGGGGCCGCCGCTCGCTGCCAGATGGGGACAGACAGACAGACAGACAGACAGACAGACAGACGCGTGGCTGGGGTGGGGTGGGGGCGGCGGGCAGGGCGATCCCCCCCAGCCCAAGCTTCCCCGGCTGCCGCCGCGACCTCCGGCTCCGACGGGAGGAGAAGAACAAGATAAAACCAAGCCCCAAGCGCTGAGGAACTTCCCGCCGGCGCTCAGCGCCTCGGCCACCCGGGGATGGAAACAGGAGAGCCCCAGATAACGCGGGGCAAAGCCGCCTCCACCAGCTGGAAGCCCACGCGTCTTCCTGGAGGGAATCTCAGGAAGTTTTGGGGGTTTGGTGGTGTGATTTGGTTCCCCCCAGCCACGTGTTACGATTGTTGGCAGCAGGAAGGGACGTGGCCCTTTCTCCAGTCTGAGCTTGCATGCTGCCGGAGTGATGTCCTCCTCCCTAAAAATTCTCCTGCTGGGATGGGAAGCCCTTGCTCCGGGGAAATTTTTGGGAGCTTTGGGATGAGTGCTCCGACTCTGCAGCTGGAGCCTGAGCAAAACCTTGCCTTTCCCCTGCACCAGGAGCATCCAAGCCCCTGGCGCCTGTGGGGACCCTCTGCATTGGCCAGGCCCTGAAATCCAGGCTCGGGCAGCAATCCCACTCTGGCAGCCGTGCCTCAGCCAGGGAAACACCACAAAACACTGGGACAGGCACACCGAGAAGATCTCACACCAATGCCCGCGCTGGCGCCCCACACACAAAGAGAAGCAGGCAAGGGACATCCCCTGCTCCATGACACAGTTTCCTACCCTGTCCCCAGGGACGCTCAGGCTGGTTGTGAAATCCTGGCTGCCTCTGCCCGTGCAATGGACGCCATGTGTCACGCAGCCATGTGCCACACTGCTGCTGAGGGACCTTACACTGCCACTGGTGGGGACGGGGGTTACCCACAAACAGCCCCCCCACCGCGGTCCCCTCTGTGGCCCCCCAGCTCTGCCCACAGTATCCCGGGGCACTCGGCTGGAGGAAGCAGCTCCATCGGTCCCAGCCCCGACACCCCTGCCAGGGCCAGCATCCTCCCCTGTTTGAGAGCATCCTCCCGGGCAGCACCCCGGAGCTGCACCTCGCGGCTGGGGCCAGCGCATCCTCCCCGGGGCCAACACCGCAGGGCCCGGGCCAGCGCAACCTCACGGATGCGAACCCATTGCATCCCGAGTGGATCCTTCTAGGGACCAGCACCCAGAACCGAGACCAGCACCCTGGACCCGCACCTGCACCCAGGCTGGAGGCCAGCACCCCAGGGCAGCGCATCCTCCCGGGGCTATCCAGCACCCGCTGCATCCCGGGTGGGTGCTCCCAGCAGCGGGACCAGCCGCCAGCACCGGGACCTGCACCGAGGAGCGGGGCCAAGAACCGGGACCACCACGCCGGGGCTGAGCCCAAAGCACGCCGTGTGGATGCCCCCCGGGGCCAGCCCCCAGCCCCGGGACCAGCCCGCAGCCCCGGGGCAGCTCCCGGTCAGGCTCCCCCGCCGCAGTCCGCCATCCCCGCCGCCTCCCCGGCACCGGTGCCCCGAGACGAGCCCAGCCGAGCCGAGCCGTGCCCGCACCCCCGCCCCGGGCCCGTCCCCGCCGCGGTACCTGGCTCAGCTCCGGCACGGCCCCGCCGCCGGGCTCACCCGGGCGCCGCCGCCCTCCGCGCCGTGCGGGGCCGTGCCGTGCCGTGCGGGGCGGGGGGCCGGCCCCGGCAGCCTGGGAGATGTAGTCCTTGGCCTCCCGGAGGGGCTTGTGGGACTTGTAGGAGGCGAGCGGAGCCGCCTGCGCCCACCCGCCGCACCGGGGTCTCCGGGATCGCAGCCCGGTACTCACCCCGGCACATCGGCACGCCCCAGCCCGGTGCCCAGCCCGGGATAACGGGATATCGGCATCCTCTGTACTCAGCTCCCGGTACTCATCCACCGGGATCCATCCACCGCCGTACCCACCCTGCACGCTCCTGGTACCCACTCTGGTACCCACTTCGGTTCCCATCCCTGTCCCCACCCTGCGCACCGGCATCCCGGGCACCCACCCTGGTACCTATCTCGGTACCCACCGGGCGCACTGGCATCCCCGGTACCCACCCGGCTCTCAGGCATCTCCGAAATCTACCCCAGTGCCCAGCCCGGCACATCGGTACCCCAGTACCCACCCCCCATTATCCACTCGGGTACCCACTCCGGCGCACCGGCATCCCCCAGTACCGACCTCGATCGCACCCCAGCACCCACCGGGCACCCGCCCTGACCCCCATTGGGCACCGACACCCGCGCCCATCCCCTCGCTGCAGAGATCCCTGCGAGCAGCCGGGCTGAGTCCGGGCAGGCTCGTGACAGAGATGACCCAGGGCCCTTAGGCGTGCGCGCCGGCGCCGGGACCCATTTTAGGTCAGAAGACACCAAAACCCCCTTTCCACCTTTGCGAGCCCCCCGGAGTGGCGAGAGGGGGGAGGCGGATTCTGAGGGGGGAGCGGGGGGTGCAGCACCGGAGTGCGCTGTGCCTTTAAGCGGCCCGTGCCCGGCCGCGCAGTGCACGCTGGGAGTTGTAGTCCCTCTTGGCCCAGAGCCCCTGAGCGGCAGCGGGGGTTGGACTAAAGCTCCCAGGAGGCCCCGCGGCGGCGGGCGGGGTCGGCCATGGCGGCGGAGTGGAGCGCGCTCCTCCTGACCTGCCGGCGCGGCCATGGCGCCGTGTCCGCGCTGCAGCGAGGCAAGCGGCGGGGCGGGCGCCCTCCCTGCCTCCCCTCCCGCCGCGGCGGGGCGGCGGGGACCGGCTCTCAGCGGCGCCCGCCTCTCGCTTGGCAGAGCTGGAGGCGCGGCGGCTGCGGGGCGCGCTGGGCCCGCGCCCCCCCGCGCTGCTCCTGGCCGTGGAGGACCCCTGGGCCTGCCTGGGCAGCGGCGGAGCCACCCTGAACGCCTTGCTGGTGGCGGCCGAGCACCTCAGCGCCCGCGCCGGCTGCACGGTGAGGGCTGGCGGCCTCGGGGGGGCTGGGAGGGAGGGCAGTGTCTGTGCTGTCCCCGCTGACTGTCCCCTGCTGTCCCCTGCCAGGTGGTGACCGCTGACGTCCTGAGGGACGCCCGCATCCTCATCCTGCACATGGTGAGAGCCGACCTGCAGCCCGGCGTGGGACCCCGCCTTGCACCCGCTCCCTCCCGCTGAACCCCCCCACGTTCTCCGTCCCACCAGGGCCGCGACTTCTCCTTCGATGACTGCGGCCGCGCCTTCACCTGCCTGCCCGCGGAGGAGCCCGGCGCCCCGGCCGAGGCGCTGGTCTGCAACCTGGACAGCCTGCTGGGGACCATGACACACCGGGTCTGTGTGGCCAGGGGACGGGGCCCTGGGGGGGGGTTCGGCTCCCAGCAGGGTGGGAGGGGTGCTGGGAGCCCCACGAGGGCCGGGCCCCTTCCCTGCCATCCCTGGGCAAGTGGCCCTTCTCTCAGCAGCTCTGTGTGGGCTCCCCGCCCGGCGTCTGGGTCTGCAGCACCGACATGCTCCTCACCGTCCCCTCGGCACCAGGTCAGTGAATACCAGCCTTGCTTCCAGCTCCTGCTTTGGCCCAGGACAGGGCTCTGAGCCAGCAGCACAGCTGGTTCAGCCTGCACTGTGCTCTCATGAGGGTGTGGGTGCTCAAGCATTCCTCTCCTGTGTATGGTTGGCAGCACCTGTAAGGTGGCCCAGGCTGGATGCTGATGTCACTTCCACTGCCGTTGGCCCCATTTTCAGACAGCTGTGCCCAGTGTGGGTACATGCACTGCCCCACTGGGCACTGGTCTCTGTCCTTCTCCCCAGGGATCAGCTGGGATGGCTTCCAGGGCGTCAGAGTGATCGCGGTGCCCGGGAGCCCAGCGTATGCCAGGAACCACGGGGTCTACCTCGCTGACGAGCAGGTCGGTGGCAGCTCACCCTTCAAGGGGCATTCCTTGGAGGTCCCCACACCTTCATCCCTTGTCTGCTGAGGTCCCAGCACTGCTGTGGCTGCTTGGCTTGGGGCTCCCCGAGGAGCTCATTGGGGTGGTCTCACTCGCAGGGGCTGGTGCGTGACATCATCTACAAAGGCACAGAGGCCCAGATCCAGCAGTGTGCAGGGCCTGATGGCACCGTCCCGCTGGTATGGCGTGACCTGGGCATTGGTGACCCTGCCAGCACCATCCCTTGTGTCACCACACCTGCAGCCTCAGCCCCGCTGTGCCCTGGCAGGTCTGCGGGATTGTTTTCTTCTCCTCGGATGCTGCTGAGCAGCTTCTGGCCACCCACGTCATCCCTCCTCTGGATGCCTGTACCTACATGGGGCTGGACTCGGGGGCACCTCCCATCCAGGTGAGTCCCTCCACAGGATATGGGACCCATTGCCACAGAGGTGCCACTTCTGGGCATCTCTGTAGGGCCTGTTTGTACCCACACTGCCAGATTTGGGCAGGAGAAGTGGTGGGAGGGAGCACCCAGCAGTAGGGTGGGGGTCAGAGTGGCTGCACCTGACAAGTCCCTTCTCTCCCCAGCTCTCCCTCTTTTTTGACATTGTGCTGAGCATGGCAGGGGGGATGACAGAGGAGGATTTTGTGAAGGGTGGCAGTGATGCCAGCGTGAGGAGCGCCCGCTCCGTGCTGTGGACAGCTCTCCGTGGCTTCCCTCTTAGCATGGGTGAGTGTTTCCTTCCTCCTTCTAGTGGAAGGTATCCCTGCCCATGGGGTTGAAACTAGATGATCCTTAAGGTCCCTTCCAACCCCAACCATTCTGTGATTCAGTGCTGGGGTGAGTGTGTGTGTGTGACCCATCCCTGGGCCCTCTTCCCCTGTGTATGGAAAGATGGGGTGGTCAGGGCCTGGCAGCTCTCTGTGTCTCCCTACAACTGCAGGTCCCCACGTCTTCTGTCCCCACCCCTTCAGCTGGGGATGTTCAGCCTGTCCTGGGCTCATGGGGGTGTCAGACACACCCACATTGTTTGCTGGTGTGCTGAAATCTCTCCTGCCCCCCCAGCCTGCATCCCCGATGCATCCTACGACTACATGACCACCTCTGCGAGCGACCACATCCGCAGCCTGACTCTCCTGCCTGGCTCTGCCAGTCACCTCCGCTTCTGCAAGACAGCCCATTCCCACGTGGACGTATGTGCTTCCACCCCCAGCCCTGCTCATGCATGTTTTGTGGGAGTTGCTGTGGGCTGTGTGCCTGGCCCCAGGTCCCACGTGCCTCTGTGCCCTGGCAGCAGCCCTGTCTCCTGGAGGATGGCTCTTCAGTCACCAACTGCCTGCTGGAGGGAGCCGTGGGGCTGGCAGCCGGCAGTGTCATCCAGCACTGTCACCTCCAGGTACGTGACGAGGGTGGGAATGACCCCGAGCTCCCAGTGCACTGAAAGGGCAGCAGGGTGACGTGGTGCTGGCTAGGATGGGGGAGCCACAGCTATGAGGTTTGGGGTGCCCTTTCTGTTCAGGGCTGCCTTTTGGCTGGTGCTGGGGACCCTTGTGACTGTCACCTCTGGGCTATCCCTCCCTGGGGACCCTGCAGACTCTCTCCTTGAGGGCTCTGTTATGGCTGTGAGCCCCTGGAGGCTGTCACCTGACACGAATTTCTGTAGTCCGTGTCCTCACAGCCCTGTGACAAAGCAAATTATGTCTTTCTGCCACCTGCCTCATGCTGTCTCCAGCTTATCTCCCAGGGTGGTTGTCTCCTTCCCAGATCAGGACTTGGCTCTGGTCTGGGGGCAAGCCATGCCACTCCATGCTCTGCTGTCTCTTCCTCAGGGTCCCCTGGAGATCGGTCCTGGCTGCCTCCTTTCAGGCCTCGACGCGGGCTCCTCGCCAGCCCTGCGGGGCTGTCCCCTGCGTGACGTTGTCCTGCAGGGCCACCACGTCCGGCTGCGTGACCTGCCCTGCCGTGTGTTCACTCTCACCGGCCGCCTCGACGACTGGCAGGTGCGGGGACGGCGAGGGGGCACGAGGCTCCCCTCGAAGCCAAGGTGTAACCGGCCCCTCTGTGCCCCTGCAGAGCCCTGTGGAAGAGGCCACCTACCTGAACGTGCCCTGGCCTGAGTTTTTCCAGCGCACTGGCGTACGGTAAGTGCCGTGTGCCGGGATGGGACAGGAGACCCAGCTCCCATGGGGATAGCTGCAGTGGGGTGTCACAGCCACCCCAACCCATCCAGGCTCCCTGCTCCCCTCCTGGAAGGTGTTCTCGAGCCACAGGGCAGTGCTGATGGGCTCTCCCTCCATCAGGGAAGGGGACCTTTGGGACGCCGCGACGCCGCGGAGGAGCCGCTGCCTGCTCAGCGCGCGGCTGTTCCCGGTGCTGCACGCCCGCGAGGCGCTGGGGCTGCAGGACGTGCTGTGGCTGCTGGCCCCGGCTGTGGGCGAGCAGCTGGCGCGCTGGAGGACAGCCTGGCGCATGTCCTGGCAGGAGCTGCTGCCCTGCCTGGACACGGCGGCCGAGCTGAGCACCCGCCAGGCCCTTTTCTTCCTGCAGGGCCAGCGCAAGGTGCGGCGGGTGCTGCTGGGGCGCCAGGACAGCAGCCTCCTGCCGCTGGCCCGTAGTGCTGTCCACGAGGGCTACCATGAGGCTGTGCTGGGCACGCTGGACGAAGGTGAGCTGGACTCACACGAGCTGCATCTCTGGCTGTTTGGACCGTTCGGTGCTCCCCACCCCCTTCAGTGATCCCACCTATTGTGGGGGTGCACCCACAGGGCATCCAACAAGGCTGTGTGGGTGCAAGCCATCTGAGTCCTGCTCCCCTGGGGCTGGCTTATGGCAGAAGTGGGCTGGTTTGGGGTGACCTGCAGCCTCCTTTAATTCTATTTTCTAGTTGCCTCCACGGCCGGTGATGCTGGTGTTGCAGCACGAGCGCTCGCCTGCATCGCCGAGGTCCTGGGCTGCATGGCACGAGGGGAAGGGGGCTTGCGGAGCGGCCCTGCTGCCAACAGGGAGTGGGCCTCGGCTTTTGCGTGCCTGGAGCGCGGGGACGTTGCCAGCGGTGTCCGGGAGCTGGCTGCCGAGCGGCAGAAATGGATGAGCCGGTGAGGCTGGGGCTGGTGAACACCCCGCCCCAGGCACCAGTGCAGTCCTGGAGACGTGGTGGTGGGCTCAGCACCCCTCTCATCCCAGGCCGGCTCTGCTGGTGAGAGCGGCTCGGCATTACGAGGGGGCCGAGCAAATCCTGGTCCGGCAGGCGGTGATGTCCTCGTGCCAGTTTGTCACCGTGGCGCAGGCAGAGCTGCCACCCTTGGGGCACTGGGTGCAGGTGGCTTGTCCTGCCCGCCTGGACCTCTCTGGTGAGTACATCCCCCCAGTCAGACAATTCACGTCTCACTCCTGTGGTGCTGGGGAAAAAGCCGTGGGGGTGCCCCGGGGGGCTGACGGTGAGCCTCGTCAGGCGGCTGGAGTGACACGCCCCCCATCACCTACGAGCACGGGGGGGCCGTGGTGGACGTGGCGGTGCTGGTGGACGGGTGCCGGCCCATCGGTGCCCGGGTGCGGCGCATCGCCGAGCCGGAGCTGCGCCTCGTCAGCCTCAGCGGGACCCCCCCGAGCGAGGCGCTGACGGAGCTGCTGTGCCAGGAGCTGGAAGACCTGCAGGATTACTGCCAGCCACACGCACCAGGTGAGCTGTCCCCCCAGCTGCACAGCCCAGCTCTGCACCTGCCACGTCCTCCCGGTGTCAGGGTGGGACAATGGCACGAGGCAGCAGGTAGCACAGCAGGTATCAGCTCTACCTCCTCTTGTTTCCAGGAGCCTTGCTCAAAGCTGCCTTCATCTGCACCCAGGTCGTGCAGTTCCCCTCACAGAAACCCCTTCGGGTCCAGCTGATGGAGAGTTTTGGGAGTGGCTTCGAAGTGCACACCTGGTCCAAGCTGCCCCACGGGTCTGGCCTGGGTAAGTCTGCAGGGAAAGGGCTGGGCAGTCCCTCATGTGCCAGAGACAGCACCAGGATGGGGCATCCCCCTTGCTGCCCCCCACCCTTAGGGCACACACAGTGCCTCACTGTGCTCCCTGCAGGCACCAGCAGCATCCTGGCGGGCGCGGTGATGGCATCGCTGTACCAGGCGGCTGGGAAGGCTGCCAGCACCGAGTCCCTCATCCACGCCGTGCTGCACCTGGAGCAGAGGCTCACGACAGGTAAGCCTGGGGGAGCAGCAGGCTCACGGGGTGGGGGTCCCAGCAGTGGCTGAGGACCCTCTGCCCTCCAGGTGGTGGTTGGCAGGACCAGGTTGGTGGGCTCGTCCCTGGCATCAAAATCGGAAGGTCGAAGGCCCAGCTGCCCCTCAGAGTGGAAGTGGAGCAGATCCTGGTGCCTGAAGGTTTTACCCAGACCCTCAATGATCACTTGCTGCTGGTGTACACGGGGAAGACTCGCCTGGCCCGCAACCTGCTCCAGGTAATGCCCAGGTACACCGGGTGTCACAGGCTCTGGCCTCTGCTCCTCCTGTGGCCTTTGGTGCCTGTCCCCTTCACTGGTGCAGAGCTTTGCCACACCAGTGGGAGCTGACACCCAAGGCTGTGGGTGCAGCATTGCCTCCCCAGGTGCTGCTGAAGCCAGGGGGACAGTGACAAGGACATTCTGGCCTCTTGCAGGACGTGGTGAGGAACTGGTATGCCAGGCTGCCCTCCATCGTGCAAAACACTGATGCGCTGGTGAGCAACGCTGAGGAGTGTGCCCAGGCCTTGAGGCAAGGTGTGAATCCCCTTCCCTGTGCCAAGCCAGCCCTTTTAACAGCTGAAGAAACACAAACTTTACTGGGGAGAGGCTATGCAGTCCTGGAGGGGACAAAGGCTGAGGGGTGCAGGCTCTTGCAGCTGCAAAAGTCTCAAATCCTCCCCCAGGCACACCCTTGCCAGGCAGTGGCCCAGAATTCAGGTTTGGACAAAGCTTTTTGAGGAAGAGGGGATTAGACGTGCTGAGTCTGGTTGATTTTCTGTGAGCCATTGGTGACAGGGCTGGGGGCCATTCTTGGCCTGTGCAGCAGGTTCACTTGGCTGCTTGGATGCTGCGGAGAGGAAGCCAGAGCATTAAAGCAAGCAGATCCTCCCCCTGTGGAGGATTAAAAATAAACAGCAACGTGACAGGGCTGGGGATGCCTGCTCGGCAGGCAGAGCTGGAAGGAACTGGGGAGAGGAGGAGGCAGAATTTAGCTTGTGCTGAGCAGGAGAGGCAGAGACAGGTCCCTGCCCTTCGGGCAAGAAACAGAGACAAGTCATTTGCAATGTCCCCTCCCCTGCAGGTGACCTGCCGCTCATTGGCAAGTGTCTGGACCGCTACTGGCAGCAGAAGAAGGTCATGGCCCCTGGGTGTGAGCCGCTGGCCGTCGGGCACATGATGGACGCTCTGCGGCCCCACGTCCACGGGCAGTGCTTGGCCGGGGCTGGCGGCGGTGGCTTCCTTTACGTCTTAACCAAAGCCCCACGGCAGAAAGAGGCTTTGCAGCAGCTCCTCGCTGGCACCGAGGTGAGCTGTGAGCTCCCGGGAGGTTCACTGTCCCAGGCTGTTTGCAGGAGCCTTACATAAGAGACAGTGAGGAGCATCTCGCCCCACCACACGTGGGATGTGATTGCTGGTTGTCCCAGTGCCCTGCCCTGGGACCTTGGAGGTGAGAACTGGGCCCTTGCTGGCTCCTGTCCCAACCAGTGGCTCTTTATTTTTCTAGGGGCTGGGCAACTTCAGCATCCACAGCATCGAGGTGGACACGGGCGGTTTCTCTGTGGAGGTTGTGGGATGTGACACGAAGGACGGTGCTCACCCTGGAGAGGACAGGGCTGTGTGAAGGCCTTCAGCCCTGGCCAGTTCCTGGCAGATACACAGGAAATCCCCACTGCTTTAGGGACAGCTCCAGCAGGTGCCTGAGGTCTTGATATGGCCTTTTTGTGCTGCTGCTTGCCCCAAAAGCCACAGAGGCTGGAGAAGCTGTGATGAGCTGGGCAGGCAGAATTCTCCCTGAAGGGTGGCCTTGCTGGAAGGACAGTTTGCAAGGGCCTCCAGCCCTGATTTTGTGGTTTCACTCCAGTTTTTACGGTTCTCCAAAGGGAAAACACTAGCATTTGTGATGCTGCCTCCTCTTCCAGCAGCACCTGTGCCTGTTCAGCACACTATGCTCCTGCACCAAGAATGTACTTGGATGTGGAATCAAGACCCTCTCCTGTCTTGAGGGACTATTTCAGCATTGACATAGTGAATAATGAAAGCAAATTACTGATTGCTGCAGTCAGTCTGAATAAAAGAGCTTGTTCCCAGCAGGTGTTTGTGCCCCTCTGTCCCTGGCAGGGCTGCTCCCACGGGAGAGCAAGAGCCCAGCAATGCGTGGGCAAAGTTTTTCCAGGAGTGGGAATGGCAGAACCTGCATGCAGGGGCTGGTCATTGCCCTCCATAGCCCTAGGTGATGGGGACAGCACCAGGCAGGGCAGGAAGATCCTCTGGATGCACTGGCGAGGGTAGAAGAGGAGAAATAGAGCAGAGTTTTTGTCCAGCATCTGTCCAGCTCCCTCCAGGCCCACGGATGCACACACCACCTGAGACTGCAGCTCAGCCAGGTGAGGTTTATTTACAGAGTAGCTGTACAGGGCACAGCGAGCCAGCAGGGACACAGCCCTGCTTCCCACAGAGGCTTTCTAGTGATTCTCCACGTACCCTCCCAAGGAAATCACTCCTTTTCCCTTCAGCAGAGCAGTCCCCACCACCACCAGGAGAGAGCCAGGGCTCAGGATTTGTGACTCCAGTAGTTGACCCACGAACTGGTGGGACACAGAGGGCACCATGACTGCAGCAGCTGCACGGGCAGAGCTCTGCAGACCCATCTTTGAGCCTCAGCAGCCCCCAATTGTCCTGCCCTGTGGCCTCCCCCAGGGAGCAGAGCACAGGGGGTCAGTGTTCTGAGAAAGAGCATCACGCTGCTCTCAGTGTACGATTCCTCTGCTGCCTCATTTCTGCTCCCACAGAAGGGTGGCAGCTCTCCTTGCCAGGCCCAGGAAAGCCCTTTGCTCCAAGGAATGCGAGTGGGAGGGCAGACATCGCCCTGTCCCCACTCCGTGTAACAGCCAGCCAGGGCAGGGCCCGGGCAGGCCCTGGGGCCGCAGCTTTCCTGCCGTTACCTGGAGCTGGTGCTGGCACAGGCACCGACAGCTACAGGCGCAGCCGCTTGATGTCCTCGCTGCGGAAGTCGATGCGGAGAGCCAGCACCTGCCGCACCTCGGCCGGCGTCAGGCGCCAGGTGAGCGGGCCCGAGTTCGGGCCCCAGTAATCCAGGATCTCCGTCACCTGGAGAAAGAAGGGACCTGTAGGAGACGACTCGGCACAGACCACCTGCGCAGGTGAGTTCAAACTCACTCACAAACCCCCTGTCACGGGATTTCCTGCCACTAACCCTGCAGGTGAGCACCCGTCTTCTCCAGCTTCCCCCCACCCTGCGGGTGTGACGACACCTGGATGAGCTCAGTAAAGCCACAGGGAGTTCAGCTGGGGCTCCCCCACTCCCCCAATAAAAGCAGGCTAAGCGCAGCTCACCCTTTCCAGGTTGAGGATGGTGGCCATCTGGGAGAGACGGGCAAACTTGTCGCGGATAGTCCAGGTGGTGACGGTGGTGAGATAGGCTATGAGAGACCTCAGCTCCTTGTCGAACTGCAGACCGCCGAGCTGCGGGCACGAGGGAGCTCTGTGACCTCTCCAAGCAGGCACAGGGGTTGTGCCAAAGACACAGTTAAAAGTTACAGGGTAGCAGGGGGAGGTCTCTGAGCAGAAGGGTTCCAGTTAGACCATTTACTGCAGCTTAAAATGGCTTATGTTTAGACCCACCACTAAAGCCACCCCCCTTACTGGTGCCAGCTTTTCTCAGGCCTATTACATACACTTTCTCCCTGTGGGTAGTAATACAGGATGTCCCTGAGCTGGCCACTGGTGGTTGCAGAGCTTTTTGGAGGGTAACATTAGCCCCTGACCTGCCCCATGCCTTTACTAAGGGTTTGGAGTCCAACCAGATGACAGGGTAGAGGGGTGTTTTGCTTACCCTGCTGAAGGTGGATTTGAGCAGCACTTTCTCCAGTTCAATGGCTATGAGACTGGTCATTAGACCAGTGAGGGTATCGTAAATCACTGGAGACAGTCCAGCCTGGAAGCAGAAACTTGTGTCATTCTTGTCAAGAAAAAGCGAGCAGAGGTCCCCAAACCCCAAGCCTAGGAGAGCTTTCAAATAAAGACCCATCACTTGCAGGCTTGTCAAGTGGAGAGCACCACAGAAGTGATCCAGGTACATGGGGCCTGCAATCAGGCTTTGAGAATTTGCAGGAGAAGGGGGTGACTGGATCCCTAAAAGCCCTGCAAGGCACTGGAGGACATCTCTGCCTGCTGTTCCCCTGAGCAGGGAAGGAGCTGGGAGATGCCATGTGGAGGTCTGGTTAAAACCTGGCAGGTTGTCTTCTCCCTCCCTCCCTTCCTCTCTCACCTTGAACTCTGTCATCTGCTGTTCCAGATTGACGATGAACTGCTGGACCCAGGGGTCGTTGGCCTCATAGTCGCTGAACTCCTCCTGACAGTGAAATGCAAAGGGTTGTTTACGTGGCCTGAAGGGACCTGCAGCCAACAGCCCAGAGGACAGGAAGGGAGGTCCCTCCTGGAGCAGCACTGCACTCCTTCTGTTTTCTCAAGCTCCTCTCTAGCCAGATGTCCCTTTCCAGGCTCAGCTGCAGAGCAAGATCTGGGCATTTTACTGCTGCTCTGTGCCAAGGAAACAGCAGGTGACTGAGGAGAATGAAAGCATTGCTCTGGCTGTGCTGCTGAGCAGAGGACAGAGTGCCCAGGTGCAGCTGGAAGCAGAGAACACTGAGCCTTACCTCCTCGATGTTGTGGGAGACAGAGAGGAATAGGTTGATCCAGGGCTTCACCTGGGGCTTGATGGCTGTGCTGTTCAGCTCATTGAGACCTTCCTGAGGGTGACAGCAAGAAGAGAGGACAGTGAGACATAAAACCTTTACAGCCAGGATGTGTTGATGCTTCCATCCTCATTGCAAGCTGGGGAAACCGACCCACAGACTTGCACAGGAATCTGAACCCAAGTCCCAAATCCCACACTCTTCCAGTGCTGGCAGGCTCTGAGGACGCCACAACAACAACAAGAGGAAGGATGTTGGCTCAGAAGCTGCTTTTGTGCTGACCTGCAGCCTGGTCTGAAGGGCTTGTGCTTCCCCCAGCCCATCCCACACAGCTACAGAGGTTTCCTGGCAGGAGTGAAGCTCACAGGAAAGGACAAACTCCAGCTTTTCCACTCAGCACCAGCCAGCTCAATGTGATTGCACTCAGCTGATGCCTTCCACCTCCAGTGCAGCTCAGCTCAGTAGGAGAAGCTAAAAGGAGGATAAAAGCTGTACCCACAGTGAGTTCCTTGAATTAATCATAACCCCAGCAACATGCCATCTCCCCTGAGCAGCGGGTTGTCAGCAAAGGCTGCTCTGTCCAGTGTGATGCTTGAGAGCTCTCAAAGGCCTCTCCTGTCAGACACCCTCCTTCGGCTCAGTAAGCTCACCCAGCATGAAACTATGCAGGTAAATGATACTGCCTGGCATTTGATGGAAGTTTTTAACTAGAACTGGCATTTCTGAGCAGGCCCTGCTGGCAATTGGCCTTTTCCGAGGCAAATTCAATCTGTGTGTGACTCAGGCAGCACAGGAACTTGCTGCTCAGCCTCTTGATTGCTTAGCAGCCAGTTTTAACACTGCACTAGAGCCAGTCTGGAGAGTTTTACTCCCTACTGACAAGCTCTTTGGTTTTGATACAGACCACAGGCACCAAGAGGGTTTTCTGGCAATGCTGGTCTGAAGACATCTGGCTGCCCTGAACTGCAAAGCCAAATGAAAAATAGTCTGGCCTCTCTGTGAAGTACAAAGGCAAACCTGGCTTAAAGTACTCTCTTTTTGCTTGGTTTCTTTCCACAGGAGGTACTAGGTCTTCCTGTGTCTCTCCCTGCCAGAGACCACTGTGAAATTTTAGGACAACAGGCCCCAAAATGCCACAGGAGATGATTTAGCCAGAGTCTTCTGCTCTGTGCTGAGGAATATTTCCATTTGGGAAAGGAGGAGAAACCTGAGAAAAGAGCAGCTCTTTTCTACCAACTGCGTGTCTTCAGCGTTACCTCGTGAGGCTGTGGACAACCTGACAATGTGCAGTGCCACGAGGGAGAATGGAGGAGATGGAAATGCTATTAATATTTCTTCTCCTGAAAGTGCTGAACCAACTACAGCTCCATGCTGAGTGAAGATAAATGAAGCAACATTCCTTCTGGCTCTGCAGCTGCCTCCAGTGCTTTTTTGCAGTCGCCAGCTGGTGCAGCTGTGCAAAGGGGCTGGGGATGCTCCCATGCCTCAAAGCTGACTGCGCCCCTACCCAGCACTCCTGGGGTCAGATGTGGCCCAGGCCCTGGGCTGAACTGAGTCCTGCTTGAGTTCTCCCTGAAGACACCAGCAGCCAGTGTGGGAGGCCAGCAGCCACTCATCCGGACACTCACCTGCAGCAGGTCCCGGAATTTGTTGGAGACAGCAGCCATGTCCGACAGGCAGCTCTCAATCTTGGCCTGTGCTTGCTCGCCCCCGAAGCCTTGGCTGAGCAGTTTGCTGCAATCACTCTGCAGGGAAGAGATCCACGAGCAAGCTGCAAATTAATAACCTGGGCAGTTTCTGCCCCCTCGTGTTGCCGAGCTCTGGCTGCCCACCAGCCTGTGGGCTAGGACAGGTGCCCAGCTCCTGCCCCTGCAAAGGCAGAGGCAGCTGGCTGCAGCTGGGGAGAGAGAGGAGAGCAGGAAAGGCAGCCAGGGGCTGTCCAGCCCAGCATCAGAGAACCACAGCCTCTCCACCATGTGCATTTTATTCCCGCACCAGGTTGGTCAGGCTGGAGGAAATGGTATTTCCTGCCACTGCCATCAGCTGGAAATTGCTCTGCCAGCTCAAAATTGCTTTCCTAAGGCTGGAGGGCAAAGACCTCAGGAATGTGGGCATATCGAAGCCCAGATGCTTTACCTGACCCCTGCCAAGGGAGGATATTACAAATCTGATTTAGGAGAAAAACCCAGTAAAGAATACAGAGCGCACCTCCAACGTCTTCTTTAGGGTCATGATGTTTTCACTGCAGACTTCCACGTTGTTTAAGGTCACCTGAGGAAAAAATCAAACCCAAGTAGAATTCATTGGAATTTCTCAGCACCCCAGCCTTGAATCCATATGTTTACTCCATGCCCCGCCAACAGAACAAGCTGAAATGTAAGTATCTAAGGGACAGAGTTGCTACTGTGAGGTCCAAGCATTGCAGATTCACTGAGCTGCACGAAGCCAAACTACAGAACCTGCAGCATGGACAGAGTTTGAGACAGTTTATGCCTTTTCCTCATCATTCTGTCCATGATGCTGCAGTGAAGCCTGACTTGTGGGTGACTGGTGGAAGCCATGGTGTACCCCAGCTTTCTGTAAGTGTCATGAAGAACAGAGCAGGAGTGGCTGAGGGCAGTGGTTTATACACTGTGTCTAGAGCAGGAGGGGAGGCAGGAAAGCACAGGTAACTATGCAGGATCAGCAGCCTCACAGGATCACACCTGCACAGACTTGGTGTGGAAGCCCTACAAACATGAGGTGAGGTAGAAGCATCTACCAGCATCCAAAGTCAGACCACCCACCACACCTGAACAGGTTTTCAGAATCTCAGGACACGACTGTGCTGTTCCCAAGAGCTCCCCATTGGCTTTCCCCCCACCCCAACTCATTTCACACCAGAACAGCCACCAAACCCACCAGAAAGGACTGCTTGGCCTCGTCGGTGCTTTCAATGCCTTTGGTGTCGAACTTGCCCTGCTGCAGGCTGCTGTGCATGATGTTCACAGCACTGGTCACCCCTCTCTGGAAGTCCTGGAAGGTCGTGGCTGGAAAGCCCTGCTTCAGCTTGTTGTACAGAACCTCCCTATGGGCAAGCAGAACATGCCAGGGCTTAGAGCAAACAACTGCAGGTGACAACAGAACTATGTCTGTGACAGGGGATGCTGTTCTGTCTGAGCTGGGACCTGGACAAGGTAAGTGGAACTTCACAGGGACAAAAGAGGGCTGGCAAATGTCTCCTGACAGTGTCTAAAGGCTGAAAGAAAAACCACCCAGATTCTGAGCTTTCCCAAATATCCTGCCTGCAGGTGCTTGCTGTCTTCAGTCAGTTCACCATTCCCATGCTGGGATGAAAAACAGCAGGACAATTTCTGCAGGCTCACCCGAAATTCGAGTCACTAAGGAACCCAGAGAACAACATGGGGTGGTCATGTACCATCAAGCAGAGCAGCACCCCAGTGCTATGTGGTGACTCGGTCTCCCAGGGATTTTGGGCCTTGAGATTCCTTTTCCTGTTTGTCCCACAGGTGATCACCACTACTGTGAGAAAAGATGCCCAGCTCCAGCTTCCCAGAGCCCACCTGCCACTGCTTCCTACAAGCATGACAGATCAGAGGTTCAAAGGTGAAGAACACAAGGAAGATCATCTGACAGCAAACACTTTGAAGACTGTGAGGTGCAGGCATGTTACAACAAACCTGGTGTATCTGCACTACCTGAAGTCAGACTCCAGCTCGGTGGTGGAGTGGTTGATCATGGCACAGAGACAGTCTATGCTGGAGCTGGACAGAGCACGCCCAATGCACTTCTTCACTATGTAAAACACGTCATCCACCATGCTGGAGGTGAGCTGGCCCTTCTCGTAGCTGTCCATGGCAACAGCCTGCAAAGAAAGCTGTCTCAGAGCCCCGAGGGATCTCATCCCGTGGGATGCTCAGCAGAGGACTGGGGAGCACACAGAGAGAACCATCTGAGGGTTTCTCAGCACGGTCAGAGCCCTACCTTGTTGACAGTCTCCCTCATGAAGTATTCCTCCATGGTGATGTAGTAGCCAATGAGCTCTTGCATGGTGCAGCTCAGCAGACAGTTGTTGAGGAGCTTGTCCAGGTATTTTTGATGCTCTACAGAAGAAGGAACCATCAGCAGGGACCAAATGGCAGAAAGCAGTTCCACCAAGTCCCCTTGCTACCTCCCTGATGGGCACCCAATGGACACACACCTGCCAAGCCCAACCTGGAAGAAATCCCAGGCCTCAGCTGCAGAGCTGAAACTGCTGAGCTGAATTTTGCAGGTGACAAAAGTGATTTCCAGAGCTCCACCGAGTACCAAAACCCCGAGCCTGTTTTCCCCGTGGCCTCCACCTTTAGGATTTGTGCCTGCAGTGCCCAGAGTCCCTCCCTCTTTTTGGGGACCTTGTTTGTTATACTCTACAGTCATTCAATGCTCAGAGATATCTCCATTTCTGGCTCCAATGAACAGAGAGCCTGCAAGTCCAGGTAGTCAAGGTGTTACCTTGCTTTACCTCCTCTGAGGCCATGGCATCTCCCACCTCAAAATCAGCTACTATTCGTCTCTTGATGAACCTCAAGTAGAGCTCACTGCGGGCGTTCATCAGGGTGACTTCTGTTAAAATAGGGTCAAGCTCCCTGGAAGGAACAGAGCAAGAACTGAGGCAGCAAGACTACAAAAGGAGAGGCACTAATTTAATTCAGCTAATTAGTGTTTTCTGTTCTCTCACTGTGAGATCCATACTGTTCCTTTCCATCTGTGCCTTTGAGTGGCAGAGCTCAGCGGAGTAACTGGTATGTGCAAAGAATGCACACACAATCAAAATGTCCTCAAAAAATCATTTCCAAGGAGGGATCTCTACAATACTGCTTTCTTCTTTGCTCCAAGAGTTTGCAACGCTCCCCCTCTTTTTTCCTCATAGCTGTGAGGACATCCACATTAAAATCACAGTGGTAAGGACTGCAAGGCTGATATAGCTTCAAAATGAGCCCTGTTTGGAGTGGCAGGTTGGACTAGAGACCTTCCTCAGCCCTTTCCTACCTCAGTTTTGCTATAATTCTGTGAGCCCCAAGCGGCCAGTGTTAGAAATGCCTGGTCCCTGCCATCTCCTCATGTGTGCCTTTGTGCACACATCCACGTGTTTCTCTGAAAATGATGAAGAGTCTGTTTAAGCTCAACAGCTCAGGAAATGTGAGACCAAAAAAAAAGCACGTGACAACGTGCAGAATGCGGTAGTCACGTCAGAGGTGACCATGAAAAATAGAGAGACTGTCACATCAGCAGCTTTTTCATCAGTGTGCACAGAAGAATTTCACAAATCCTGCTCAAAGCCTCCCAACACAGCAGTGGAACAAGGAAATGTTATTTTAGAGATGAAAAAGCAAAAGCTCAGGAAAGCTGGGATGCATGCAGAGTTACTCAGAGCAAACAGCAAGTAGATCTTTATATTACCACTGAAACAATTAGTTATGCAGGCTCACAGACAGATCTTGCTTGAAGAACCTAAGTCTTGTTTCAGGGCATGTTTAAAAGTCAGGCAGTGCCAGAAGGGCTGGATGCACTTTCAAATGGCCTTCCTTATGGGTTATGTAAATACTTAAGATAAGAAAAGTAGGGAAATTGAAAGCACTGCGGTTCATTAGCAAAAAACTGATGTTTCAGAGCTGCTGCTGCAGCAGCAGTACAGGTTAAATAAGACCCAGATTTATTCCTGATTCTGTCACAAACGATCTGCCCAGGGAGCTGCTCCATTTTGTGGGTTTCAAGGACTGTACTCTGGCCATCAAAGAGCAGCGGGCACAGGCAACTAAAGTCTCAGCCCTTCATGTGCAGTGATACTGCCAGCCCTCAGCAATGCTTAGGGCCGAGGCTTAAAAGTAATGACTAAGCAAAACAAAGCCCCAAGACAGAAGCTGCCTTTATGAAAGGGCAGAGAAGAGCACCTAACAATTGGATTTTATGTGTTAGTAGCCACAAAACCTCTGGAAGACCGGGAGTTATCTAAATGCTAAGTAGTGTTAATAACAGCTCAAGAGTGAAAGGTTAGAGCACATAAAGACTTCTTCTTTGTACCTTGGTTCAATCTTCTCTGCAGAAGAACTTCTCATCATGCTATTCTGGACTTGCTGAAACTGCAATCACAAAAAAAAAAAAGGGAGAGTCATCAGTCTTTGCTGATGACTTGGAGTTACCAGCTGCTTTTCGTGCTGTAGCCTAAGGAAGTGCTTACTCACTGGGGGTGATGGGAATGCTTTGCAGGAAGCACTGCCAGAGAAGGGAACTGCATCAGTTCACCTCCCCCTCCAAGGAAGAGCTCGTCCTGCCAGGGAGGACAGTGGCAGGGGACTCCAGCAGAGGCACCAAGGTGTGTGACCATGAGGCAGTTACAGCAGCCCTGCATCTAAGCAGGAACAAGACAGCGGGGAGGGTGTGCAGAAAGCACCCTACAGACCTGCACAGCAAAGAATCCTGTGCCCAGCGTGCATTTACCACACTCCCAACGAGTCCTTCTCTGCAGCAGAAGGAACAGCTACAGGCTGAACCCCTTCAGCCATCATCATAAATATGGAGCAAAGCCAAGTTTCTTTTAATACACAGGGACAAACTTTGCTGCCTCTGTGACAGTGGGAGCCCCACGGAGCTGGATAGAGGCCACAGTTGGCTGCACCAGGCAGTGTCACACTGCTCTTACCTGCCTGTGATAGTCCCTCTCCTTTATGAACTTGTCCACCACCTTCTCCACTTGCCGGTCACATTCCACCTGCAGGTGCTTGATGAGGGTGTAGAGCCTCCCTGGCCCGTAGTAGGTCTCCACGATGGGCTGATGGGTCTCCACAATGCGAGCAATTCCTGCGGGGAGAGGGGAAGCAGAAGAGACTCCACCAGGAGTTCCCAGAGCACGGCAGAGCTACACAGGTCCACCAACAGGAACATCCTCTCCACTGCTCATTGTAAGCACTGCAGTGCAAGTCTCCTGGAGTAGAAGCCACATCTCTCCCTAAAGAGAGCTCCTGCTATGCCAGTGTGCCAGCTGCCCTCCCAGCAAACAAGGTAAGAAGCTCCCCCAGGAGGAAGCCACACAAGCTAAACCCCACAGGGGGCATGACCTGCCACCCAAAGGCAGTGGGAGCTTTCAGCACCTGCCAAGTCACAGGAGAGCAGTGCTGGGAAAGATCAACCCAGGCACAGCTCTTGGGCATGCAGAGAGCAAGCATTAGTAAAGGCAAGAACTCCTCAGAGGAAAAGCTCATCTCCAAGGAGGTCTCTCTACAATATTGCTTTCTTCCCACAAACCCTCTACTCCAAGACTTAGCAACACTCCCCCTCTTTTAATGCTACTGCCAAGAAAACTCCAAGGGTGCCAGGCTGGGAGAATGACTTGGCAGTGGTGCAGCCTGGAATTAGAGCAGACTTCATAGAGAAGATGGTTAATCATCACAGAATCTCAATTACTGTCTTTGGCTACATTCCCACAGAGCATTCATATTCCCTTCTCTCCCTTCCCTCTCTGCTTTCAGGCTCCCATGCTGCTTCTTGAAGAGCCAGGCCTGGAGGCACCAACAGCTGCTCAGCCTTAAGGGATCTGATTTGTTTGTCTGGAGAGCTGGAAGCCTGAGGAAACCTCCAGGGAATACCCACACGTTTTGAGGATGCAGAGAACGGGAAGAGTCTGATTCCTGGAGGAACCCAACAAATCCTTTGCAAATCCACTTTGTGCCTGTGCAAGCTGTAGGTAGGGAAATCTGCTTATTGTGATGCCCTCTCCTGGCTGGAATAAATTCTGTGAGTGGTGTCCCTGTCCCTCGAGTGTGACACTTCTGTAGCTCAATGGGGAATGAGGCATTTTGTGAGCCAAACTAAAAAAACATTTAAATTCATGGACAATCTCATCAGGGACTGTTTTTAATCCATCAGGAAAGAGGGAAGGAAGATTACCTTCGAAGAGGAGTGTCAGGGTGTCTGCAAAGATGACAGCAGCTCGACGGTCGCTCATGTCTGTCCCCATCACCAGCTGCAGGTTCTCTTCTGCTTTGTTGGCCACCTGCAGGGCAACAGGACCGGTCAGCTGAACACCCAGAGCTGTTCTTCATCCCACAGGGTGGTCCCCTGTCCTTGCCCTGTTGAGCTTTCGCTGGCCTTCCCACTGCAAGAGCTACTGCTGTTGTTCCTCCTTTGAACAGGGAACCTGTCCTCTTTCGTGGATCAAGGAAAGACAGAAACTTGTTCTTCTCTTTCCAAGTTCATTGTATGAGCTTTAAGCAAGTGCAGGGAGGAAGACACAGAAGGAGAAGCTGGACAGTCCCCAGGATCTGTACTCAGACCCCAGAAAGCCCATCCCAGGACACAAAATGCAGGGAGAGAGAGGAACTGAGGCCAGTGCTGGTTTCCAAGATTAACAAGCCTCTTTTCCACAACATCCATTGACAGAGGCTGGGTTTTGCTTTTCCCTGGGTGACCAGACAGGCCACAGAAGTTTCACAGACCCTGTTACCTGCTTGCAGAGGTACTCGGAGAACTTGCTCAGCCCCTCTTCATGTAAGCCCAGCAGGGGAAAGATCTTGAAGAACCGTTCCACCTGGGGCAGGTCTCCCTGCTTCATGGCTGTGTCGAATTTCTCTGTGACAATTGTCTTCAGGCGCTGCTCTGCCTCCTGCAGGAGCTTCAGGTTGGCATCAATTATGCCTCCTGGCCAAAGGGACAGAAAAGAAAGGGAAAAGCGACAGCACAATGTTAGTGCTGTATCAAGGGCTACTTTTTTTCCCAGGAGAGAGACCAACACTGTGCAGCCCTAGGTGGAGAAGGCAGAAGACACACTGGAATTCCTCTACAGGCAAAGAATGCAATGATGCAGTCTCAAGTTATGTACTACTGGGAAGGTGACTTATCAGCTTCTCCTGCTGAGCAGAGCTCACCTTCCTTGCCCTGACGACTGAGCTCAATCACTGACTTGTCCAGAGACAGATAGCGATGGATGTGAGCTGCTGCTTGTTCATAGTCTTCATTTCTCAGGGCTGTCTGAACTCCATCCATGCAGAACTTCAGGTCAAGGATGTCATCAGCTCTCTGAATGGCCTGGTAGAGGCGGTTCTGCAAGAAAGGCACCCAGTAAAGCTTCCTGCAGCAGGATGGGCCAGGGAGAGGGAAGTGTGAGGAGAAGACAGCGTAGGGGGGAAAAAGGAAGAGACTGAAGCAAAACTTCTCCACACAATAAACAACCACATAAGTGGAAACCCCACACTACTTAAAAAGTCATAAAACCAACGGCTCTGCAAGAGGAACAGCATTTGTCAAAACTGAGGCTGAGCTCAGCTCCACTATAACAAACAGGCAGAGACCAGAGAGACAACCAGGAGCTCTCTGGTTTGATTTGTGCAGTTGTGCAGAGTGCTGGGATTGACACCTCTCAGCCTGTCTCCGGACAAGGAAGAGAACAGCCCAGATTCCTGACCAGGCTGGGTGACAACGACCACCTCCACTGTCCTCAGTGCTTGACAAGGGTGTCAGTGAAGGCCACCCTCACCTTATCCAGGAGCTGCAGGGACAGAAGGGGATGCTGTTCATGCAGAAGCATCCCTGGAAGCGTTCCAGGCCAGGCTGGATGGGGCTCTGAGCAACCTGGTCTAGTGAAAGGTGTCACTGCCCGTGGCAGGGGTGGTTGGAACATGATGGGCTTTAGGGTCCCTTCCAACCCAAAGCATTCTGGGATTCTATAATATTTATTCTTATACCATAAAATATCCAGGAGCCCATAAAGATCCTGCTAAAACAAAGAACAAGGCAGCTTCCTGCCCAGCAGAGAAAGGAGCACATCTCTGCTGTGCTGTGAGCACACAGAACACAGTTTGGTGGTGACCAGTCCCAAACTGCCCCCAGCGCAGTTACCTTGGCGAGGTCGAGCTGTCGGACCTTGCTGCTGACGTTCTCAGCCAGGTTACAGGTGAAGGTGATCATTCCTGCCAGCTGCTGGGCATCCCCCTCGATCAGCTGCAGGTTAGGGCTGCGAACACAGGGGAACTGAACGTGAGGTGTGAGCACTGGGCAGTGGGAGGGTGTGTGACAGCAGGACAGTTCTTCCTGCAGACACCACTGCTCCTGCCATCACACTGCCCCTCATCCACGCCTTTCCCCAGGGGCAAAGCAGCAGGATGGGACAGACTGACTGTGTCTTGCTACCAGACAGGGCACGGACAAGCCATGGTGGCTTTTTGACCATCTCCACTTCTGAAGTGAAAGATGAAGGCTGTAAAATTGTGCTCTGAGCTTCCACCAGGCACGAGGCCACTGAGGATGACTTTCCACAGGGATGACACTCTCCAGGCTGCCTGTACTAGCTCACCACCAAGAGGCAGCCTGACACAGGACATCTGATCCAAGCAGTGGTGCTGAAACTTGGCAGCCTCTGGGGTGAGGCCTTCAAAACCCACCCAGCCTTACACCAAAACGGGTCAGTCTGTGAGAGCACAGCAGTCCCCTCTGTCAGTGCTGCTGAGAAGAGCAGGGCCCTGGGGATGAGGATTCAACTACTGTTCCCTGCCACAAACTGATTTAAAGCCTGATGTTTCCTGAGAGCGTTCCCCAACCAGGCTGAAAGGAACGTTCAGGTGGTGCCGTGAGGAGAAGGAAGGGCAGAGGGTGGGCAGCACTAACCCCATGCGGTGAAGAGCAACCATCTTGTTCCCTATAGTGCTTTGCTGCTCCAGAAGGGCATCCAGCTCTTCCTGCACAACTTTCTGGGGAAAAAAACAGAAAGGAAACCTTGTGTGACTTCAGCTCTACCCCGGCTAGCAATTTATCACCAACTCTTATGTCCAAGTCAAGGGCATGGAGCTAGAAAGGAATTAGTGCTTCCCAGAACTCATGTGACAAATAAATCCTTCCCGAGCTCTCATTTTCATCCTGTAAATCTTTATTATTTTTTGCCGTTTAAAGCATAGGTTATGGAAACCTCATCACGCAATTCCTAAGCCAGATAACCCACAAACTCCTGCCCTGGCCGAGTTTTCAATGCATGAAGCCCCAGAATTTCATGGCTGCTCGCGATCCACGAACACCAGACCCGCGGAGGCGACACCGCCGGGCCCCGGGGTATGAAACAGCTCTGGAAAGGATTCAGAGGATCCTTTAAGGGAGCCGTGACAGGAGCCCCCCGCTGTCGCTGTCACCGCGGCGGACGGAGCGGGCAGCAGCAGCGAACACCCCCGGGGCGCCGCCCCCGCTCCCCCCGCCGATCGCCGCCTCACGCACCTCCTCCTCGCACAGCCGGCTGTAGGCGGCCTCCAGGTCGGCCAGCTCGGTCAGGGACTGGATGCGCTCCATGGAGAGCGCGGAGGCGGCGGGGCCGCCGCTCTCCCCCCTCAGCGCCGCCGCCATCTCGGGGCGCGGTGACGCGGCCCGCCGGGGCTGTCAGCCGCCGTGCCTGAGCGCTGGCGCCGTGCCGCTCCCCTGGTGTTTGTTCTGCGCTTCAAGGCGGCTGAGGTTCTGGGGTGTTTTTGGGGGTGTGGGGGATGTTGGTACGTGGAGCGGCCGCCATCGCGCCGCAAATCATTCAGGCGCCGCTTCGGGCAGCCTGCCCCTCCTTCACGGAGGTGAGCGCGCGCGCCGGGCGCGCGGAAAGCCCCGCGAGGAAGGCGCGGGAGGGCAGCGCGCAGGCGCGGCGCTGATGGCGGAGGCGGCCCCGGGCGCGCCCGCCTAGGCCGGAGCAGCATCGGCCGCCATCCATCCTCATCCCCGCCATCCGCCCTCATCCTCCCTCATCCGCTGCCCTCCGCCGCCATCCGCCCTCATCCGCCGCCGCCCGCACGGTGAGCGCCGCCCCGCGGGCCCCCCGGGGCCTGGGCCGGAGGATGGGGGGGGGCGGCCGGGCACTGACCAAGGGCCGGGCCCGGGGGCTGAGCGGCCGCGGGGAGCGGGACCGTGCAGGCTCCGCGCCCTTCCGGCGCCCCGGGGAGATCCAGGGCCAGCTGCGGCGGCCCCTTCGTGCGGGGGTTTCGGGGGTTCCGTCCCGCGGGGAAGGAGCGGCCCCGGGCGGCTGCGGCGGGGGGGTTCGCGTTGAGCGGCGGCGGGAGGTGCGGCGGTGTCGCGGAGCTGTGAGGGCGCGGCGCACCCCCGCAGGGATTCCCTAATTGCGTTCGGTTTCCGAGCAGCTAAAGCCGCGAGTAAATAGCGGTAATTACTGGGAGTCCTGGTCAGTAAGGAGCTCATCTGCCGCTTGGCAGCCGGGACACTCGGCCTTTTGCTTCGCAGCGCCAATAAACACCAAATAACTGTGGCAGTTGTGCTGCTGAGGTCAAGTGTACGTGCAGCTGTACGAGGACAGCGGTTTTCTCCTGTCTGGTTCAGCAGTTTATATTTTTGTCCTCCCTGTTGCAGGCTCGGTGAAGCTGCAGTGGCTGAAGTGAACCCATTGCCAACATGTTCCTGTACAACCTGACGCTGCAGCGTGCCACTGGCATCAGCTTTGCCATCCATGGCAATTTCTCAGGTAATTTTCTCCTCCCCTCACGTGTTTTGGGTCGAGCTCTTTTGAGTAGTACAGGTAAAAACACGGCTTTTATTCAGTTTGGTGCTGAAGATGGGCTGCTTCAGTGCAGTGGGGTTTTTTTTATGCTGAGTTATCCTCTGCTCTGGAGTGTTACTTGAGCTGTGGTAACTTGTGGAAAGATCAAGAGAAGTTTTGTTTGATTATAGATTTGATTTATTTATAGATTTAATGTAGTATTTTATCCAGTTTTCTGCTCTGCTAAAAGATGTTCAAACAACGGTGGTACCTTGTGAGGTGAATAAGTTGCTTTGAATCCCTCAATCGTAATCCTAAAACTCTGGCATTTGGTAGCCGTGAAGTTCTCCCTTTTCCTCGCAACGCTTCCCGAAGCTGCGCGGTGTCCTCTGTTGTTGCTGACTCGTCCTCGTGTCCCTGGGTCCCTCAGGAACCAAACAGCAGGAAATCGTCGTTTCCCGGGGCAAGATCCTGGAGCTGCTGCGGCCCGACCCCAACACGGGGAAGGTGCACACGCTGCTGACCGTGGAGGTGTTCGGGGTCATCCGCTCCCTCATGGCCTTCAGGCTGACGGGGGGCACCAAGGACTACATCGTGGTGGGCAGCGACTCGGGGCGCATCGTCATCCTGGAGTACCAGCCCTCCAAGAACGTCTTCGAGAAGATCCACCAGGAGACCTTCGGCAAGAGCGGCTGCCGCAGGATCGTGCCGGGCCAGTACCTGGCTGTGGACCCCAAGGGCCGCGCTGTCATGATCAGTAAGTCGCTCTGTTGGCTTGTGTGCCCCTTGTTTTTTTCTTTCCTGCTGTCCTGTGGATATTTATTTTGGAGTAGGTGTCCGCCAGGTGTAATTGGGAGTGTTCCTGGAGCGGTTTGTTGGGCTGTGAGATGTGGCAAGGTGTGCACAGTAGCTCCTCGGTGCTGATGGAGCTGCACAAGGGAATTCTGACGCTGGGCCAAAGCCAGCTGGAAAGAGTCCAGCGTGGTTGGCCCTGCACAGAGCCCTGAAATGTGGGAGAGAAGATGGGCTTGCAGGCATCGGTGCTGCGGCCTGGTCAGTCAGCTCCCATGGCCTGAAATGATGTTCTGAGTTCATGTCTCTTCTCTGAGCTGTGTCCTGAAGACAGCCAGGTGCATTTCTGATCAGGCTTCATGGGTAGAAGGACACTTGGGGAAGTACTTTTTCGATGAGATGTAGCACGAGGTGTTTTAGGGACTTGGCAGGGAGCTTTCTCAGTTTGCTGCTGGCAGCTTTGTGCAGCCCTAGTTTCCTGCATGCTGAGATGATTTACCAGTGCCTCTTCATATTGGTAATAACAATAAATAATGGTTTGCTTGTAAGAAGGTAGCACAGTCACAGTTGTACCATTCATGTTGATATTTGAGTGATGTTTATGTTGGGGGTGCTGTGTGCCAGGCAGGAATGCATTTTCTTGTGAAAGCATTTCTGAAGAAAAGCTGTCTTGCCAAATGGCTTTAAACAGTGGAACATCTGGCTGCTCCTTTCCATTTGTTTTTGCTTCCCTGCAATCTGTGTGTGCTGAAGGAGTGAGTAGATCTGCCTGTAGTCATTGGAGATGGAATCTTGGGCTGGGTGAATGTATCTCAAAGAAAGGGTCAGTCCTTGGCTTTGAAGGGTTGGAGTTGTCATTTACACTTGCAGCCTGGAAGGTGTAAAAGGAGGCACTGGAGGTTGGTTGGTGGCACAGAGATAAACCCCAGTGGTGAACTTCAGCTGAATCAATGCTGGCATTCTCCTGCCAAGCTGCATCTCGATTTTGGGCTGCAGGTATGGTCAGATTGGACTGTCAGGTGCTGTTGTCCTTCCTTGCAGGTGCCATTGAGAAGCAGAAGCTGGTGTACATCCTGAACAGAGATGCTGCTGCTCGTCTCACCATTTCTTCCCCACTGGAAGCCCACAAAGCCAATACCTTGGTCTACCACGTGGTGGGAGTCGATGTGGGGTTTGAAAACCCCATGTTTGCGTGTCTGGAAATGGATTATGAGGTGAGAAGCATTTGATCTCTCTTTGCTGTCTTTTGGATGTTGTTGTTCCCTGTTCTGTTCTTCATCTGTCTGTGGGGAACAATGGCTGCTTTTGCTGTCTGAGGCACTTTTTATTTGTCACAAGTTTACTGGCTTTTTGGTTTGCCTTCAGTCAGAATGGGCAAGACTCTTCTGTCTTGGTAATTCTTATCCTTGCTATTCAGCTGCTAATGTGCCTGTTTTCTTCTTTTGAACTTTTTTTGTGCATCTTCTAGAAAGTCTTAGTTTGGCCTTCGTTCTGTTGTTACTCAGAACTTTTTACCCACAGATCAACTTTGCTCTTTCTTTTAATACTTCTCTTGAAAGACACCTCCATGTGTACTTTTTTAGGAAGCAGACAATGATCCAACAGGAGAAGCTGCAGCCAACACACAACAGACACTGACATTTTACGAGCTGGACTTGGGTTTGAACCACGTCGTTAGGAAATACAGCGAGCCCCTGGAGGAGCACGGCAACTTCCTCATAACAGGTACTGCCCACAGAGTCATTTTCTCCTGGGTCTGCTTGGTTCCCATTCCTCAGGGAATCAGAATCAATATGCTTTACATCCTAGGAATTGTTCTGATGGTAGTCTGGGCCATTGGTGTAAATTAATTGACCTTGGTGTCACATAATAAGTGGTGGTTCACACATGGAATGGTAGCAGTGCCAAAGCACCCCTGTTTAGGTAGTGCATAGGTGCTGTTGTACTCCCTTGCATGGGATTCCATCAGCTAGAGGCAGTAGGTGAATCCATGGACTAAAAACCCACTTGTAGGGCCTGGATGCAAAGCTAACCTCACACCTTCAGCCTGGGAAGCTGCTGGAGGTTCCTCTGCAAGCACAGAAGACACTGAGCTGGGAGAGCATCCTTGTATGATTACCCTGTGTAATGTCCTGTATGCAGCTGTCAGACACCAAATATTGGGCTGGATCTGACCTTTACTGCTGTTTTGATATCTTTTGTTAGGCTGGGATCTTCATAGAAGCATTTTTAAAATCAGTCTTTTATTTTCCTTTCCAATAAGAGCAGATTGGTATATGTAGCGTGATAGAGGGCACTGGAAACTACATTGCTTTAAAGAAAACCAAAAGAAATATTCTGCTGGCAGTAAGTCACATCCGTGGTAAGGGCTCTTCTCCTGATACTGTTTTTGTTTTCCAGTTCCTGGTGGTTCTGATGGCCCTAGTGGGGTGCTGATCTGTTCTGAAAACTACATTACCTACAAAAACTTTGGTGACCAACCTGACATCAGATGCCCAATTCCCAGGAGGAGGGTGAGAATTTTTAAAGATGCTTGTTATTTCCCTTTGGAGGTTAAGGAGGGCATCAGGGAGGTTTTAAAGTAAGAAAAAGGGAGTTAAAAGTGTGTGGGTTTATCACATACTTCCCTGGCTGCATGTTATCTGGGAGAGGGGATGGAGGCAGGCACAGCCTGAATGATGAGCTCAGTTCATGTCTCTTCTCTGAGATTTACCCTGGAGATACTCCAGAGACTCTGATCAGGCAGCACTGTCCATGCAGGGTGGGATTCCTTGAGATGGTGAGTCATGGTGGCTGTTGCAGATGCAGGTGAATTCGACAGCTGCTCTGTTGCATCTACGACTGCTTCCTCTTCCCTTTGGTGTGGGGAATTACATGCCTTGGCAGTGCTTGGAACACCTGCCAGGGTGCTCCAAACCAGCTGTGTGTGGGCTGCAGCCTTTTCCTCCATGTTTGGCTTTGATGTGTGAGAGAGTTGTCTGGAGAGGAGAGCAGAAAAGACACGAGGGCTGATGCTTAGGCACAGTGTGCCAGAAATGTGTTTCCTTTTGGGTTGGCTGTGGGTGTTACAGACAGGAGGGGCTTTGTGTTAAAAGCCTCCTTGCCTGCACCTGTGAAATGGAAATACCTCAGTCAGTGGAATCACATCTACGCTCGCTGGGTAATTCCAGCAGTGACCTCCACTCTCTTTTCTTGACAGAATGACTTGGATGACCCAGAGAGAGGTATGATTTTTGTCTGCTCTGCTACACACAAGACCAAGTCCATGTTCTTCTTCCTGGCCCAGACAGAGCAGGGAGACATCTTCAAAATTACTCTGGAGACTGATGAAGACATGGTAAGCATCATGTGAATGGTGGCAAAAGCATTCATTGAGAGGAGTCCTTAGTCAATTATTTTGATTCTCTAAAGTGATATATATTTAATATTGTAGGTTTAGCTGTGTAATGGCACATATTTTACGTGGTTTGTAATACAGGTAACACCAGTCACAACTGTGGGTATTAGTCATACAGAGACACTGCACAAGGTTTGCAAAATCCTGTGAGGATTTTACTGCAGTCACTTGGGCATATTTTAGATGTTCTGACAGTGGTCCTTTGTTTAAAAGATGTGAAGTGTGGTCCATGAACCTGCTGGAGAGTATTCAGGAAACTAATTCTGGGGAACTTTTCTCTTGATTGCAGTAGGTACTCTCTGATCTCTTAATCAAATATTTACATGTTGCAATCAATATTTTTACACATCTTGGTACAGCTGGCTTTTGAGACCATGTCAAATGTAGAAATTCGCTCAGGACAGTTATTTTTCACATGTTGGAGAATGGCTGGTATTCAGTGAATCAAATTTCTTACTTTCTAGGCAGCTCTCTGTTTTCGCAGCTTTAATTTTCCAAACTGACTCAGTGTTAAAAAGCCAGAAACAGTCCTAGAATAAAAGAGGCAGCCTGGCTTACGTGTGCAGAATAGTCTGTGTGGAGCTTTATGGTACTTTGTTAGCACAGCCACGTCCTCATCTGCTTCCAGGTAACAGAGATTCGACTGAAGTACTTTGACACTGTTCCTGTCGCTGCTGCCATGTGTGTGCTGAAAACGGGGTTTCTCTTCGTGGCATCTGAATTTGGAAACCAGTGAGTAAACAGTTTGGCATTGGTGTTCTTCCCCAGGCAGACTGGTTCTGCCCAGACCTGCAGACCGACCCTTGGGCTTACTGTGCTTACACAGCACCTCTGATTTCATGGCTAAATCAGTGCTTTGTTCACAGAGCTTGAGAAGAACAGTTGGATTAGACTATGACTGAATGGGGGAATTTTCTTGTTGTTTGGACACAGATTATTAGACGATGTAGTGCAGAGAATAAACCATGACTTGCTATTGCAGTAGGCTTTGAAAGAATTGAGCACTTGCTCTTCATCTAGGGTTCATCACATACCCAGATGAATTATCCTTTCAATTAGTTTTGGTAGTTTTGAGTTGCTGTGTGCTATGTCCCACTCAGAAGGGGTTTCTTATCAGTAACTGTGTTCCTTTCCTTAACAGATAGATTTCCATAATAAATATACACTTGAGGGCTTAGCCAGTTTATGTTTGGGCTTCTACAATACTTTTAAGGCTTATGCCCATCTTTGAAGGTGGGTTAAGTGGAGATTTCACAGGAATGGAGATTTGAACTCTGTTTTTCCTGACTGCATCTGCAGTCAGCCACCTGAGGGAGCCCCAGCCAGTTTGCTGGACTGGATCTGAATTGAGGAAGCCATATTCAAGCTTTAGGAAAATCAGGAAGTAACTCATTTTATATTTTTTTTTTTTTTTCCCTCTGAAATTTAGTTTGATTGTTGTGCTCTTTAGGCTTATAAATTGGAATAGGGAATGTGGTTAAAAACAGTAAAGTGAGAGTATTCTAATAAAGTAGGTAACTGTGGAGTTGCAGTCGTAGCCATTGGCCTTGCTTTTGGCTCTCAGCTGTCAGCTGGTGCTTTAGCTTTAACATGAGAATATCTGAAAGGCTCAAAGGCAGACAGAAAACACTGAAACTCTGGGATACCTTGCCAGCAACAGCCACAAATGGGAAGGAGTGAAGCAGGGAGGTTGTGGGGGTGTCTTTTTGTTGCTGAGATTTGATGGGGGGCGGAGATTGTGGGCCTCTGATTCCCTTTAAATGTTTTGTCACCAAGAAGACAGATTTTAATAGCTGTGTAATGTAGGGTTGGATTTCTTTCCTCCCCACTGCCTGAATGTCTTCTGGCTAAGCCTTGCTTGGAGAAGGCTACGTGAGCTTTGCACTGAACATGCTGTTGTTGTCTGTCTGCAGTTACCTGTACCAGATCGCTCACCTGGGGGACGATGATGAGGAGCCAGAGTTTTCTTCTGCCATGCCTCTAGAGGAAGGAGACACATTCTTCTTCCAGCCACGGCCTCTCAAGAACCTGGTGCTGGTGGATGAGTTGGACAGTTTGTCTCCTATTCTGTGCTGTCAGGTACGCTGCCATCGGCAATCTCCCATTTACCGTGGACAAATGGGAGTGGAGTCACCAAAGCTGTGTTAGCCTGGGTCTCCAGAAATGCTGCTCTAGTTTAGTTCCATTTTCCCATTCTGTGGATATTGTTTGACACTTTTTCTCTACACAGATAGCAGATTTGGCCAATGAAGACACACCCCAGTTGTATGTGGCTTGTGGTCGGGGGCCCAGGTCATCTCTGAGGGTTTTAAGACATGGACTTGAGGTAAGACTTCCAGCACTTTACAAGAACAGCTTGAGAGGTGAGGGCAGTGGGAGAAAATCCTTCAAATAAAGGTGCTGAAATGAAGGGATTCTCCTTTTGCTGTAATCTGGAGACCAACTTTCTGTAGGCTTGCTCCTTGGAGAAATAAGAGTTGTATTGTTTATTCTTACAGTCTCAAAGGCTTTTTGTTTGGTTAACTCCGGCAACCTGCGTTTTGTCTCTTTCAATACTTGAGTGTATCGAGCTGGAACATTCCTGGGGTCTTCCAGCTGCTGCTGGACTCTGCTGGGGGCGGGTGACCTTGTGTTAAAGCTGATCATCCAGAGCTCTGGTGCTGCCATAGCGCTGCAGGATGTGTTCTGCCCTGTAGCACATCTGGCACGGTGGGGAGAGCGTCAGAATTGGGAATTGTTGGCTTCCCTGCCCGGTTGTGGGAAAGCCTGAAAACTGCTGGTGGTTTGGTTGCTTACTCTAGTAAGTCTAAACATCTGTTTGCACAAGAACCTTCTTCCTGTTTACTCTTAGGTTTCTGAAATGGCTGTCTCAGAGCTGCCTGGTAACCCCAATGCTGTGTGGACTGTGAGGAGACATGTTGAAGGTACGCAGTGTTTTCCTGAAGCACAGGGAGGTCATAATGGTTTTTTGTGTGTTTTGTTTGTTGTTGTTTTTTCTTTCTTTCTTTTTCTGCCCAAGGAGATAGGAAAGGTGCTGCATGATGGTTTATGTACTGTCCCCAGAAGTTATGGTTTGATTCACTAGCCTCTTGCTTGTATTTAGAAACCACCCACCCTCCAGTCCCCTAGAATTGTCACCCTTCCCTTTGACAAAGAAGCACCTGCCTGCAGCTGCATCCATCACCCAATATGTGATGTCAGCTGCACATTTGCAGCCTGAAGCTGCTGAACTTCTTATCCTTCCCCACTTCCCATATGTTCTTGCTCAGACATCAGCAGGCAACACTTTTTGCTGGAGCACATTCCCTGTTCTTCGTGTGCATGTTGACAACTGTAGTAATCAGCCCTTTGTGAGAGAGTGGGATACAAATTATGGAACAAAGAAGATAAATCGGCAACACTGTCTGTATTTTATTACTGTATTTTATTATCTGAAGAAAATAGTCTGTTTGGGATAGGACACACTCGCTGTTCAAAACCAGCAGTGTGTAGAATGCTGCTGATTACAGGAAGGTGAAGATTTCACATTGTCAAAATATACTGGATTGGGGGGTTGGTTGTTCTTTTTTTTTTTTTTTTTTTCCTTCCTGATCTGAAATAGTGGGTTTGCCTTACTAAAGAACTAGAGGAAATGTAGTCCCTTCTCCTGCCTTTCTCTTGAGGGTGAGAGCAGAGTTCCAAAGAAACACCTAAAAAGCTTGAAGTGAATCTGTTCTGGGTATCTGTTCAGGTGATTATTTCCTAAGCAGTGCTGTGTATAAATCTCACAAAGACTTCTCTAGGTTTATGCACTGAACTTAAAAAAACCAGATTGTTGCAGTAGAGACCTTAACCTGCTATGGTGTCATGATACCTTAAATTTAAACAGAGAAGCGTTTCTTCCAGGGAATCTGTAACCCTGTGGGAATTTCCATCATTGCTGTGGGATTTACCTTGCCGTGCCAGAACTGCCATGCATTCATGTCCTGAGACTCGTGTATTGCCTAAGCAGCATGGGAGGAACTTGGAGCTTAAAGTGCCTTCCTGTTCCCCAGAGATAAAAGGGTCAAAAGGAAAATATTTCCACATTTCATATCAAAAATACATGCTTTTCTACAAAGGGGCATTCCAGTTTGGTCGAGAGGAACCTTTGCTCCAGCATTCTGGAAAAGGTGTGGGTAACATTTGCTCCCTCTGAGGGATGGAGGCTTCTTACATCACCTTAGGTTTTAAAACCTTTTCTCTTGGGGTTCCAGAGGTTGACTTCCACTTTTCAGGAGATGGAGGACTGTTGCTAATCATCACAAAACAGACAAGTCTCGTTGCCTCATCTTTTTTCCACCTTCCAAATTTTCCAGGTTTCGGCATGA